CTTGCTCTTTTAATAAAAATAAAAAAATTCTTAGTGTTCGTATTTACAGATCTCTGTGTATTTGTCACCCCAGTAGGAATTTTCAAACGGGAGAACAGTACATTAAAAGGGGAAATTAGGAATGTTCTACCAGACAGGCTACCTTGAACTTTTTAATTGTCATGTGGCTTTCAACTTTCAAGGCTAAGAGAAGAAAATGTTATTATTAATGGTAAAGAAAAAGACAATCCAAGTGTGAGCTTGATCGAAGACATGGTATGTTAACAGTATGTAAACATAAATTTTCAAAATGCTTTAAGGCAACATCATGTAATGGGTACATGTAGCATAATGACCAGAAGAAGAAAAAAAAGGGTAAAATATTTCTCTCAACAGCAATACTCAGATGAAAAGGAGAAAGGGGAAAGGAGTCGTAAATCAATAAGGAAATTCTATGTGTACATGTAGAAGTATGACGTTTTACTACGACTGCCTGTAAATTGTTACAGAGAAGCAGATATTGAACAAATCATTTCAAAATTATAGATACCGGTAATGAATAACGATAAAGCAATAATCAATTTCCAATTTTGATCGGGGAAATGGAGAAAATTAGGAAATATTTATAAAGCATGTAACAGTGATTAGTAAGGGCACTCACTTTTCAAACTGTTTTTTCCTTGTGCATAATATAATAGCAAAACAAAGAGAAACATTTAAATAAGATGTGATATATGATTTATATAAGACGTGTTTAAAGAGACGGTTGAGTTCTGGGGAGAGGTGAAAAATAATTTGTGAGTGTTATCATTGTTAATATGCAAGTGTGGAAGAACATCAAAGAAATGCTCCCTGAAAAGCATGGCTCTTCAAATGCCTTCATATTCTATATATGACAACAGCTTAAAAATGAGGCCCAATTTTTATGCCACATGTTTGTGTAGTCCCATGTACATCTTTCTGTGTACGGTGCTTGTTACTTTACGAAAACTGGGCCAAATTTCTTATCATTTTGATGACTCCAGAACACACCAATACTTATTATGCTACATGATCAACTTTTTCAGATTGATTCTACACCGTTTCTCTCACAAAGCAATCACATGACCAGAACTCAACTTTATCTTTAAAGAAGGGGCACAAAAGAGTTAGAATTTACTATTCTAAGCACGTTTATCAATTGGTCCAATGACGGAAATGTGCTAGTCTCAACTGCAACCAAACACAAAAGCAGCATAATTTATCTCATATTGGATTATAACATAGCATAACAAGCATTTCAAAAATGGACATAGACTGCATACAGCACATCTAATTTTTATATTAAAGGGCAGGATCTACTCGACTCAAGGGCCAATATTCAATTAAAAAAGATACTTGTGTACAGCTAGAAAGTATAGAGATCTGCGTAAAAGGGAATTACCTGCCATTCTCTGAGTTTAATTGCCACTCATGGAACCCCCTTACATTGATTGCAAAACATGTTTTAGTGATGTGTAAACTTTAAAGATGATGCTTCAGCTTTTGTTCAAAATCGGGTTTAAGAAAGGAAATTAGTAGGGAGTTTCCCGGCAAAATTGTTATCATCATGTAGTAGTCAAAACATATTCTTTCACATGATTGGTAATAAGAGCTTCCATTTCAATTTTTTGAAATTGGGGCGTTTCCAATACTGGTCTTTACCTTTAACAAAGAAAATTGGTTTGAGGTTCAAGATTTCCTTTGTTAAACATGATCTTAGGTACAGGGCTGGAATGAACTGAAATAGCAGAATATGGATAATGGTGTAGTATTTGACACTGATATCATCTATTACACCTAAGTACTGGTACACCGGTGTTAATGATTAGGTAATCACATGGAATTTGTATTGTATTATACAAGTATATATCAGGGTTTGGTGTCTGGTGTAAAAAATTATCTTTTCACTAAATCTAATGCATTTGCCATTCATCGATTCTTAACACTAACACCAAACACCTAATGAATGTATTCCCAAGAGTAGCGATATTTTATAAGGTGCTTACAAGTACCTTCTACACAATTTATTCAAACATCACTAGAAAGGCACTCCATGTGGAGTTATTGCTATCATCTTTACAAGGTACATGTTCATGAAGTCTATCTTTCTTAGCATGGTTCTATCTTGGAGCAATACACATGTACACAATCATAAGTATGAGAGTTCATGATTATGTAGAGAAGATATGCAAAGATACCCATCTCAATATGGCAAAGGTAACACATTTTGATGGCTCTCATAAAGATATGATCTGGATAATTCACAATGTTCCATAAGTTTCTATTATTCAATCAACATCGAAGAACAAAGAAAGCACTATTAATTGGCCTTAGATCGTGAGGCAAGATATAGTTTTATGGTATAGTATAGAGTATGTAAAACTTGTTACATCATTGTTACATCATACATGTCCCAACTGAGAATGAAGACTGAAACCACTTCTAGTTTAACTCCTTCAAATACAGTGTATTATGTTGCTTGTACAGATCACCTAGTTTAAGGACTACCAGTCTACATGTATACAATGTATGTTTGAAGTGGGTTATATTGTAATGTTGCATTAGACTCTGAGAGCTGCAAAACAAATGAAAGAAATCTTGTACATGTAAGTAAATTCTTACATGTACTTGCTTTCAAACTGTAATAATTCACAAGTTTCACTGCAAAGAAGAGCTCATTACACCAAAATCTCATGCTCAGACCTTGTTAAGATTTGGTCAAAGGATGATAAACAGCTGCAATAGTAATACTAACCCTGTAATTTAAGACTACAAGAATAACTGCATGGACATGGACTTGAAATCATGACATATTAATCAATTTTACATGCAATTAATTTGTCAATTTCAGTTTGACTATCACAAATGTTCTACACTTTTTTTTGTAGTAAATTGTAATTGGATTTGCAAATACCGGCAACTTATTGAGAGGACTGCAATTCAAGTTGACAAAATCGTTAAGTACCGGGTACATAAACATGAAATGATGACATTCTAATCAATTCACCTTGTACATGTGATTACGGTAATTGGTCATTTTTACTTTAATGGTCACAAATGATCTACAAACTGAGGCAGATAAGCTCATGAAGTGGATATTTTAATTTGCGGTGTGCCTACACAAAGGTCACTGCATACCGGTAATAACAAGATCTCATATGTGATTAATTGGTCATTATCAGTCTGATGGTCACTTAAAATCTCGAAATTCAGACTGAAGAGCTTGTTGGGTAAAAAATTCTTATCATATAGAGGCCTTGGTAATAATAAAAGGGTTTGTGTACATCTTTGACTCAGTTTTCTCCCCCTTCTTCTCTTTCTTTAAAGACAGAGCAGAGATTTGAACTTTGAGTCTAAAGATGCTTTTACAGCAATTGTTAACTTTGTTTATAAAGCATTGTGGGTGCACGAGAGAAAATGCAACACATTGAGTTCTTTTTTTAACACACACTGCACAAATCTCCAAACCAAACTTCATCAAAAGTCAAATTGTTCACACTTTATTTACCCATAAATCAGACAGGAGTCGGACATCAGAGATTGGTTGGAAGGTATTCTTAAAAATTAAAAAATATTACAAGAAGCATAACCCAAGTCAATTGCATTTCTCTTATGACTGACTATGACAGTTCAATCTTTTCTTACCATTATCAGGTACATACAACAAGGAGCCAGAAGGGCCTTGACTTTATATTAATCCACTGAATACTGAATACTATCATACCCATAGGCTTAATACAGGGATCATCAGGTTCCAGGAGGCAACAGGTTAAAGGAGTTAACACCCCTCTGGCTTCAAATGGACAATGTATTGAAATGCACTATGTTGTTCAATAGTGAAACAGGATTTTGGCTAGAATTTTCTTCTGAGCACTATCTGAAAAGTGGGTGGCCCTAAACTACATGTATGGTAAAGCAGGTGGAAAGTTTGGGGGTCTCGGACACTTGCGAAGCAAAGGCAGGAGATTAAAATGATCATGAAAAATATAAGAGTGGGAGACATATTGAGTTCTAAGCCGATAAAAGCATGTTCGACCTTGTAAATGTGCATTTAAGTATTTCTAAAGGTTAGTGTTATAAGCTGATAATTTCATAAATACCCCCTTAGGAGAGGATTTATCTTTGACATTTCTTTTCATTAGGTCTCCTTGTTACAATGAGTTATATATGTAGATGGCTGTTACATGCTGGCGAGAACAATGGAGTATCAAGTACTAATTTCTCATGAGATTTCCTGCAGAATCTTGCAAACATCTTTGAAGAGTGTCTCGCAGGAATAGCAACAGATTAAATTTCAGACGGCACACTCATTCACAAAGACTGCTGATAAAGAGTCTGCCAATGTAGTTTCTGCATAGTGGGTGTGGTAGTCAGGTAGTAGTAGTTGTTCATGTAAAGGGTAGTATATTCTCGTTCGATTCTCTGCACACTTCCCTAGCCAGCCCTTAAGGAATGGCACGGAATCTCCGTTTGGAACAGCCCACAGATTCAAATACCTTGGATTGCCAATGGAGAGTTTGCCGATATATTCTGCCTTGTAGAAGTACAGTGTAGTAGTAATATAGGATTGTTCATTTTTTGCTTGATTCCTGCCCACATAGATGGCAACAAAGAGTTCTACAGCTCCTTTGACTTCAAAACAGCCCACTGTTTCAATAGACTGGACAGCCGATTAAGACTTTGCTAATATATAATGCCTAGGAATTGTAGTAGAAGTAGTTATGTAGGAGTATACACCGATTCGGTTTGGGGGTTTTATGTACCTGCCCGCCGGTGGCGGCGCTATAACTGGGGGGCTTCTCCGATCCAGCTGACAGTACAGAGAGCTCGAGAGCGGTTACTAGCTAGCGGAGCAGCGACCCTGGCCGGCCTGGGCGAGGTTCGGTATAGGTATAGCATACCCGTTGCAATGTAAGCTAGCTAGCTGCAGTCAGACGCCCCCCAGTTATGGCGTCACCTTATGAGGGCGCACTTCCACCAGAAGTCGCCCGAATCGGTGTATAGGACACCGGTACTCTATTCTTGCTCAATCCCCTGCACACATACATGTAATTTCATCGTATCTCGCGTCTTCCAAACAGCTCACTGCTTCAATGGCCTGAACTGCCAATATATTCTACCTAGAGGTTGAAGTAGAAGAACATTGTCAGCGTAGCATTGGTAGTAGTTGCCGAAGCGACATGAGCGTCATAGCGTGACAGTTATGAGCGCTATAGAAAAACTCAATATTTTTAGTAGATACACGTGGGATAGTTAATTCTTGCTGGATCCCTGCAGAAATGGTTCGCAATCGCAAGAAAAAGTTCATCAATGTCTTTGACTTTCAGACGGCCCATTGCTTGGTCTGGACAGTCGTTTGCGATAGAAGCGTTCTCACCGTCGTAGCCACTTTGGGTAGACCCTTGCCCTCTAGTATATCGGCCGGTGAACATAGTTTCTCCTAATGGGAACAAACAGAATAGAGAATACAGAGATGAGGTTTTGACGTCCGTAACAAAATAAGGAGTCATCAACATTGGTATGTCTGTTGAGAGCCAGAAGGGTGTTGATTATGTGTTACATGACAGGAGTTAACACCCTTCTATCTCTGAGTAGATGATATGACAAGTAAAATGACCCAAATTTTCATAACAGGTTGTGAGATGGACTATGTATAATTTCATCCTTCCTCAAACAGAGAAACTAAGTCAAATATTTACAGTAATATACATGAACCAGTGAATACATATACGTAGTTGTTATTGCATTCAACAATGATCCTTCAATATGGGTACTTGTGCATGAAGATCCCATTTTCATTTTCCCATTAAACGTTTGATTAACCATTCTACCAGTAACGGCAGTACTCCATGGCATGTTTATGTTAAAAAAACTGATTAAAGTCCAAACATAAGCATGAGTCTTTTCAGTTCGAAAACTGGTCAAGTTCATGAAGGAGTCCAGATTCAAGTTCCATCTATTAGAGCACCAGAGCCTGATCAGTTAAAGACAAATAGGCCAAGGTTTTAAAAGATCTTTTTTATGAATCAGGCCTAGTCCAACATCCTAATTCAATCAAATTAAATATGAGATGATGGGCCACTAGGGTACTCATATCAGGTACATGTATTGTATTTGTTTCAAATTGGCTGTTTTAGACAACCTGCTCAATTTATTTTTCCTTTGATGGACAAGTCTTTAAGATACCACATATCATGCACGTATGCAAAGGAATAGGGGAGAGCAGGATACATGCAATGTGCAGACAATGCGGCATAATGCGAGGCAAGGATCAAGAACAGTTGAAAGGGGCATGCAGGATGGCAAACTCCACTGACTTCACCAATGTCATCTGTTTCAATTGCGCCTGATATTTGTGCGTACATCTTGTAAACGAAAAAGAATCTTGAGTATACAAGTAGCTATTATACAAAGAATCATTAGACACATTTAAATCGACTTGTATCCCAGGCACAATGTCAGACCCTTTCCCAAACTGACAGTTAATTTGGTCTCAGCCATTTAGGGTTATTTAGTTTTGTTCGGTCTATTATACATGTATTGCTGGTTTAGAGTCGACCTCGTCAATGTAAGTAAGGGGGTACGGATAGTGTCCTAAATAAAGTGTAGTAGCTAGACCAGAAGCAACGTTCCACCCTAACTTCATGGAAGGGGGTCCAGATTGAACTGTTTACAGTCTGTATGCATGAGCCCTACGTAAACACAAAATAATTTTGGGGTCCGACTAATGCCAAGTCCTGTCTGTAGATACCGTACATTCTCACACTTAAATCTATTAGCTTGAAAACATACAAGTATACATGTACACCAACAATCAATTCATTCTGTTAATAGGGTTAGACTGCAAAGCTAAGGAGGGGGTCAAAGCAAATGTTAGGAGGGGGTAGAATATAGAATACGATTAGAAAGAGTAAAAGCACAGACTATGGGGGAGGAAAAAGTAATATTGGCATCATGGGGTTCTTTGAAATGGGGGGGGGGAAGTGAAATATTACCATGTATTTACTAGGATGAGGGTGGGGAGAGTGGGCTGGTTTGGATAGTGTAACCGTTTGGCAAACAATAATACAAATATTGGGTGTTCAGGGTAATACTTTCAGATCAAAATCAGTAACCTATTCCACTGTACATCAAGTGGGGAATAATGTCCAAAATGTAGTGCTATTATTATTAACCAAAACTAACTAAAAATCAGTCTTGTCCTTTAATCAATACTTGTAGATCTTCTACGATCATAAAATTCTACCAATGTACACTTGCTGTGCCTTGTTTCTTCAGTACAAGTACATGTTGCTTACTACAACAAGCATTTATGCTTTCTTAGGAGTTAGGTAAAATAACCACCACTACTACTACTACTACTACATGTACATGTATTGGGTTGGTCGGCTCATATTGTACATGTTAAAATGGACAGATTATTCTGAAGATACTACTTTGCAATTGATATGGCAAATATTCCTGTCTTTAATACCAGATGCTGTAGGAAAATCCAATGTCTCGTTCATTTTGCTTCTTACATACTGGTGATACTTTTGTTGGAATCTGTTAGAATTTAGTTTTGTTACTGGAACACGAGACTGCATCACATATAGAAACGTTGTGAATTAATTAACAAATAGAAAAGATACAGTAGATATATATCACAGAGCAATAGTGCAAAACTCATAGTATACATAGAAACATAGAAACATAGAGAAATAGTATAAAGATGGATAAACGGTATACTTACGGCTTGCACACCCGCGGCTGTACACACTTTTAGGAAGTTATCAACATTTCTTCTACACTTGGCTTGGGTTAACTTAGGCTGTGAATGCAAAAAGAACAGAGAACATAGCAAAATCAGATCAGGACTAGAATTATTCATGTCATGATGTGTAAACCTAATGGCCCGAATTCACAAAGGAGGTTTAAATTTAACCAATGGTTTAAATCCTCATTTACATAACCCATGGTTTAATATTGGACCTCTGACTGTGTCACGCTTATTTTGCGCTAATTTTAGACAATGGGTTATGTAAATGAAGATTTCAACCATGGGTTAAATCTAAACCTCCTTTGTGAATTTGGAACAATGAGTGTACTCTTTACATGTACCTGTACCTTAAAGGAACATTTGAATCTGAGTTCAAATGTTTCATATAATACTTCCAACAACAAACAAAACTTTTTTGTTTTTCAAGCAAAAGATCATCAGAAAGTATTTTTGGAACGGAAGTTACTTCTTGTGATTTTCTACTTGTGTAATGTATGTCGCAGAATTAGATCTGTATCAAATCTATCCTATGGTATCATACTCATAGAAGACTGTCGGTAACTCGAATTGTAGCCTTTGCCAAATCAATTTGTCTGTATTGAGCAAGGACGATAAAATCTTGAATCTTGAATCTTGAATCTTACCACTGCAGTGGAAGGAACGTGGATGCTTGATATGACGTGAGATTTAATGTTATTAGCTAGATGACATAATACCACCCCGTCCATCAGCGCTTCTGCTAGATCCTCTGGTAAGGACACTTTCAATCGCGATTCAATGCACTGAAAAACAAGAAAAGAAAAAACAAGAATGGATTAATAGATTAAATATGTAAGCCATTCATTTGTTGTTGTTGTTGTTGTTGGGTTTATTGGTGCCATCCATTGGCTTGGTGTGAGAGGGCGTCTTGCTCTCACATCTTCTGCTCTACGTTTCTGTGATTCCGATACTTGCCCAGTGTGTGAGATAAAGACTTACATGTACCTTGATCTTTGTTATTGGCGTAGTACAAGGTTATGGAAGATTAATCTCTGTGCTCGTTCCTCATTATTGTCAGTTATTTAATATTAGAACTGGTTGGAAGCAATGTTTTAGTTTGTATTCATGTTTTGTACCTCACATTTTGTACTGATTGTTAAAGTAGAACCAATTTTGTTTCACAATTATCATGATTCATGAATGCTGGAAAGAAAATGCAACAATAACAAAAAAAACAAAGTTTACTCTAGCACGAACATTTAACAAACAGACAGGATTGATTCATCTCATTTAAACACACCATGCAAACTAATCTAAAAGAATTCATGAAGTATTCAAACTACATGTATATTTTTGAAAATAAATGTAATGCTTCATGTGAGAAATATCTACAGGTGCCCTTTTTTTACTATAAAGGTTTATGCACATGAACATTTATAACTGTATCCTAATGGAACATTTTAAAATAAGTCAGCTTTGTATATGATGAACTTAAAACAAAAGAAGCTTTGGACATAATCCAATCCAATCCAAAAGATATTTGATATAGCGCTTTTTCCTTGCAGTTACAAAGCGCTGCACACATGCTCCACAATGTTTGGGCCACTTAAAAACAAAAGTTAGACACATGTACATGTACGTACATGTACATGTACATATAAATATACAGTTTGTCTTCATGTGGCAATGGATGAAAAGTCTACACACTTGCCTACAAGTTTTCTGCCTACCTTTATCAATACAAACAACGCCCTCACAGAGTGATTCATTTCAATTAAGACATTCATCAACACACCATGCAAACAAACAAGAGCAACAAATCAATAACCTAAAACATTGCCAGACCAAGAGGGCATTACTCATAGCCTTTTGTTTAATGACAAATGACAAAAATCAGTGACAAATCAGCTGATAACCAATCTGAAGCAAGGATTTCACTAGCTTATAACAAAAACTGTAATTTGTCACTGATGACAAGTTTTGTGAAACACCCACCAGATGATGTGTACACTACAGGGTATATTTCATACAACAGTGATGATAATCATTATCCTATGATAAATCATTCTCATCATCAATTTCACAGGTCTTGAGTTAACTTCCAAATCAACATGTTCTGTAGATAATTAACTCGCTATTCAATAGAAAATGCCAATGACTGTACATTAGAAAATGCTAATGACCGGTTTTGTTCTAGAAAAAAGGGAATACCTGGTCAAGTGTCTGCTCTAAGCGCATCAGTTGACTGGGACTATGATGTACATATACATCATCATTTTATTTTTAAAAATCATTAGAAGCTGGGGCAGGACTACCATTGATAAACCTTGAAATGTATCAATTTCCAACAACCAAAACTCAACAAAAATAGCGCAAATAAAAACAAGCAGCAAAAAATGATGACCCCTGATGAAAAAAAGGCATGCACACAGCTAAAGAAGGCAAGTCAAAGTGATCTAATACATCACATCAGACTAATGGCAGACTGGTACCACTTCTCACTCACCTTCTGCATATCCACCACACTATTGTAATCACTGATAGTGTGTATGGAATTCATCCAAGGCTGTGCACACTAGAATGGTGCAGTGAGAAATAAAGACTGGTCATTGCTTTGGACTGGTGTAAAAACCTACATGTCTACTCGGACACCGACAGACTAACAATGCCCATCACACCAGATAGACTGACACCAGAGCGCCCAAACAATTACATTTGATGCTTAGAAAACATCAATATTTTATCGGTTTGGAGTCAGTTTGCTGGAGAAACTGGGGTATAATGCCCTAATCCAGTCAGATCATTAATCCTGTAAATGTAGTACATGTACCTAAACCAGAAACTAAGTAACAAGAACTATCAACAGATTTCATGGCGTACAATAATCTGGGTAATTGCTTGATCAAATTTGTATTATGGAATACTTCCTCTCTTTTTACCAGTAGGAGAATATTAAATAGGTGAAGACAAAATCAACTTCCATTAGAAATGCCATTCAAAATAGTCGTAATTTTTTTCTTCGCAAAAAGGCAACGTACGGGCTATTTCCCTGTTGGATCACCTATACAACAGTGTGCACTGAAAAGTCTTAATGAGCTTGCAGTCATATTTTAAAAAAACTGATTTTTAGCTTAACAGTATGAAAGTGCATAATTTGAACGGTTTGGAAGGTATTGGAAGCCTGAAGTAATGTACATTCAAAATAAAAAGTAGTCATGAAATTGAATAAACTATCTTCGCAAAAGTTCATAGCATACTGCAGCAACTTACCTTTCTTAGTTGTTCAATTCTTTCTAGCTCTTCTGCCCATTTTGTTTTTTCTCTCTTTGCAGTAAAGTTTGCTTGAAGACCGTCTCCCGTTGGTTTGCCACCTCCTATATTGAATGCTAAGAAAAAGAAAGGAGGGAAGAGAGGGAGAGAGAGAGAGAAAGAAACAACTTTAAACTTTTTTTTTAATCAGACCAAAAGGTAATGGGGAAAATGGTTATGAAGATGGCTCAAAACTTGTTCAATACCACTCCCCTTGTTCACCATAATATATATTTATTATCATTATCAACATCATCATCATTATCACCTTTGTCGTCGCCGTCATCATATGAAATATGGAATTAACTCACAGCTACAACATGTTAAAATCAAGAAAATGCAAGTGAGTATGAAAGACGATGTCTGAGAGACAGGTAGAAAATTAAACAAAACAAAAAGAAAAGAATGATGTATTTTTATAAATGTAATGCTTCCTGTGAGAAATTTCAATTATTTAAACATATTTGTGGCTTACACCCAGTAAATAAGATCAATTTTATTTACTGGGTGTAAGCCACAAATATGTTTAAAAGAATGATGTAGTTTTGCGATATATATTCTAGGAAAGGAAATAGAGATTACCTGATCTAGGTTTGATATTAGAGAAGGCTGAACTGCTGTTTGGTGAGGGTGAGTTTCTGGAATTGTTTGCTGCCTCCGTCTCTCTCCTGCTCCCTGGGGGTGGCGATGCTCTCGTCTGATGATTGCAAAGAAAACACAGGTCAAAGGTTAAAGGTGACCAATCACATACAAACAAAATTATTGAAAGTTAAACCTGGTGAGTGTTTCATAAAGACTAAAATCAACTTTAATTTGGACTTAACTGTGGCAGGTCATTCATGCCACCGTTTGCTCTAACCATTATGATCTTTAGATAATATTTTTTCCTTCAGTAAAGAATTATCAAAAAATGTAAATTCTGTAGATTTGTGACCATGAATTGTACGTCCTTCAGAGACCAATGCCAGTAAATGGTGAAAGCAAACAGTGGCATGAACGGCCTGCCATACTTAAGTCGAACTTAAAGTCGATCTTAGTCTTAGTGAAACACCCCCTGTTCTAAGAAAATCTACTAATCCATGGTGGGAGTCAAGCTCTTTATTCTGTTTAAATTAAAGCAAATTTAATAATATTAGAGTCGATTTTCTTTTTTAGATACAGTACCTACATGTAGCATCAAATACAATAGTCATGACCCCAAAATGGATGCAGTATGTGCACATTTACCTTTGCTCTTTCCCATCATGCATCTAGAATATTCAGCAGGGTTCTAAATCAAAAGTTATTGAGCCAAACCACAAAATGAGGAATGATTGTCCCTGTAGAGGTGTTGTGGTCGAGTGGATATGTCACCGGACTGAGGATCACAAGGTTCGCGGTTCAAGTCCTGCCGCAGCACTAATGTCCTTTGGCAAGACATTAATCTACATGTGCCACACTCAACCCAGGTGAGGTAAATGGGTACCTGGCAGGAATAAATTCCTTGAAATGCTAGAGCGACGTAATGGCAGCCATGCTAAAGCCGGGGTTATAATTTCCAAAGCTCTTTGGAAGCGCATAGAGACGTTACAATGTGATATGCGCTTTACAAGAATCGAATAATATCATTATTAAAAGGGTTGAAAGCCAAACTGTTTTATATATCTGTCCTGCAACTTACCTTGTAATAATTGAGTACTGCGTCCCTCTGGGCCTGTTTGGTCCTGGTCTTCTCTTCTATCTCCGTCCTTCGTGTGACCTGAGCCTTGTGCCTCTCTGGGGATACTTGGTTGGTTAAACTAGCATCTGAGTCGGACGCTCCTCGTCTCACTCTTCCATTGGCCACAGAATGGTTGACATTGCTGGAGGAAAAGATGAGGGAATTGTTTATATATTTGGGGTCGATACACATTCAGAAGGGGATTTACAGTATTCTCTTCCATACACGTCTATCTTAAGCACAAATGTACATTTACTTTTTTTGAAAAAGGTACAGCTGTTCTCTCAATTTACTGAGCTTCGAGTCAACAAATCTTAGCGTTGAAGATCAAACAAATAAAAAAAAAAACACTGAGAACTTAATAAGCAACATCTAGAGATTTATTTCTCAAAATATGATTTGGAGATCATTATGACAAACTGGTTCTACATGTACATAAACTTTGCCATTCATGTATTAGTTTGTATTTCTTCCATGCCCCTCCATGCCCCCAAGAGGGAGCTGTTCAAAAAATAAAATTCACTGTCAATATCATTGTCATTATAATGTTGATATTGTCACTATGGATAAAAAACATAGAAATACCACGATATCCCAAAGAGTCATGAGAACTGTGTAGACAAATACATAATGCTTTCAATTTACCCAGTAAGAACTTATTACCGTTATACCACTGAATGTGCAATCAAGCCTCTGAAACCGAAACCAGTGGTAAACATGCCTTTAATAAAAATTGCATAAAAACCACACACACTGAATACATGCAGTGAAAATATCATGTCATGAAAACTTGCAAAGAAATTAACTACAAATTCATTTTCTCTTTTCACTGGGCATAAATACATGTCTTGAGGTCAAGAGAATATTACCCTTGACTTCATATTGTAACAGAATTGATAAGTTTAAAGTTTAGACTATTTTACTGGTGACAAGACAATTGCTCTGGCGACATACGTGCTTGGGGTTTTCTTTCACCAGACACATGTACAGTGTACATAGAAACAGTGAACTACTGAATTATTAACACCCACTGAACATTTTATGTTTTTGTGTTTTTCATAACTCAAGGACAAAAGGTGGACTGGTTGAATTACATGTAGGACCTTATAAAATACTTTTAGATGTAAGCTTTAATATGTTTAATACATTATCAAGAAAATTAAATTGGGACCAAACATTTTTTCACAGACTTAAACAAATTACAAAACTTTGTAAGTATGAATAATTCAGATGTTAACTGTACATAGATTAAGTTTGGGGACAGAGATAAGGTAAACAGAGCTACATCAAGGGTTGAAGTTCAGCACCCTTTTTCATCAAACTTGTTACCTATAACGAATGCTAAGATCCTATGACATATTTGCTCTCAGCCAATCAAATGCAAATACTTCAATAGCTTATAACAATTCTTGTAACTTTCTATTGATAACAAGTTTCATAAAACAGGGCCCTGGGGGGTATTTCACAAAACTTGTCATCAGTGACAAATGACAGTTTTTGTTATAAGCTACTGAAATCCTTGCTGCTGATTGGTTATCAGCAGACTTGTCACTGATTTTTGTCATTTGTCATTGAAAAAAGGTTTTGTGAAACAGGGCCCTGAACTTGTTTACTGTGGTAGAATGAGCACGGAGCACTTGTCACCAGAGCATATATCGTAGAACCCATGTTACCTATATCTATCTCCCGTTGACGCCCGTTTACTCTCGTCAGTACCTCCGACTGTAGCTCTTCTTGGTGCTTTCTTATCACTGTAAAGTAGTAGAGTCCATTATAACATTAGAGTAGCAAAAAATGAGAATCAGAGGTTTACCGCACCAATACAAGGATTGAATATTTGTTAATTACATCATAGTATTAATTAATTATGTATTTATCACAGTGACTGAACTGGGTTAGAATTTTTAATAAAATGGTGAAACTTACAATCGTAGAGTATGTGAAATTGTGCAAAATTTAAGCAATGTTCTGAAATGAAGCTTGCTAGTGTGCTACTCAAGCCGCTAGCCATGTAGGTATACATGTACATGTAGCCTCAGTACATGAATGTTTGATTTGTGAAATTAAGTAATGAAAAAAAAGTAATGAACTGCAATATTTTACATGGAAAACAAATCCAGCTATCTACACCGGATTTCGAATCTGTTAACTTCATCATTCATGATAGAGCAGACACATCATTTGAACTACACATTAAATTGTATTTAAACACTACGTTTTCAAGTACACGAGTATCTATGTTTACAATGTATTCATACAGCAGCATCAAACTGTAGAAGCTGCGAAGATCAGCAATTTAAAAAAAAATGCATTTATTGGTTGTCAACCACTATCCCACCCACAATAGTGCTCAGATTTATCGCAATATTGTGGTCCGTGGAAAATACATACAATACCAAAATAAAATTGTAGTCATAGGATTGATCTACTATAAAATAGGGCTTTTTATTTACTTCAAATGCACAACAATCTGTGTCACTAAGCTGTATCATTTACCTCAGTCATCCTTTTGACGTATTTTTTTGCATCTGTTGTAGTGTTACAAAAGCTGAAATGCAACATAAAGCTCTTTTAGTTATTTTTTCTCCTTCATATTGCATTGAACCAAGCTTTTTTTTGGTCTAGCTTCGGCTTGGCTTGCCTTGCTTTGTTTTGTCTTGCCTTTTTTTTCCAGTTTGGTTGAATATTTAACAGGTTTTTGAATAGGTCCGTTAACTTCTGAAGTGAAAGTGCAAAGAAAAAAAGGATAAAAGTTACCTCACCATCTTGCTCTTGGATGATGAAAGAAAGCAGTACAACACATACTCCAGGACAATTGCCCCAGTCAATATCATACGATGTACGCTAACTGAATTCTTAACTTTAATCCTAACCAACACTATACATACATACACCTACAGCTGTGTTTATCTAAATCTAAATCTGACCCTTATTCTATTAAACTACATGTAAAACACTGGTCCTACCCCTAACCCTTTATCTTACCTTTAACCCAATTCTAACCCCTACTCTATTCCTAAGTACCCCTATATCTAGCTTAGAACCCAAACTGCAACCCTAACCCAGTACCTTAAACCTAATTGCAATCCTAAACCCAGCCTTAACCCTGACCCTAATCTAAAAGTCAATTAGAACCCTACAAATAATCCTAACCCAGTAACTTGAACCCAACTGCCACCCTAACCTAAAACCAAATAGCAAATCTAGCTCTAACCCTTTACCTAACCTAACAACCAATCGCAAACGAAGTTAACCCTAACCCTGAACCCAATTTAAAACCCAATTGCAGCACTATAAACCTAACCCTGGCCCTAAACTAAAACCCAATAGCGACCCTAAATCTAACTCCATTTCTTTGACAATGCAATTGTGTCCGCGGAGCATGTGTTGGACTACTGAAGGGAACCTGCAAACCTGTACATTCAGGTAGATGTACAGAGTACTTACACGTAGAGGGATCGCGGCCTTCCAATACTGTGTGACGCCGACGTTGACGATGAGATTGTTCTCCTACTAGTGCTGCTGATGATGATGATGGAATTGATGAGGTTACCATAGAAACCCAGCATATAAAGCAGCAGAGAAGCCATGCAAGAAAAATCATAGAAATGCAGCAAAATGCAAGCATGTTCCAACAGAAAATGATCGAGAAATTAAAGATCTCGAAAAGTGGATTAATACCAAAAAAACTAATCAAGCATTTAAATGGCTTGTCATTTTTGCTTGGTGAATGAAACTCATTGAATGTGTGAAAACAAGCACCAATTAAAGAAGTAAACTAAATGAGCTACTTAATGTAGTTATTAAGAGTTAATGATATCTATATTTACTATATCTTTGCACTATGTATATTTACACGTATACGCAATACATGTGTGGAAACTTCCCTTCATTGTTTTATTCACACTGTTTATAACTGCCTTACTACAATAAAAAACGTAAATTAATTTGCAATATCAAAAAGCATTGCAGAGACTGTGTACCTGTAAAAGCAAACATGTAAGTAAATTTCCTTTGTTTTAAAACATTGTTTGGCAGCGTGTTTCTACAAGTTCATCTTTAAGACACCAATAGTATACACAGAGGGCAAGAGATCGGCTTTGATAAAGAGAGGAAAACATTTTGTTTTCTTCAACAATTCAATTTTTTTTTTCAAGAATGAAGATCTGGAGTCTCTGCAATTAAAGTGTCAACATACAAATTCCCTGCGATCTAGATTTATATGTAATTGCCCACTGTCCATTTTGGTTTCCTTGCAAGTTAAGAAATACCTCAAGAGAACAACAAAAAATCTTCACCAGAGATCAGAAAGGAAAGGATTTTTTATTTTATAGGATTAAGTGAGCTGCAAGGAAATTGACTTTTCTTTAGTTATCTACTTTCATTTTTTTTCTTTTTCCCCCCTCCAATTACTGGGCAAAATATCCTGTCAACACAAGAACATTTTCTAGCCATTTCCTCTGATTTCACATTGCCATACTTAGGAATTCAACTCAATTAATACAAGGCCTAAACTGGCTATTCAAGTTTTGAATTGCTGTTTATGTCCTGCTATTTTAATTGGCTGTCAACTTTGATCTGCTACTTTGAAAGCAGGAGCAAATTTTCAGTGCAATTTTTTTTTCTGCGTGTCAATGCTGATATAGAAGAAAAACATATTGTACTTTCATTTTCAACTTTTACTAGAACCCTCCTGTCTACTACGACTGCCTGCACCCCTAACTAACCAATGGAAGAGCCCAAATCAATTCCTCAAAATGCACAAGTTCCCCTAAACTCATACCTCAACTTAAAAACTGAATCAAGCCTAAAACAAGATGCATGCATGTTAGTAAAGATTCCTAGAGTCCCTTCAAGCAAAGTACAGTGTACATGCAAACCTACCTGTTTCCGTTAGTGGTAGCTGCCGATGACCCATTGGCTAGTTTGCTGGCACTTAGTCTTCTTTCCTCATTCCCGACGATGACCCCTGGCTTTTGTAACCTACTTTCACTGCTTAGTCTTCTCACACCAGCCGTTTCTTGAGAGTTCACAGAAAGTCTATCATTGTTAACATGTGTTTGTTCTCCATTCTTCTTCCTTTGCTCTTCCTCCACTTCTGCCCTTAGTCGTTGTTCTCGCGCTACTCTCTTCTTCTCCTCGTACAAAGCCTTCTGTCTTTCCAGCTCCTAATCAGATACAAATTAGGGATAAAAAGCACCAAGAAAATGAGAAAAAAGGGAAAAAAGAAAGAAATGTTAGATGGGATTACATATTGATGACATTAATGGTAGTTTTGTAGCAAATTAATAAATACATAGTGCAATACTACATCAAATAATAGCAATAATGATATTAACCATGTATGGGATAATGTGGCTATGATTAAATTAATCAAGAGCCAGTATCACAAGCCTCCAGTAAGGGCCAGTAACACTGTGGCCACAGATATAACTAAATACAGTACTACTCAATATACTAATATATCAATAAATACATTAATATATAAATAAATCAGTAAAAAGAAAAAGAAAAATACAAGTGAATAAACCACAAAGGTGGTTCTTGTTCTTCTAATTTTCTGTTAATGTAGGAGCAACAGAAATGTTGTGAATTAAAATCATAGTAGCATATAGTAGCTGTAGCAGTAAATGTGAATTTACAATGCCTTTTAACAATATACTGCAATTTACATTGTACAATGTAAGACGGCACCTTATTTCACGTTACAGGTTATAATTTCATTTTTTTGTGAGAGTAGCCTGCTGCAAAAATAAGCATCTGCAACAACTTGCAGTGTCATGTGCAAATGTAAGTGGTTTTACAGTACTTAGTATACTTTAAGATTCATCTAGTTTCCTCTTGCGGTGTATTTTCTATCTCAGCTTTTACGCTGTAGCAAGACTTTTTGGTTATCACTTACAATGTATTTCATAATTTTGTCATGTAATCCTTCCTTCAATTAAGCAGTGCTCACCAAAAGATTACTTCAAGTAAACTGTCAGGCAATTCAAAAGTGCATCAATTAGGGCATTATCTTTCCAATGCAAATCGTTTAGAGTATGTTAGCATAATAGCATTCATGCACTTAGAAAGCTTTTTAGCTAAAAAGTATTTTTTTTAAAGAGCAGTAAATCAGGTCATCATCACTTCAATAACTTAAAAGAATGAGAAATGTATCATGAGAGATAAACATAAACCATCTTGATTGGCATGCGTATCCAGACAGAAGAAAATAAAAATCAGGTTGAATGGTGAAAATGTTATCTCGGCATATCCTGAAGAAATAAAATTTGGATGAGAATTCCCAATGCAAAAAGTGTAGGTTGAAATGAATATGCTTCAACCAGCAGTTTTACCGAATTTTGGGGGATCCAGTGTTGAATGACAATATTTCTTGAATAATTGTTGTCATGTGATAGAAACATAAAACCCAAACTGAACACTCAAAAAAGAAGATAAGGAAAACCCATTGAATATTAAAGCCAAGAAGCACGGCAATGCCAACAAGGAAAAATTAAAAAAATCTTCAAAATGTCACTACGTATTATTTAAATAATCTTTATCTTTCTATCTTTCTGAAAGTGACAGGAGTTAAAAGTTTTTTTCAATGAAAAGTTCCATAAAAGTTTTCTTGTGAGTCAAGAAAATTTAACCGGTGCTGAGCTTAAATGTACACATGTATGTGTGGTAGTAGAAGTGTAATACCAATTCATAAATAAACAAGTTTGTGAGCTGCTTCTATGCAAATCAAGATTATTTGAACTTAATATTTTAAAATTCACTGAGACCAAATACAGAAAATGCTTTGATCATCTATAGCATACATGTACACCAGTTGTTAATGACTTGTACATTTGTAATCAATGAAATTTATCTTAAGGTAGATTTATTTTTTTCAAAGGAGAAATTAATTTATTTAAATATACATGTACATGTAAGAGCACCCCATCCATTTGGGAGCTTCATTTTAAGTCAAACTTAAAGATGAGGGCTTTTTCTTTAATTACATATCGGAACAGAAATAGCTAAATAAATCAAAAAGATAAAATAATAGGCATTCAAAATAGTGCATAATAGATATTCCATTCAATAATATATGTCATGTTATTTAGTCCATAGCATCATTAAAATATGTATGCCATAGTTCTGGTTAGTTGTCAGAGTGTAACTGATAGTTTGATAACACAAGGCACATTCTCAGAACAACCATACCTTAAAACAGTTTGGATTTTGAAACTCGTAGAAAATAAGTTCATCATCCTAAAAACAATGATACATGTAGATATGCTTTTCTTTAAGTCTGTGAGAGTATTCCATACACATTAATTTCTAATCCGAGAGCAATTGTCACCAGAGCAAAAGTACTGTATGTCTGACCATACAGTGTCAGAGTGACAAATGCCCTGGGCCCCATTTCACAGATCTTGTCATCAGTGACAAATGACAGTTTTTGTAATAAGCTAGTGAAGTCCTTGCTTCTGATTGGTTATCAGCAGATCTTGCTTTTGATTGGTTATCAGCAGATTTAGCACTGATTTTTGTCATTTGTCATTGAAAAAAAGGCTTTGTGAAACGGGTCCCTGGTATGAAAAATTAGCACTGCAACTTGAAAGACTACGTGTAGATCATAGAAGAACTGCACCAGGACAGGACAAAAATGTGGTCTTAGAGAGAAAATGGTTAAAGAACTTGATCTTAAGCCCTTTATTTCACTTCTATCCTTCAGGTGGTAAGGCACATGTTGATATCTACACTGTAGGGCTTAGTTTGCAGACATTTTTAGGGGGCAATGATTGCATTTTTTTTATATTAGCCAATGTAGGATTAGGATTTTAAAAATTTCATGGATTATTGTGATGGATATTAGTATGGAAGGAGTGTGTTCTAGGCCCTCAAGGATATGGTCGACAATTTTGCCAGGGATACCAGTTGGTTTCAGCTAATGAGCCATAAAAGAGACTTAGTCAAGTTGGAGCCTTAAATCAGGCTCTGGCCCAAAACTGGCATCCATTTTTTAGCTGAGATTGACAGTTTCTCCTCACATCCAAATAGAAAATATGATTCAGACCTAACCATAATTTTGGTTTAATGTTGGTTTTATAAAGAAGAAACATTAAACCTCTCAACCTCCATGCTGCAAGGGGCATACTTGGAGAGACTGAGCATAATGGCTGGAATTGGAGAAGGCACTTTATCTTAAAACCATGGTTTAAATCTCCATAAGCTTAGCAACTGTATTTATTCATGTCCAATAAATGGGCAGTGGGGACAAACCCAACCTTATATTATCAACAGTAGCAATTTTAACTATCGTTTAGATCATGATTTAAATTCAGATCTTCCTCATGAATTTCAGCCAATATAATCTCTTTAAACAGCATAGATCTGAACCCCGTATTTCTAAGAGTTGATATCAATCGCAACTAATTTGTGATTGATATCAATCACAACTTGTTTGCGATTGATATCAATCGCAACTACTGTACATGTATGTACATATTAAGAGATAGGAGACTGCAAACTTGTGATTGATTGGAGGACTTGCGATTAATTTGGTTCATTCGCAACTCTTTGTAAGACGGGGCCCTGGTTAATGTTTTCAATGCCGCTGCTATGGAAAAATGTATGAATTTGAACAGTGAATCAAAATCAACAACAAAAAAAAACCTGCCACACAAGCTGCTCAGGTGGTAGGAAAAAAAGTCATGATGCTGGTTGGGAGTGAGAGCTTTGATTTTAGCTTTGTCCACGTCAGCAGCTTTGCCACTCAGCCTACGAGCTTGGTTTTGATCGGCAATCCATGCAGATTTGAGATAGAAAACTGGTTCACCGATACATACATAATCAGTCACCTTCGTAAATGGGTCCAGCTCGGCCGACGTCGGAGTCTGGACGGGGCTCTGCGTAGGCGTCACTCCATCGTCGTCATCCTCGCCGGCATCGATGTAGTCGATGTGGTTGTCGTTCGGTCTGAAGGTCCGTGAAGGCTCCGGGATGAATTTCTGTTGCCTCTTTTCTTTCTGTTGGGAAGCCCTCTCTGCCAGGTACTTTGCTTCTTCATCTTCATTGCTTGGCTGGAAAAAAGAGGAAAAATAGAAACGGTACATGAACAGTTAACAATTAAATTATTCATACCCTTATCAAGTTTTGTAATTTTGTAAGTACCTGTATGTGAAAAATTGATTTTTTTTTTTTTTTTTTTTTTTTTTTAAAATATATTTTCCCCTTCCATTGATTTGTCCCAATTTATCTAAAAGTATTCAACAAAGCCCTTATTGAACCACTCCAACTTTCATTCTCCAGTTACAAAAAACACAACAATTTTTTAAAATTTTAAGTGGTATGAATTATCGAATTGTTAAGTGCATACCTGCCAACATTTGAAAACAAGAATTAGGAATTTCTAGCACGGTATGCCTTCGAAAATAAGAAATCTGTACCCTTAACAGGCGTTCGCACATGCAGCGGCAGTGTAACTGGCAATACAGGGTTTCTGTACAAAAAAGCGAGTACAAATTTGCTGATCGATCATGCAGTCATTCAAGGCACGCAATACGTGAACTATGAAATCGCGGCACATGATAAAACAATCTTCATTTGGCTTAAGCAATAAGAATAAAAAATAAAAAATAAATAAATACAAAATTGAAAATTTCGAAAAATCTGAATATTCTGAATTGTTAGGTCTTTGAAATCCTAAAAATCAGAATATTACGGATTATTTGGAAGGGTTGGCAGGTTTGTAAGTATCTCTCTAACCAAACATTATTTTAAGCCACTCGCTTCACACATGGACACCCGATTCCCAACCATTCAACTGAATCCACATAAAACTTCCTATCTTGGATGCGATGCACCCTCTTTAGCTTGTGCAGGTAAGTAGGACAGACTGCAATATTAATATTTTTTCTCATTTTTATTAATTGGACATCTCTACATGATTACATCCATGAAAAACCTTAATGATCCAGGTTCTGAATTTTCATGATTTATACAGGTGTAAGTTTGAAATTTGGGGAATTGCAAGCTCACCTGTTGGAGGACGAGAAAAAAATTAAACCATGATTGTAATAAAATCAGACCAGTACCGTATTTGGATTGTATACGTGTACCATTTGAAGCCAATTTGGCCTTTAATCAGACTAGAGGATTACTAAGCACTAAATTTTGATTATTAGTATTCATCTAACTACTTCAGGAAATTACATTTTTCTTTTCAATTTTCATATGTAATGTCATTGTGATTTCTTTCAAAATCAGATTGCTGTCACATACAGAGTATGGTAAGCTTTATAAGGACATGCATGATTAATTCCTCCTCTAAATACAACCTTTTTTCCTTTCTTTTTTTACCTCTGACGAAGACCACCTTTTATCTCCTTCCAAGTATCCAGAGTCGGCCATTTTGAGTTGACTCATCTTATGATTGAAGAGTGAGATCTCATCTTGCATACTGCAAAGAAAAACAAACAAATAATAAAAGGAAAAATTAAAACATCAAGTTCATCTGATTTATGTTATCAAGATTTAAACTGTTTAAATTATTGTTTGACTGACAAGAGAGATTAAAACACACATGTTCATTGAGTACTGAATTTTCTTATTCCCACAGATTTAAAATTCAGAGACTATATGGTTCCCTTTGTTAAAGCTACTTTTCTATTTCATCTCTTTCACTTCAACTTCATGATATAGTATCTTTCTCAAGTTGGAGTAGAAACCCTTTTTAAATGCAAACTTACTCATCTACATTATATGAATGAATAACTTATAGCTCTACATTGTAAATTAGAGCTGATTCACATTTGACATGATGTACCAAGGCGGCTTACCTAATGACATATATGCAAAATATGCATCATTTTACTGTTTCTTATAATACAAAGATAGCGAGAAGGTTAAAGGTAAAGACCAGTTATGGTCATGCGATTGCATTGTGAAAGAAACGTTGTGGAATCGATCAGAAAAGGTTGATCATCTAGCATCTAGCATCTGCAAGGTTCTGGAATTATCAAAATGATAAGAAATTTGGCCCATTCTTCGTAAAGTTACAAGCACTATCACAGAAAGATGTATATGGGACTACCCTATATCTCTCACAGACCATGAGAGAAACAAATTTACCAAATATATGAATTAGTAGGCGGTTTCCCGGCAAATTTTTTATCATCATGTATTAGTCAAAACATATTCTTTCACATGATTGGTAATGAGAGCTTCCATTTCATTTTTTGAAATTGGGGCGTTTCCAATACTGGTCTTTACCTTTAAGGACCTTCTGTGCATGCAGCTACTTTTTGTTTACATACCTACTTGCCATTAATTTACACATAAAAACCCTGTTGCAGTTTGCTGCAGTTTGCTGCATTAAGTACAGTTTGAACAAGTCATAAGTGAAAATAAATAACACCTGTATAATCTGTATTCTTACAATACATCTTCCACACAAATTAACATTTTAATTGATATAGATCATTCACATTATAAGGGAATAATAATAAAATCATTCAATCAAATTTTGTATAATTGAAGCATACATACAAATTGTGTATAAATGAAGAAAAAAAATGAGAATATAAAGTGTTAGGAAATAGAGTATATCAAAACAAAATCAAAATCAAAATCATAAGGATTATAAAGGCAAATAATCAGTTAATATATTAATTGTTGATAAATACACTCATGAACACATTCATTATTAAGCAAAACTTCCATGTAGCTACTGTAAATTGTTCAATGCTGTTCTCATTTACATGTATGTACATTGTATTTGAGCACTTTACACTGATGGATATTTTATAAGTACCGTTTTTGTCCGAGCATGCTGAGTGCTAAACTGCTAATGAAGTCAACCACTAGGCTATAAGGCTACACATGTACAGGATTGTACATGTAATGACTATACTAAACTCTTCCCAAAAATGTTGCCATTCAGGTTTTCAGTGTTGATATCTCTTCTGTTACTATAGTATCATATTTGATGTTGGTATCATTGAAAAGCCTGTTTATCGCCTTTAACAATGATGATCAATCGTTAATGATTACTAGGTAATTATGGACTGTGCTGTATATCTGAATAGGGGGCCAAGTCAAAAGTGAATGCATCGTTATTCCTTCAAAACACAATCCACCCTAAAAATTAAAAAATCACTATTAATAATATAAATATTTATATTAATTTTTAAAAAAAATGCATTTTTAAACATTTTACTTTTGACTTGGCCTCATATTCAGGTCTACTGCACAGTCCATGATTACAAATCATTACAAATGGGGCATCATTGTAAAGGGGAATAAAGAGGCTTTTCAATGATACCAACATCAGGTATGATAATATACTTAACAAGAGAGATATCAACACTAAAACTTTTTTTTAGGGGTTTAGTAAACTGTTTGGCACACCTTGTCAATATGGAGTTTGACAATGAAAGTAGATCAGTTTAATGTGTCTCTACTCTATAATCTATTTTACATGGTTATGCTACTAAATGTATGCAGGCACACACCTGGGAAAGGAAACGCACTCATAACTAAAGACAAAGTGGTCATAACAAGACATATGGGTGCAGTGAAACTTAAGGGCGTATCCAGGATTCTGTAAAGGGGGAGGGGCACACTTTTGAATTTCTTTACAGTCAAAATGAATAATAAATAAAAAAATAAAAAAAAGGATGATTCTATTTGTGAGGTGATAATTTACTCAAATAATCTCTTAAATACAGAAAACAACATACCCCCCCCCCCTAAATAAAAAAAAATGTATTAAGTTCTACTGCACATGACTACTTGTAGGTCTACATTTTGAAGCAGGGTACATGAACAAATAAGAAGCATGTTTTTTCATTGGTTTAATGTACATATGTTGCAACATTGGGTTGAACAAATTTTAAGGGGAAAAAAAGTAGGGGCTGAATTATGTCTTTGATAGTTTAGGTACATGTATGCCACAATAATGGGTTTTAAAATGGGGCACACATAGAAAATTAGGGGGCATTTCGTCCTCATGTACATGTATATACTGTACGGCCAACTGTATGCCCAATTGGGTTCCAAAGGGGTTGGAACATAGACCAGCTGTGTCCCCCCCCCCCCCCCCCCCCCAGCCACACACCCATCTACCACTGGTGAAACCTTATCTAGAAGGTTCAGGCTGAATTCACTTTGACCTTTGCAACCCAGCATGTGACTGAATTAATTGTGTTCATGACTCTGTTTATACAGCGTTTATAAATCTGACTGGATCGGGTTACATTTTAATCATATTTTGTTCTCATACAGTGTGAACTCTCTTTAATATTTTGCATATATTTATGGCAGATAACAAATTTCTTCTTCTGCGTCTTCTTCTTCTTCTCCTCTTCCTTCTACTTCTTCTTCTCCTTATCCTTGTGTTTCTTCCTCTTCTTCACCTACTATCAGAAGTTCTGAGTCCCTCCCTTTTTTAAGTACCGGTAGTATTCCCTAATTGTTCTCCTCCTCATTCTCCTTAATGTTCTTAATAGTAATAAAAATGTAAATACCAAGTGTACCCTACATAATAAAGTAATACAGAAATGTCACCCCACGACATCTTTAATGAATAAATACATGTAGTTCTGCAATACCTTTTTGCCTTCATCGCTCCATAGACATGTTAATAAACACTAGGGATTCAAATGTCAAGTCTTAAAAATAGTGCAAGTGTAGCGTGCTACAATCAATCTTATATTTGTGCAAGTGTAGTGCGCTACAATCTGTCTTATTTGTGCAAGTGTATTGTGCAACATTCTTTCATTACTGTTCGGCTCTTACTATGCTAAGGGTCTGCTTGGTTCAACAAAAAAAAGTGGTAGCTTTTCAAATATTGTACTCATAAAACCCTTTCTTATTATCACTATATACACATTACCGGTATACAAAATGTATAGAAAATTTATTACCTTTTCTAATACCACATATTGTCAGGTGCCTGCAAGAATGCTGTTACTGCCATTAACAAGGTATAGCTCTTACAGCTTTCTTGCAGACACCCCACAATACATAAATATCAAATATCATGTATAAAAATCATTGGAACATATAAATGAAATTCTTTTTCGTCCCTTATATTTCTGTTTCTCATTTGTTTACCATTGTTTCCGAAACTCAGGAAAGATCCTGTACAAAATTTTAAATTTTCTTGAAAAATGTCTACAGAGACATAACAATTCTGGGATGTTTAGAACACTTGATCCATGCTCTTAAAAGTGATATACATTGACCTCAATACTATTGAAAATTCCTAGTCTCCTGGTCATATACAGTTAAAAACTAAATTATTCATACCCTTACCAAGTTTTGTGATTTTTGAAGTATGTGAAAATTGATTTGTCTTGATTTATGTTTCTTGATAATGTGACATATTAAAGCTTACATCTCATAATATTCAGCAAAGGTTCTAATTCAACCAATCCATCTTTCATTCTTGAGTTATGAAAAACACAAAAACCATGAAATTTTCAAGGGGTATGAATAATTCAGTTGTTAATAGTTGATTCAGAGCCAGAAGTGATCTAATGTGTTAAAGAACCTGAATTGATGCCATTTTGACTCTCAATATTTAAGTAGTATATGACACTGGCACAGCAAAAGTTACAACACAATTTGTTCATGCTTTTCATAATGTTCATTAAAACAACAATTTTATATCCTATTCCTTCTCAAAATAATAAGTTTTTTATCAATTATTTTGGCAAGGACATTAATTCTGCAAATAAATTACATCATGCAGCAATTAAACAGGTGTACTTGCATAAGGAAAATGTGTCAGCAACTTTGGTCGATTGATAAACAATCTAAATTGCTTAAACAAAATTGGCAAGCAGTGAGGAAAAAACAAATTCGGGCCAACTCTGCTTTTTTATCTTGACTACAGTATAATTTATGGAACAACTCATTCAGAGCAATCAGAACGGTGCTCAACATATACATCACAGAGATGCCAATTTGCATTGGTAAGTTACAATTACTCTAAATAAATAAATACCCATAACTATCTCCTTCATTGAATATTTCTCAAATTTTCACTGATTTGCTTATCTTAATTTATGAATTTGTTTAAGCCTCATTGATGGCAAAGTAGACTAGCTTTCCCTTTAAGAGCATCTAGGCAGTATCACACTTAAATGTTCTAGCAGACACTAGGCTTTCGAACTTGAGGTATTTACATCAAGTTCGGCAGGAGGCAAACCAATTCCAATCTAATTTGAATTCTGTCAAATTACGCAGTCCTAATAGATTTTACAAATATAGCCCTCAAAGGCCCGTAGTCTTCTTGCTCAGACCAAGTTTTTTGTTTGACCACGGGACATCATATATGTAAACATGTACATGTATATTCGGATTATTAGAATATACATGTACTTTCAATCAGAAAAAATGGTAAATGTCAGAAATCATCCATATGTTACAGATACATGTACTTCAGAGTCCTTATTTTCGATACAATAATAATAATAATGGCGGGTTCTTGTATAGCGCTCATGTGACTTAACACTCCTGGCACTCCCGATCATTACCCTGGGTTGAGTGTGGCAAATGTAGATTAATGTCTTGCCAAAGGACATTAGTGCCGCAGCGGGACTCGAGCCGCGGATCTTGTAATCGACAGTCCGGTGACATATCCACTCGACCACGACACCTCTACTCAGAGATTAAAATGCTGCCAAAACAAAAATCAGCATACCTGATATCTTTATTCAGCAGTTACATGAATGTATACTCTATGCCTATTTGTATACATATTTGACTAATGAAAAGTTTTGAATATCAGTGCAAACCCATGTCACACAAGCACCCCTTACAAAACTTTTAAATAATAATCTTTTTCAAAAGAATACCTTTTTCTTATTTTTCTGAAAGAAACAATCGAACCTCCACCATGCTAAATGTACATTATGTACCACAGACTTATGTTTGCATAAAGGTCAGAGCATGTACCAGCTTAAATTGGCAACCATACAAAAATATATTTGTGCATCGCCTTGGAAAGATAACTAATGTTCGGCAGCATCTGCGAGGATATGTAATAGTGTTATATTTATGTAATGATGTTGAAGGCCTGAACACTAAGACTTTAATCTAATTGATTGCATTACAAGCTGTGTACAGTGTAGAAACCAGGCAGAGTGAATGAGAGAGATGTCTGGGACAGAGATAGGTAGAGAGCAATCCAGTGACATAGAAAGAGATGGACCATATAAGATACAGACAGCAAAGAAACATTAAAAGATAATAGAGATGCAAAAAGAGACATTAAAAGACAGAAGAAGACATAGAGACAATAGGAGAGAAGGACTGAGGTGAAGAGACTTAATGTCACACATGCAGACAAGAAGTAGTCTGTGTCAGAGCTAGAGCCAGCCCAGACAGATGAACATACAAAGAGATGAGGGAAATAGGGAGGAAGAGAGAGAGGGGGATCAGAGAGAAAGAGAGAGAGAGAGAGAGAGAGAGGGGGGGGGAGAGGGGGAGAGAAGGGGGGGGCGTTACAGTGAATAATAGACAAGGAGAAAGAAAGTTAGACAAAAAAGTTGTGAAATATGAAGTGATAAATGTAGAAAATGGGAAAGAGACAAAATAAATTAAGAGACATGAGAGAAAGAGAGAGAGAGAGAGGGGGGGGGGCACAGAAATAAAGGAAAGAGCAACAAAATATTACAGAGAGAGCTGGAAAAAGAAAGACATAGGAAAAGAACGAATGAGACAAAAAATACACATGTACGCAGAGGGAAAGAGACAAAACATAAATACAAAGTAGGAGAGACAGCGATGGAGACAAACAAACAGAAAGAGAAAGAGAAAATGAGACAGGAAAGAAGAGACACAAATTCTAGGCCAGATGGATATGACACGCTTCCATTGCTCTGATCCGCTGTGTCACGATACATTACCTTTTCAATCTAGCTAGCACCATTCGATCCAAGTTCTATCTCAATATCATAGTACACATACCCCCAGCATATTTCAAACTAGACTGTACAAGTATGCAAGGTATTCCATGTGGCAGAAATCAAGCATACATGTAGCTAGAATTCTTTGTGAATACCTTTATAGGTGATTAAAGGTAGCACTTAATTCTTGTTTGTTTGTTGTTCTTGCTGTTGTTATTTTTTTAGGGGTCTATTTTCATACTGTTGTTTGTTTATGACATCAATAAAAATAACTTTGACACATATGACAATTTGGGAATTTCAACAATTCAACATCACCTGTTAAATGCCTTTCCATAATACATATAAACCCAAATGTACTTGTATTTCAGATACACTAAAAACTAAATGATTATGAACAATGTAGTACAAATTTGTCTTAAAACATCTAATGATATCATTATTACATGTAGTCCATAAATTTCACAATATGTTATTTATGAAAATCTAACTAAGATTGATAGGCACTTAACTTGCTTGCCAACTATTCCTAATCATGTTGACAATCAATCAATAAAAACCACAATATCACCAAAATGTAATTTGTGGTAAATTGGCATTCCAAAATGTAACCATGATTACTGTCTATGGGTAACACGATTATATTACATGAAATGACTCCATGCTGAATAATAAAACAAAGGTCTACTTGTAAATGTATACTATGTATAGTGGTATACAGAAGAATGTACAGGGAGGGGCGGGGCAATATTGGGGAGGGGGGAGGGGCACAAGTACAGATGTATCAATACATGTGTATCTCTGACAAGCAAATAACTTTCTTCTTTTTTTTTTGTACAAGGTTTCATTTTTTCAAATAAACTTTCCACTATTCAAAAATTATGTTATTTCATTCTTTTCTTCTTTCTGTTTGTTTTAATTTAGGGGGGAGTGGGCGTGTTTGCCCAATAATAGGGGGAGGGGGCAACTGACCCCTGGACACTCCTAAAATTCTGCACCTGTGTACATGACCTACTCTCAATAATAGGTTCCTGAATGTGATGATTTAGTCGGTACTAGGGATGAAAGGAGGAAGTATTTGTTTTAATGTAAGCCTAACAAAACATAATCATTTACACTAAAAAAGCAAATAATGCATTATCATACAACTTCACCCTCACTTTTATACACACTTACAGTACATGTTCATACAGTGTAAACATGTACTTGAACAAGTATGAAACTGTAAATACTGTGACACACAGTATTTAAAAGATATTCATTTTTGTATACAGAATAATAATAGTAGTCATAATTATAATCATGATAATAATTATGATAATGATAATAATAACATAAACAATAATGCTTATAAAGGCAAATATAGGATCAGAGAAAAAAATAAAACTCTCTCTCTCTCCATTATAATATCTGCCATACATGTAGTCATGTACTATATTATGAATACATTAATCAATTCTTATTCAATTTTATATCGATTCCAATTTTACCTCCATGCAAATATAGCCCATCAAGCAAAATAAAACATTAACATTTATAAATCAAATTAAACATATATTGTGGGGAATAAAAAATGTGCACAAGGGTTAAAAAACTGATTTAAAATTTAGAAGGTTAAATAATTTAGCGGCATTCTCAATCCCCAAAACAAACAACTTAGTCATATTGTTTATCAATACAGTTTGCCTAGAGATACAATCCTTAATCAGGATCATCAAGGAATTATTATGAAGAGAAGTTTTGATGATATTCCCAAAGTGTAAAATATCCTGGGTACTTTCAATTTTAAGAACATTCTTATTAGAACATTAAAACTATCAAAAGAAAATTTGCAAATTAAATGTCTGACCCCCAGACAGCATTGAAGCCTTACTGCGACTCAAAATCTTATAATATTAAAAAAAGAGGACAATTTTGGGGGTGGCTACATGTAGGCTTTCATGAATGTTTACATAACGGGTGAGGAAGCAGCTTTAAACTGTTACGAAATATATCATCTGTTGACAGCCTAGAGCCAGAAAGGCATTAACTCTGTATTACATGTAAATGATGCAAGTTAACACCTTCTGGCTCTAAAGCAATGACATACAGTACAGACACACAGCACACACACGCACACATTACATTACAATCACTTTTCATGTCATGCCTGTAATACAGAGATACCAGTATAAATGTGTATGTACATTTACATTGTATAAGATGGATGGTGGCATGTTACCATGGTGACAACAGTGATGTAGTCCAAACAGGTCTCAAAGAGGTATAGAGATTTCGCAATGAAACAGATTTGAGGTCTTGGTCTCAAACTTAAAAACTGGGATAAAATTTATATCCCCAAGGACCAAAAATAGTCCTTGATGTTCTAAAATTTGGTACCGTAGTTAAACCATGCTCCTCAAAGTCCAACTTTTAATGGCGTTCTCTACTAATTGAGTTAAACAATGGACCTACTTACTGGATCTACATGTAAGTCCTGGTTAAAAAAGGAAAAATTTAGACCTTTGTCTAACTACCTTTGTTACACTCGTTTATAGACCGATGGTGAACAAAGCATCAAGTTTAAATCTTAGTTGAAGGATATGGCCCCTAGAGAGTTGGGTCTCGGAGCACATGTTTGGACTACATCACTGTGAACCTTGGATGCTAATTTTTTAGCTTCCATCTGATCCTATGGGAATGAATAACAAGCGTGCATGAAACGGAATGAAAACGTGCAAACTCAAAGCTAAAACTGAATGCAAAACAAAGGAAATTAACTGCAAAGTGACTATTCAGCTAATGACTACGGCGTGGTAAAGAAAAAAAAAGGAAGCAAGAAGTGTTTTTATACCTAAGATCAATCCCGGTGAAAACTGGCTCGGAGGAAAGAGGAGCAAGATCGGAAGTAGAGAAGGAGAAAGCGGAGGAGGTGGAGAAGGAGGGCGTGGTGGGGGAGGTATCGGGGGAGGGTTTGGAAGGGGGGAGTTCTTGGAGGGAGAGAGTGGAGGTGTTTTTGGCTGAGAACCAGCGGTATCTGATAGGGGGAAAGCAGATAGAAGGAGCAAAGACAAAGTTGGGTTAAAATATCTTTTCAAATACAAAAGTGGCATCGCTTGCATTGTACCTGATAGGACAAGGCTGGTATAGAAAGGAATTTGTGCTGGAAGTATACATGTAAATATCATCTGCTGAGGACTAAATGTAGGACATTAACTCATATTATATTTTTTGTTTAAATAATAGTACTAAAGTTTTTAAAAAACATACATATATGTATGTACAACCCGGGGCCAGGGCATCATTTCATGAAACCATCATGAGTACAGGTTCACGGACATCCCATTGATACATGTGTAAAATTCTATGCACGCATTTCAATGTGTTGTCGCTAAACTTGTACTTCTCACGGTTTCGTGAAACGCAGCCCTGGGCATCTAAAGAGTTGATAGAGAAATTGATATCATGAGTGGCAGTTGCCTTAGGTCCTGAAGCAACAAAAATGCTTCAAAATTGACACAATCATTAACAGTCCAAAACTATGTAAGTTCATGTAAAGATGTCTAATTAGACTCAACCAAACTTGTTGCAAGTATAACCATTTTTGGCAAGATATTATATTACTCATGTTAAGCTTTGTAAAATTTTCCTTGTTTTGCCTCAAAAATACAAAAATAAAAAATGACATGATGCAATTCTCTCTCACATTAGAGCATGGCAATTAATGTTCCATATCCCTTATGACACAGCTTCCCCTTGGATAAATGTAAAGGGATATTCAAAATTACTCATTGCCACAATTAACTAATATCCAAGGGTAGCGGACGACATTAACATTATATTTCCTGATCGATTAAATGAGTTAACATCCTTCAAGTCCACAGCAGATGATACGATGCATATGGCACAAATCACAATAGTAGGTATACACAGGTACACTCTCTATCCCGTGCGAACATTTCTAAAACAAGACAAAATATGTGTACTGGTACCCAAGGAGTGTAATAACGTGTACTACTGCTAGAGCAAGTAACATCAAGTAAACAAAAAGATTGCTCCGTTGTTTCCCATGTCACATTGAAACAGGAAGACTGACTGACATGATAACACGTAGCTTACTGTAGATGTCTTACAAGTTACTGTACAATGCTTGTAACAGACAAGTATTACATTACATTAACATAACTGGGTGGATGTGAAAACAAAATGATTCATTTTAGTTTTCCAAACTGCAATTCTGAAACAAGCAAAGAAAATCAGGCCTCAGCTCTACTGCAAATAATGAGCTTTAGCTTAATAGGGATCATGAAGAGGAAATACATTTATTCAGTAAATTAAGTAAAACTTGAAATCAAATAATTCTAATATCAATTTCAATGTTAATTTTCTTGATATTACAAGGCCTTTGGCAAAGTAATAATGAACATTATGATAAATGTACATTATATCTTTCATTTATTTGTTTTTGTTAGCTGGAAATTTATCAAATTTTTTGATAAAACACTGCAAAGGAAATTTCACTTCAAGAAAATACAAGTAATTAACGGAGCATGATCAACATACAAAGTACAGGGTCGGCTAAACTGGACAATGATGCTTTGCAAGTTGACACATTTTCAGGGTTGGCTTATAATGACTCAGCACATGATTTTTTTAATGATGTTAAATATTTTGCTGGTGAATTTTACAAACATCGTTAACATTTATTGCAAATATGAGCATATCGGAGCAACACCAATTATGATACACATAACTTTGATGAACTTGAATTACATTTCTCAATGACCAATGATAAAATGGCTGTTTACACTCCTTTTTTGGAGGGGGGGGGGGGGTCCTGAAGGGTGATGACTTGCTCCTAGAGAAGAACTATTAAAACACAAAATTCAATGCACTTCAGAACGATAAATGACATGAAATCCAATCGGTTGGCTCTCACTCATTCCAAAATTTACACAAAAAGTAAAATTCTTATGTATGCAGGACAGCCATTTTGGTGTTTGATCACTTGTAACCTTCTTGGAGTACTCTTCAGAAATCTTTTGTTATAACATTTCCGAAAAAGTCCACTATCACACTTCACTTAAATTTGATTTTTTTTACTACATTAATTGAAATTCAAAGCTTTGAGTATTTGTTTACACGCATAACGATTAACAAAGGAAACAATTTCTTGCAAGGCCTTTCTTACCAAAAACATGGAAGTTCAATGGCATTTCTACCTCAATTTTTTGGTGAAAAGGTATATTTATCTTGATTGATTTATAATAAACAAGAACAAAAATATGACTGCATTGGATGTCACATACTATTTTTTTGCCAATTTGGAAAGAAAAGAAGGCAATCGATCCGCTTTTCCTTCCTTTTTACGGCCGAGGAATACACGGCTTGGATAACGCTTCACCTTTCTCCCTTAAGCTGTTCAACGACTAATCTTTCTTTTCACCAATTAATTTGAAGAATGGGTAGGATTATCTTACACAGAATGGGATAGACATGGATGAAAGCATAGAGTATTTGCTTGGAAGAAAAAGCTTCACAACTCTCCATTTGTCTGATAATTCTCATTCCTATTGTTAGAGAGGGACATGTGCATATGTACACATTTACATGTACATAACGTATATGGTACACTAGGGTCCTGTTTTATAATGAGTTGCGCTCGATCCAGATTTATTGAGTACCAAAGTGCTAACGTGATATTCGCTCGTCGTCCAGGTTACTGGCTCTAAACAAAAGAGCCTGCTCATGAGGTTCATAGTGAACGTTCTGGTTTTACAGCAGATGATATTTCACAAGATGAACAATCATGAAAACTTCTAAAAAAAAACTCAAAGCCCTCTGCTGCACGGATGCATCCACACTTCCATAGAACATTTTCTGAAAGAGGTTTAAATGCAAATTCTAATGACTGAGATTGATTGTATAACATACTTGGTGTTGTATGGATGCCTTGTTGAGTTCCAATCACTCTGCTCGATCATGCCTCTCCTCTTGTCCGCTCTGGTAGCCTCTGTGGCAAGGTATTTGAATATGTGTACTCTCCCTCTGGTACAGACCTGGGTGGGGGTGTTTCACAAAACTTGTCATCAGTGGCATGTGACAGTTTTTGTTATAGGCTACTGAAATCCTTGCTTCTGATTGGTTATCAGCAGATTTGTCATTGATTTTAGTCATTTGTCATTGAAAAAGGGCTTTGTGAAACAGGTCCCTGAGCATCGATGGTAAGATAGAAACATCTCAGAGCAGGTCCAAGATATTTTTGTATTCACGTCTGATAACAGTCATACATGTATTTAAAGCCCCACTGCATTACTTATAGCTACTTGCGCCCTCTATATAGCAAACAATGCATAAACGGTGACCATTGGTCTCCCATGATCCCCTTTTTCATATGTTAATTGAGAGCTGAGTTGATGAGATAACCACCTGTCAGTGACCTTGCAGGGAGGTCTATTCTCTCCTGACCAAACTAGTGCAGTGGGGCTTTAAAACTAATATTTTGAACATAATATTGTGGTATGGAACCTGTGACTACCAGAAAATTTGGGAGAGGGAAGGGGGAGCAATAGGTCCCCTCTGATGCTCTAGATACCATGACAACTTGTCCTGGAGGATTTAAGAGTGGATTGTAGTCCACTTTATTGGTGTCTCCCTCCACCGCAGCCATTGGGCACTACTAAAACATTTGAAACCAACCTCAGCTCAAGGATTGGTGGGCAGATTATGGTCCACTTCAGATGTGCCCCCCCCCCTCCCTAAGAAAAAAGAAAAGCCAATGGGTCTACTAAAGCCCTTGATACCAACCTGAGCTGGAGGGTTTGTGAGAGGATTGTGGTCCACTACGAAGGTATCTAGCGTGTGCATGGTCCGGTAGCAAGGTGGAATCAGCTGGATCTTGTTGCATGAGATATCAAGCTTCACTAGTTTTAACTTGCTGATTTCTGTAGTGTGGGGAGAAGAGAGAAAAGTGAATTTATAACAATTTTCACTTTAATTACTTGAACATGTATGTCAAGATTAAATTGATTATTAATAGAGAATAAAATATGCTGAGAGTAAGAAAGGCCTAACTCTGTGCTGAAGGATGTGACTTTTAAAAACCTGCTCGACTCTCAGCAGATATATACTTTCTCTCTTTCTCCCCCTCCCCTTCTCTCTCTCCCTCTCTCTCTCTCTCTCTTCCTCTCCCCTCCTCTCCTCTCCTCTCCTCTCCTCTCCTCTCCTCTCCTCTCCCCTCCCCTCCCCTCCTCTCCTCTCCCCATCTTCTCTTCCCCTCCCCTCCCCTCCGCTCTCTCCATCCCTCCCTAGCTAGCACACCTTCAAGGACTACTATACACTTTAAAGCTACATGTACATGATGTACAAGGTATCAAACCCACAATGTGCAGCATTCTAGTGGCCTCAGCAGCCAGAAAAGGACTCCCTCTTGTCCCATTTCGTCATCTAAACACTGAAGACCCTGAAGACCCTGAAGACCCTGTCCACATTAGCCCAAATTTTCAAAATACAGTAGGCAACTATTTTTTACCCAGGGGAAACTAGCTTTATTATAATCGAAACTATAACATGTATGTCAAGCTCCATTGTAATTCAGTTAAGATGCAAAGAGCGCGCTATTTTCACCTCGCACTTATGTTTAGGATAATAGCTCAAGCTATAAATAAACATGACTTGTTAGCAAAAATAGCCCATTATTTGGCCAACCGCGGGAATATATTGCCAGTGAAAACACACTCAGACAAGGATATAGGCTCTGAAACTTGAGATAATTGCTCAAGCTCAAAGAGAGTGCTTGACTTGGCCCACTGAAGATGGAGAACCTTAACCTAACGACACAAAAAGGAAGCGTGTATCAAAATCAACACGCATTTCAATAAGATGTCTATAAACTTCTATTTGTTTGTATAAACCTACATGCACCACTGTCACTGTACATGTACTTAAATACGTTAAATACATTTAAACGTTTAGTACAAGATTGTTGACATCACATTGAAATGTGCGTATTAGATTAAAATGCATTTCATTTGGGTGTCCACGAACTTGTGCTTATCATGGTTTTTCATGAAAACAGTAGGACTGTCTTCATCAGCTCGAGTTAGCCGAATAAGCCGCTATTTTAACTATCCCGACCACAACTTAGCCAGTTAATTTGCATCGTCATCAGCCTGCAGTTGCTAGCAGGTTAATATCCTGAGTCTGGAAATAGCGGGTTAATTGGCAAACTTAGGCTAATGAAAACAGGTCTTATGTTCTGGAGCTTCTTCAGACTAATAGAAACACACCCTTAGAGACAGATAACCCTCAGTGACTGATGACCTTACGCGACATACTCGCCCCCTGGGGTCAAATCTAGGCCCTCTACCTCCCTTTCAACGACTCCCTCATGTTCGTTGAGGGGAAAACAAATTGGGTTAAGAACTTAAGAAAACTCAGAGCATTGGAATGCCATTGCCAAGTACGTCATTGAGAAAACTACTTGTTTATACATGTACCATACCAGCTACAGCACAAACTAACAATAACACTTTATCCTTGGCATTTGAGGCTACATGTTTTGGTCATGTGATATTAGCTAAACTTGTCATAATGCTATTTCACATGAAAAACTTTATGTACATGTACATGTAAGCTCAGAATATACAAAATGTTTCGTATCATTTTTTTTGTTTGGTTTGACTGTTTTTTTGTTTGTATTTTGTTTGTTTAAGTCAATCATCATAATCCAATTAAAAACAAAACAAAAATTAATGTTGCCATAACTGTGATAGCTTTTAAATTGTTTGAATACATTTGACTGAGCATGTCACTGAAGTTGCAAAATTAAATCATCAACGTCTAGTATTGCAGAAGGGAATAACAAAAATTAAAGGAAATAACAAAAATTAAAGGTGATTGCAATATTCTATCTAAAAAATCTAAAAAATAATAATAATGTACCGGTATATAAAAGTAAAACTGCATACCACGGTACATGTAAATAATCATCGATGGTAGAAAAGAAAATTCACAGTAATCCGACTGAAAGTTACAAGATACAGAATACTTGGTAAAACATAAATGTGAATTCTGGTCATGCAATCGCACTGTGAAGAAAATGGTGTGGAAGCATTTTAGGGGGGAAAAGGATAATCATGTAGCACATGTATGCATATTAGTGTATACTGTGAGGTTTTGGTCTTGTTAAAAGTCACATGGACTGTACACAGAAATGCGCATGTGGCACTACACAAACATGTGGCTTTAAAGTGTGGGTCCACAACCTTTAGCTACCAATCGTCCGATTTTGAACAAGCTAACTACCGTAAGCAATATGTACACACATCATATAAAGCCACCTGGCACAATAATACTTGAACATACATGTGCAGGTGCACTGTATGATTAATTCTTAACTCATTGCTTCATGATGATTCAATCTCAAATCATTGTCTTTACAGCCCCATTCACACAAATGCAGTAAACCGTTTTGTTGTTGTTAATGCAGTACCAAAATCAAATCAAACATGAGCCTATGCATAGTTACTGAGCCCTGCGTTATGAGATATAGAAATATGAAGTGTTTTACATTTACGTCAACATTATAAAAATGTAGCGGTTTACCGGGTCTTGTCTGAAAGGGGTAGAATCGTTGATATACTAACCATCTGGTAATGTGACAAGGTGATTTCTTCTGATGTTTAACTCTTTGAGTCCTGACATCTCCCCGATCTCATTCGGTAAGTTGTCCAATTCATTGCAGGAAGCATCCTACAAAAAAAAATTGGGACAGTTGTTAAGACATTCTTTAGATTCAGGGGGTACAGTACACACTGAATCTAGATGCAAGCCATCAAGGAAATAAACAACCTCAGATATAAATAACAGACAGTAAGTATAAGTGAGCATGTAACAAATAACACTATGTTCTATTTAAGTCCTATTGTATTCTATTTAAGTTCTATTGTATTCTATTTAAGTTCTATTGTATGTTGATTTCAATCTGTAAGAACGTCAACGAACAATGAATTTAAACTATGTGATTGGCAAGCATAATCAAAGAACTGTTTTCTGCAACAACAACAAACGAAATATACTCACCAGAAGCATTAATGTTCGTAACTTGCCAATTTCTGGAGGTAACGAGACTAATTTGTTGTTGCTTAGTATTAGGACTTCAAGGAACAGATCACATATTTGCATAGGTAAGACACTGAGCTGGTTTCGACTGTCAAAAGAGAAGCAGGAAAATAAGAATGTTAATAAGATATTATCCAAATTTTATCAATGCAAAGCATAAAATTCATATAACGAAGTCAATCAATTATATATCAAATTAATGATTTTTTACAGTAAATTAATAAACCTGGGCAAAATAATGACACAGGAACTGATAACATGAATATGTACAAAAAAAAAGTGTATGTTTCGGAAGTGTACAAGCGCAACTCTCTTTTCTTTTTCTCTCTTTGTCTGTGTCTTTTCCTCTTTAGCGCTACACGTACATGTACAAAATATCAGTATTCGCCCACCCAAATTCGATAGGGAGGTTTCGGTTCAAAATATGGTAAGTTCAACCCCTATTCCATGGATTAAAATACACACAAATGTGTCTTACATGTATATTGCCTGTTCATTGCTCTCAGCCCTTTTTTCCCTTCTGTCTCTCACATACTTTCTCACAATCTCTTTACAAATGTCCATATGTACATGTATGTACATGTATGCCTCTGTGTTTCAGTCTCTCTCCCTCCTTCCCTCCCTCCCTCTCTCTCCCCTTCATCCCTTCTTGGCACCCCTGCATGCGAGGGGGAGGTCACCATGCATCAGCCTCCGTTTAGTACATTTGATCCGTCAGACTTCCTTCCTCTGACTTGCTGTCTAATCGCTCCGATCATGATAATCCCATTCCAATGCCAGAGCGGGTGATCCGCATCCTATCCCTTCCAAGTCCCCCTCATTCAAACTTACCCTCATTCACACTAGAAAAATTAATTGTATAAATATATGAAAAATATATCTAGCTATACAATTGTAGATACGATATAAATTGAAGTTACATACATTTATTTCTACTGTAGTTGGAACGTCTTAGATAATAAAACAATGTACATGAAAATCAAAAAGGATGTTTCATTTACTTTACAAATGAAAACTACATGTAGATGTAAGTTATCTTCTTATTTTAATTTGATTGTCGTTTAGTAAGAAAATGGGCAAATCACTTGCGCATTTCTTTATACAATGTTTCTTTCTTTTCTATTTATATGACAATTTTTCACAAGTTTATGCCTCTTTCACTATACAATGATTCCTCATACATGTACTACATGTATCTGAAACCAGAAGGACATTAAGGTTGTGTTCAAGTAAATCTGCATTAAAGGTAAAGACCAGTTTTGGAAACGCCCCAATTTCAAAAAATGAAATGGAAGCTCTTAGTACTAATCATGTGAAAGAATATGTTTTGACTAATACATGATGATAAAAAAATTTGCCGGGAAACCGCCTACTAATTCATATATTTGGTAAATTTGTTTCTCTCATGGTCTGTGAGAGATATAGGGTAGTCCCATATACATCTTTCTGTGTATAGTGCTTGTAACTTTACGAAGAATGGGCCAAATTTCTTATCATTTTGATGATTCCAGAACCTTGCAGATGCTAGATGCTAGATGATCAACCTTTTCTGATCGATTCCACAACGTTTCTTTCACAATGCAATCGCATGACCATAACTGTTCTTTACCTTTAAAGTTGACGCCCTTCTCGCTCCAAACATACAATACCACATTTCGCCTTGTGTGAACTGGGTGTACAGGTAACATCCCTGTACATGTATCTGACATCACGCCCTCTGTGATTAACTTGTACTTTCATGAATTGATCCTCTCGGTATTGGGGTCGCATGTTACGGGGGTAGAATGCAATATATCCACAGGAAAAGCAAGGGCTATGAACCCATAATCTTTCCCCTACCCACTTAATCTTTCTCTCTGTTGGTCGCTCCCCTGCATATAACATGGGAGGCCTAAACATACCGGTACATTAAATGCACTCCATAATGTACTCTGTACAAGTGCAAAGTGTAGGCCTTTACATTTCACTCTTAAATTTAAAGCAAGGCTGTGTAAATGTGTATGCACCCTCTCCCTTGCAGATAACCCCCTCCCTAAAAAAATGTTAATAAAAAAAAAAATGAGGAAGGATGATGATGATGATGTTTTTGTTGTTTAAGTTCAATCTCTTGATATTTCATTTGATTTTCATTAATCTAATCAGAATACATTTTTATTTGATTATATCTTTATTTTTTAAGGAAGGGGGAGGGCACATGCACATGTAAATAAAGTGTACTATTTATTGAAACAAGATGGCATTGTGTCCTATTTCAGTACAACACTTGAGGCACTAGCGTAAAGGCCTTGATTATTAATTTACGCACATAATGTATCTGTACCATGTCTTTAATGTATATACATGTATACAGTACAGCTCATGGCCTACATGATTAATTCCCTGTTTAAATGTTATCATACGGTTGTTCAGGAAATTAAAAAAACAAAATGAAGTAAGCCAGCCAGCCAGCAAGCTTATAAATAGGAGCCAATGCTGTCATATCCAATGAGCCATTTATTTAGGCAGCATTTAATTAGAAGGGGCCAAGACTAGGTGGATATATATCCAGAGTGCAGCAACTTGTATATTGGAAGTACAGTATATTCCAGCCGAGAAATTTAATTAATACATGGCATGCATCATCGTATCACGGTAGTGTTCACATGCAGTATACATGTAGTAGATTGGTCTAGACTTGTTTAATTGTATACTACTGTATATGTACAATCAACAACTAAATTATTCATAACCTTACCAAGTTTTGTCATTTGCTTAAGTACATTGTACATGTACAGGGGTATGTGAAAAATTGATTTGTTGTGATTTATTTTCTTGAAAGCTACGTGTAGTGTAACATATAGCATTCAGCACAGGCCCTAATTCAATTGATCCACCTTTCATTCTTGAGTTTTGAAAAACACGACAACCATTCAATTTACAAGGGGTCTGAATAATTCAGTTGTAAAGCACTGTATAAAGCCTGAATGTACCTGTACACGACAAGTGTAAAAACTAGGAGCAAAAGATAATCTACCGGTACTGTTAATGTTATCCAGGCTAGTACAGTATGTGAAAGCACTATTAAAACTAAACTATTTTTGGCATTGCATGTGATAAATCAAGTAACATTTGAATAATGTACATGTACATGCTGCAATTTCCATAGACATTTTACAGACTATAAGGGGTACAGTATATCCTCACAAGAAATGTGTGAGAGGATGAGGAATGGATCACTTCTTGAGAGGTAGAGAGAGGCCTAGTGTTAAAGGGATAGTTGAGTTCTGTTGCAGAGGGCACTACAAAAAATAGTGTCAAATATGAAAGAACATACATGTACAATTTAAATGACAAAATCATCTGTGTTTGATCAAAATCAGTTCAGAGACGGATGAAATATCCATAAATATAACGATTTCTAATATTTGTGTACCACCACAAATATTTGATAATGTGAAAAAGCTGTTGAAAAAAGAAAATAGCTCCTTTTACGTTGTATTTCAGCTAATTAATGTCGATGTTGGTTTTTTTGTTGGCTTTTTTGTTGGCTTTTTCGTGTTCGTTATATTAAGCCTAACCAGCCGGCCAATGTTTTGTTATTATTAATTAATTAATTAATTAATTAACGGTCACCATATTTTTTTGAAAGTGGAGTTGAATTGGTATGATCGTATTGGCTAATTTTCACACATTTGGGGGTCTAAAATTACCTTCATACCTGTAGCAATTTTAGGTTCTAAAAGGGCACTAGAAATGTCATACATGTAGATGATAAGAGCAATAAACCATGCACTTTGAAGGCATTTGCGGTCTGAAAACAGAACTCAACTATCCCTTTAAACATGAAGTTTGACAGTAAAAGAAGACCTACATTTCTACATGTATGTTTGCAACTTTGCATAAATTCTTGTTCTGATCGTGGTACCAAATGCAAATGTGGTATGGAAAGAGTACAAGTAGACTCCTTTGCCCGAGGGCCAAGCGTCTGTCTGATAGCCCCTGTTAATAAGGAATGCAATCTAATTTAGGGACGGCTTATTGGGTAAACATCCAATTAACTTGCAGGTATATGTTCTCTCTACCAAGTGGCAAGGTGAAGTTGCGTTTCCATTGGCTTCAATATAAGAAGAGTTGTGGTATTATCGCCATCCATCATCATGTACCACTATTGTCAATATAATTATAATTTTTTAATTATAATTAGTGATTACTATTATTTTTATTTAAATTATTAATATCATTATCATTATCAGCCATCATTATTTATCACTTTTGTCAATAAAATTCTAATCATTTTTTATTATAATTAGTGATTATTATTATCATTATTATTTATTATCATTATCATTATCATCATCATCATCATCATCATCATCATCATCATTATCATCATCATCATCATCATCATCATCATCATCATCATCATCATCATCATCATCAGTATCATTATTATTATCATACAGTGTAATTATTATTATTATTATTATTATGATCATCATTATCAGTATCATATCATATCACCATCATCATCATCATCATTATTCATCAACATTACTGTTATCATTATTATCATCAACAACCTGTATATTTTAAATACTTGTACATAGTACGTGTACACCTGTATCACCATCAGCTACGGGTGCTAGTTGACCCTATATGTATGAATTATGGAGTATTTGATCTACTTGACCTGCATTTCGGGCTCCACGTACAGTACATGTACTATACACATATTTAATTCTATTGACAAAATTGCCTAGAACCCCCTGGATTGTGAGGACACAGCTTGACAAAAAATCCATGCTGATGAGGTAAAGGTCAAAGCCTGTACTTTCCAAAGCTAACAAGTACAGTTTTACCTGAAAAAGGTATAAACACAAATGCATAACAAAGATTATTTATCCCCAGGGCCCAGGTCTGTTGGCACCTGTACCTGTAAGTACACCTCTGATAGATCATAAAGATGCGTAACTTTTTTTTAGCAAACTCATTTTTGTTTCACTTTTAAATCAATAAAATATCCTCTGTTGTGGATTGCCTGCTTGTGTGAATGTAAACAACCTTTGGAATAACCGGCCAACTCTTTGCAGAAACTGACCTTTATAATATGAAACATAAGTAAACCAATCTACTGTACCATATACAAGTAGGCCTACCAGGTACATGAACAGGATGGACAGGATGTTCCTGTATAAACTTAAGTTTCTGATTGCCGGATGTCCATCATATAATATAACTATTTTTTAATGAGTAAAATTATGTGAAAAAACAGAGCTAAATCATCCTAAAAATCTAATGAACCCTTCGTGGACTGGTACACTAGTTTTGTTTTGAAAGGAAAGAATAAAACACTGTACTCTTTCCCAGAAAAAAACATGTATAAATCATTTTTCTTCTTTCTCAATATCAATTGTATGCTTTTTGTTTGTTTAGTTCTTGTTGGTAGGTATTTCTTACATGCACATGTACAGATTGTGGTAGATCACATAAAAGGACATTAAATATGAAACTCTAGTCGTGAAATAATGAGTGAACAATGAACACCTTTATGGCCTTCAACAGAAGTTGTTGGCTTTGATCATGTGTCCACGTCCAAAGTCATGGTACTCATGCAATCACATGCAATTCTAAATATGGCAACTGGACATGCCGCAGATAACTGTTTGGTTTTCCTTTCCTGCAAAACATGTTTTCAGAGTCTGGTGGAATAATTCCCGGGAGCTTGAAAACGAGACATGCGAGAAGGAAACCAAGTTCAGTGTTGGATCAGACACCAGGGGGAAATGACGTCTCTTTTAGTAAGTACAGCGGGGTCCATTCACATGAGGAAAATAAATGTATGACATTCTAATGGATATATGTCACCGGACTGTGAATCACATGGTTCGCTGTTCGAGTCCCACCGCAACTCTAATGCCCTTGGCAAGACATTAATCTACATTTGCCACTCTCCACCCAGGTGTTAAATAGGTACCCGGTAGAAAGTGAGCAATGTTGTCGGATTGGCATGTGTGCGCTTGTAAAATGTCGCCTGGCTGGAATATTCCCCAGGGAGTGGAGAGTGTGCACTCGCATGTGCGGATTAGTAATTGGATCCAATGACTGGGGTAAATAACTATTAAAATGTAAAATGCTTAGAAACCTAGTATTAAGCGCCATTATTATCATTATTTGAATTAATATAATATTTTAAGTTCTGTGTTGGAGTAGAGGCTAAGACCCCGTTCTCACTCACTTCGTTGGAGCGCTCTGGAGCTCTTAGGCGAGTGAGAACGCTCAAAGTGGTCCAGGAAGCGGACTTCTGGACCGCTCCAGAAGTCCACCTTTCGAGGTGGTCTTGAGGAGTGGGTCTTATTAAGAGCGCTCCAGAGCGCTCTAACGTGCAATGTGAATGGAAAGCGTACTTTGAGCGGAAGTGACGTTCCCCGCGATGAGCGATCGGGCAGGCACTACACATACATGTATATACATGTATACGGGACGCGTCGCGAACGGGACATCAGGTGACATAGGGTTTGGATTCCGCGCGCGAAAAAATTGACCCGCCTACCTGAGCTGCCATAGCAACAACACCACTTTGACTCGTGGAGCGGTTTGAGCCATAAAAACTGCTCGGAGTGTGAACGCTCGCAAACCGTTCCTCAAGACCCGTTCCTCTGGAGCGGTCTGGAGCGGTCTGGAGCGGTCTGGAGCGGTCTAACTAAGACCACTTTCAAAGTGAGTGAGAACGGGGTCTAAGACACAGGAGGTCTCTTTACACATGTACATGTACATGTATGTGTAGTACAGTGGGTCATTCACACAAAGAAAATAAAAAGAGATTCCAATTGAGATTCAAAGTACACTTACAGTCAAACCTGTCATTGAGAAAATGGCCATTGTAGACAAGGAAGATTTTCCACACAGGACCTATAAGGGGGTGTTTAAGCGCTCTTTTCAAGCGTACTGTACCATGCCAGAGGTACAGCATCTAAACGCTCTTTAAGCAAATAATCAATACCATCAAAAACTTAATACAGTATCAGGGCACCTGTCTGGTCTTTCCTTTTAAAATGCAAACTAAAGACCATGAACCGTTTCACTCACCTTAAATTGAGATATGATAAAGACATGAGATTGACGATTTCTTCAGGTACCACTCTGATGACATTGTTATAACACGTTATTCTTTGTAATGCTGTATAAGAACATAGCTCACAGGGCAGCTCACTCAGTTTGTTTTTCGACAGATCTGAAACGAGATGAGGGAAAAATACAGATTTTATTGTAAACATTCATTTTCTCTCACAAGATTTCCCATACAATATCCTCAGGATAAATTGTGGAAAGAAATTGAGGCATGGTGTACCGGTATGTGTAAAATATCTTCCAATTTAGGATTCAAAAATAATTAAGAACAGGTACATGTAGTAATAGATTTAAAAAATACTCAGTATTTAGCAATGAAATACAGGTGTACATGTACATGTACATGTACAATGTATACTACACGTTAGAAAACTCTATTTTGGCATATATTTGTTTTGGATGTAATTGGGGGAAAACTGGAGAGTTGCCTGACATTACAATTACGATTTCACACATTTGTTTTTCATTTACCATCAACAATTTGCCAATTTTAATATAACTTAATCAAAAATAAATCATAAGTAGATATCTTTTTTAATAGTTTTATCCCGTTTCAGTTATTTAGTTTGACCATTCATCCAATCTGTTTTTCTAAATTTTCAAATATCCCTACAAGTACAGTACTTGCGATTATTAATGTTGGTCTTTCCCTCAGAGGATTTGTACATGTATGCTACAACTTCATTGCTGTAGGGATAATCTACATCATCAGCACATACAAAATACTTAATATCATGTATAAACATTGACATAGAGAATTTATAGATCTACATTTTGTAACTAAGCATATTTCTGACCTTACTACATATAAATGTATGTGCAGGGATGTGAAGTTCACCTTCTTTTTTTTGTGGTTTAAATTTTATCTGACAGGAAATCCTGTTTTTCTTCCTCTTAACTCCATCAAGCCACAAGACGAGGCAAATAAATTATAGTGATTTCACCTCAACCAGGATATACAACTACATGTAGGACCTGTTTCACAAAGCCTTTTTTCAATGACAAATGACAAAAATCAGTGACAAATCTGCTGATAACCAATCAGAAGCAAGGATTTCACTAGCTTATAACAAAAAACTGTCATTTTTTTACTGGTGGCAAGTTTTGTGAAATGGGGCCCTGATGTACGAATTGTACTCGTTATATAAATTATACATTAATACTGTACATGTATAGTGTATTGTATGTACATGTACAGTAAATACACATTTACATCAATTTGTGGAGGCACAAACGTACATGTACTTCATCATCATCATCATCATCATCATAAATAATATAATAATATTTAGCTTTTATATACACATGTAGCGCTTAATACAAATGTCTCTAAGCACTTTACAAATATACATGTATTTCCAATTTACTATTTAAGTCAGTGACAATTAGGGACAATGGTGGCAAGAAAAATCTGAACTGTCATCAAATGTAAATACCGGCAAATCCAGGCATTGCTAATTTGGTGTACATGTACATAACGATAAAAAAACTGCCCATGACAGCAGGTGGCAAGGCATGGCCCAGTGGATATCCATTGTCAGATAAGTGAAGAAAGATATTTGATATGTTAAAGCTGTGTAATGTTCACTGCATTTATGTTATCAAACGTTCTTTTTCACTGGTGTGTGAATCATTTGTAAAATTTATCAACGTACCTTGAAGTGACTAATAAAAATAAAAAAGAACATTTCCATACAAAAAACTTTTTAAGATCTGTTTGAACTTGCATATTTCTGGGTAAAATGATTGAAAATGTATTTTTACAATAAACACTGTACATGTACATGTACATTGTACAGGGTTAGCTTCTCACAAAATATTTTGCTGTGTTCTTTTGCACCTATATGGACAGTACAGGTACATGTACATTGTACTTCGGTAAAACTATAATTTCTGTGCATAAATTTTCTTCCTAATGTAGGCATACTGTACATGCACTGTACATGTATGTGTACATGTGTACACTTTAAATGTATCATACTGTACATGAACCTTGTCACTTTTCACTGCTGTTTTTGTGCTGTCAAGTGAAATAAAAAATGAATGATTGAATGAATAATGCTCAATAGAGCAAAGACTGTCTGGGCAGCATACCAGACAGACCGAGAAGGGGAGAGAGAGAGAGAGAAAGAGAGAGAGAAAGAGAGAGAGAGAGAAATATACTGTACACTATACAATACATGGTGTATACTGTAATCTGTATCGTATCTTGTCACTTTTCACTGTTGTTTTTATGCTCTCACGTGAAAATAAAAAATGAATGAATAATGCTCAGTAGAGCAGACTGTTTGGGCAGCATAGTGGCATACATGTACATGTACCAGACACAGAGAGAGAGAGAGAGAGAGAGAGAGAGAAAGAGAGAGAGGGGAGAGAGAGGGGGTAGAGGGGGGAGAGGGGGGAGAGGGGGGGGGGCGAAGAGGAGACAAACAGATGGACAAATATAGAAAAGAAAAGAGGGGTACAGACAGAGGAACAGGGGAACAGAGGAACAGGGAGGGCATCTCTTCCACATTATCTCAATGAGTCATGGTGACTGAAATACACATACTGTACATGTACATGTATGTAGATGTAATCCCAGCCTACATCTAGACCAAATCCTATTATCGCATCATCATGAGCAAACAATGACGAGCGAACAACTTTGTACAGTGTAAATTGATAAAGAGGGCTGCCAAAACTGACAAATGTCAACCACAAAACTTGGTATAACCATATAATGAACATGAATGAAAAGTTTCCGGCATATCTTAAAGGGATCGTTTAACAATGTTAAATTTGAGATACACGGCCCTACATGTTATGTGTCTGTGATATGGAGTAATATTGAAGCCCTAAAAAAATCACACTTAAGAAGTGCCTCAAAAAAGTAAAAAGCTTTGAGTGACCGGTTTTACCATACTCGTTTCCCCCAATAGACTGTAGTGTTATGAAAACCGTTTGCCACACGGTTTTCAAAATTTGTAATTCCAATCATAAATATCTTGATAATCAGACAGACGATCACCTTGTAGAAGTCATGGAGTTCCTGACTGACGTAAAGGTTCATAATTATCATTGAAGCATGAGCTTAATCCAGTATTTTGATTCAGAATCTGAGAATCTAATGTACAGAAAATTCCCTGATTTCTCTCCGATTTTTTTCACTGATACAGTTTCAAGGTTGCAGACTCATTAGAGCGGGCATTTCAAACACTAAAAAGCTGATACAATGCATACAGTGTACAGTTGATAGGCCATGCGGACAAAATGTTTAATTTATAAAAAGACCGACTAATGTACAATGTTCTTTCATTTGGGGCTCTTCTTTTATTTGGGGCACTTTTTTCTCTCAAATTCTTTAACTTTTCCCTGACTGGAAAACAAAAATGGGAACCCTTTTCCAGGTTTTCCCTGGTTTCCAGGATGCCTGCTTGGAACCCTGAGAATGAATATTCATGAGCACATGCAAGGAAACATACCAGAAAGAGTTTATTGGTCTATTCAATTTTATTGGTAATATAACTTTTCCAGATTTTTTTACAGTGTACTTTATCCGTATAATTATAACATTCAGCTCATTGTTGCACAACATGTTGTCTAATAAACAATTTTTTTAATTTGAATTGAATTAGATTGAGACAAAGATTTGGTTAAAGAGAGAAAGAGAGAGAAAGAGAGAGGTAGATGTAGAGAGGGATAGACAGAGAGAGAGACAGACAGTGAGACAGAGAGAGAGAGAGCAGGGGAAGAGAGAGAGCAGGGGCACAGACAGAGGAACAGGGAGGGCATCATCTCTTCCACGTCTTCAATGAGTCATGGCGACTGAAATAGATGAAATCCCAGCTCAGACCCAACAACACATCACATCATCGCATCATGAGAAAAAAAAAACCCTCTCTCTCTCTCACACTCTCACCATGCTCTCATCCACCCTATCCTCTCCTCTCCTGGGCCCCATTGTAGACTAGACAAGCACTCTAAAATATGACTGTCTGACCAGTACAATGTCATGTTCAGTGATAGGCATAATTTACGCGCACATGTCTTTCAATTTCCTAATGAGGACTGATGAGTTACCCATTTTGTGATGAAACTCTACATGGAGGCCTAGACTGAAGTGTACAATATATGTACATTGAAGTGTACATGTACCTGTACAGTGTACAAGTAAAGCCTTGAAGGCCTCTAAAATATGATCTACAGTACAGTCTACTTGTACATGTAGTACAGTGTACATGTTGATGTGAATTGACTGGTACAATGTGATGATCAGCGATAGGCATAATTTTCACACACATGTCTTTCAAATTTTCTAAAGAACACTGACGAGCTTCCCATTTTGTGATGAAACTCTCCATGTTGACCTACATTGAATGAACACATATCTTCAGGAAACCTTGTAGGCCATCTACTGTACATCGACAAGGTTCTGTACAAGGATCGAGAACCGTGCAGTTTCAATTGTTTGAGGTTGTTATAACATGAGTCTAAAGTTTAACCACTGTTAAAAACAATGAGTATTTTTAATCATTTCTTGAAAAGACTGACAAACAGCTGTACATGTTACAGGCACATTTCGGTAACAAACTTCAAAAGCACAGTTTTGTTTGACAAATGAAAATGAGTCAAACTTCTGTAACTCACAGAATAAGTTATGTTTGAAACTTTGCCAATTGCAGCATTTTTCCCCCACGGCTTTGACCTCCATCATGTGCAGATAACACTGTAAATCAAAGTTTATCAAACAAATCTTTAGAAACTTACCAACTGTAAATGTATGATTAATGACCTCAAAGTACATGAACATACATACAAAGAGATTGGTATGGCTACTGAACAGGAAAATACAGTACATGTACATAAGGCCATGTAAAAAATTATACATGCTTAGCGTCCCCGCCCGCTTCCTTTTTAGGGGCCGCCTCCTTTTTTAAATTTTTTTATTCAATTATATTTTTAAAGAAAAAATCATGAAAAACACTGATAAAATGGATCTATTTCTGATTTTTTTTTTTTAATGACGGCGGCCATCTTGAAAAATAACCCGACTGTCAGGGAAAATGTACCGAGCGGCCATTTTAGGCGGCCATTTTGAAAGAAGAAAAAAATGGCGTCCTTCCTATTTTTCAAAAAGGCAAGTCGCTAAACATGTTTGTTTTTTAATTTGGCCTAATATTGTCAGTTTTTGTCACATATTGAATTAAGGCTGTAGTACATGTACATGAGGTCTATCCATACTTATAATAACATGTACGTGTACATGTGTAAGTATGTAGCATCTTTCAACATGATATCATGCACCCTTCAACTAAATATAACCTTGTACCTTCCTTCAGTCTATTTCTAAGCCTTTCCTTTTAAACCATAACATGCTTGCCAGAAGCAGAACCCGAGGAGGGAGAGTGCACATGGGGAGGGAGAGGGGGAGGAAGGAAGGAAGGTGGAGTTTCCGATTGGGGCTGCCATTTCGAGCAGCTCACTTCCTCCCCTGTTGAGGTGGATTAATAACCCTTGCAGTTGCACAGGATGATGCAGGCAGAAACGACCGTGCTCGGTGCAAATTAAAATCTACCCCCATATCACGCCATGTGCACATTCATTCCATGATGACTTTGCATGCATGTCCATGTACATGTACAATGTAAATGTAAGCTCAAATACATGTTTTGTCTGTGATGGCAAAGAAATATTATTCCGTTCAAAGGAGCTTTTTGGATCATATAAAAGTGAGATATGAAAAAAGAGTATTATAAATTTTAAATATAAAATACCAGAATTTTCTTTTAAAGCTTCCGAGTGCTACAGTAAATCACTCAATAATCCTGTACATGTACATAATGTTATATTGTGATAGTGATTTTCACATCACACCAAATATAATTTGACAGGATTTCGATTATGAGAGTTGTTTTTTTTTCCCTCTCTCTCTCTCTCTTTCTCTCTCAAAATACACTTCGGAATGAATTGTACATATTACATTATTAGTTCTTAAGGAAATAAACATGACAATGCATCAAAGACCAGTTTTATTGTTATTATTATTATTATTAACATTATTATTAATATTATCAACTTTATTATCATCATCATCATCCCTCATCATCATCTTAATCATCATTAGTATTATTATCAATACCATTAAAGGTAAAGACCAGTATTGGAAACGCCCCAATTTCAAAAAATGAAATGGAAGCTCTTATCACCAATCATGTGAAAGAATATGTTTTGAATAATACATGATGATAAAAATGTTGACGGGAAACCGCCTACTAATTGATATATTTGGTAAATTAGTGTATCTCTCGCCTGTTGAGAGATACAAATGCACGTGTCGCGCACGTGTGTGTAGTCCCATATACAGTGTACATCTTTCTGTGAACAGTGATTCTAACTTTATGAAGTCTTGGCCAAATTTCTTATCATTTTGATGATTCCAGAACCTTGCAGTACATCTACATGTATGCTAGATGATCAACCTTTTCTGATCGATTTCACAATGTTTCTTTCACAATGCAATCGCATGACCATAACTGGTCTTTAGCTTTTAATGCTATTATCTTTGTCATTATTATTATCGTCATCATCATCACCATCATCATCATCAATTCATCATCATCAACCAATCATCATCATCATCATAATCAATCATCATCATCATTAGTATTATTTTGATTATTATCATTAATGTTATTGTTATCAAATTTGTCATTATTATCATCATACAATTACACGCCCTGTATCATCATCAACAACATTTCTATTATTATTAATCATTATTATTGGCAGAGGACGACGGTGTGGTTCTTACGTTTCCTACATGTACATGTACTGTATATACATGTATTTGGAATGTACCTTACATTGCAAAGGTGAAAATATTCTGTCTCTTAAAATTAAACTCATTGTTTGTATAATCTCTTTCATATCTCACTATAAAGTTATGAATTCTGTAATGTAATAAACACAGATACATGTAGTTACAAAAATTGAAAATCTTGTACCAGTTAGTAGAATTTGTATTTTTTCATTTCATCAGTATTTATAGTCACTTTATATCATTTTTGTCACTCTTTTTTATTTCTCAGATTTTTCAACCAAGTGTACACTGTACATGTAATTTGTGTTCAGTTCTCCAGTCTGGACATGAAAAAAGACATTTGAATATTTAGATTTCAGGTCTGCATTACATGTGTTGGAGGTTTCCCGTCAAAATTGTTATCGTCATGTAATATTCAAAACATATTCTTTCACATGATTGGTAATAAGAGCTTCCATTTCATTTTTTGAAATTGGGGCGTTTCCAAGACTGGTCTTTACCTTTAACTTTTTCTGGCCACAATCAGGCATCTGTTACGCGTTTAGTTTAAAACACGGTTGCGTCCTTTCTCACTTTTGTAGAATCACTGAAAAACGGCGATCATGATCGCCGATCAAAAACTCACAAAACGATGCGTTTACAATTTGTAAACGCGTTTAAATGGGGTCAACGCACTGACCTCTAGTGGGTCTACGTATGGACCATGGTCTACATAGCATGCGCATTTCAAGGTTGCGAATCCAGCTGCAAGGCCAATTAAGGCCACCCAGGGAGAATTGCCTGGAGGAGCCAGAGAAGTGAGCATAAACAGTACACCATGGAACTGCGATTACGATGAGCGTTTACGATAAGCGTTACAAATCGCTCATTCTGCCTTCAAAATTTAAGCTTAAAAGCACCCTATGCTTTGCTGGAGTGAGGTTTGCCTACTAATTTATCAAAGCTTTGTGAAATCAACGGCAGCTTTACATAGATTTAGTCAAAAAGATCTACAGATCTAGGCCTACATAAAAACAAAAGTGATGTCTTGATTAAGTGCCCGGACGACCGAACTCACAACCCATGCACTATGCACCAGCATGCAGCATCGGGCACTCAACGGCCAAGTTGTACCGTAGACACAGACAGACCCCAACAACACTGCACAGCTCAGTACACTTTACGAAATGATAATCGCTCGACAACTTACCGATCTCTACAGTGTCAAACAAATCGAATTTTTCTGCACTTTTAGGATAGTCCCTTAAATTCCTTCCGCCCAGGTTCAGTTTTCCCGATTTTTGAGCATCTTCAAGCACCTTTTCTAAAGACCTTAATTGAGTGCCTCCACTATGCGAGATGGTCACCGCCATTTTTCCATCAAACTATATCATACATATATCCCGGAAGTTATTGCATCCACAGTACACACATATACATATGAGTTGTACATGTACTGCATTTAGTTGTTTTGAGAAACCGTTCGCCTTTATAGAAAAGGTCGCACGCCATCTACGACAATAAACCATACATTTCGTAGGGAAATAATCTTGGATAGAAAGTAAAGAAGTATCCAACTACCGGGACGCGATCCGCGTCATATATAAAGAAGGTCTGTCTGTCGCTGAGCGAAAACTCGCGAAATTATTAAATAGAGTAAACGTTTGGACTGAGAGCAGGCGCGGATCCTAGGGCCTTGCCCCCCCCCCACCGGCAGCAAAAAAAAAAACAAGAGAGAGAAAAGAGAGGAGGAAAAGAAGGAAAAGGAAAAGAGAAGAGAAAGGGAAAGAAGAAAAGGAAGAAGAAAAGAAAAAGGGGGAGATGGGAGGGCGAAAAAGCCTTCATCCAAAGCTGTTGCCCCCCTCCCCCAAAGCAAAAACAAAGGAGAAAAGGAAGGAAAGGCAAAAAAAAAAAAAAAGAGGGATAAAGGGAATGGAAATTTAAAAAAAAGGAAGAAGAAAAGTAAAGAAGGGGGATATCAGTTGCGATTTTCCCGCCAACAAGTTGTGGATCGGGGGGCCAAAAGACCCCCCCCCCCCCCGTCAAAAAAGGGAGGAGGGCGAGAAAGGGAGAGAGGAGAGAAAGGCAACACAAAGGAGGAAGAAGAAAGGAAAAGGGTGAACAGAAGGGTAGATCAACTTATGATTAATCCCGCCAAAAACGTGTAGATCGGGGGCCGAAAGAACCCTCAACAAAAAAGAGAGAGACGGAAGGAAAGGGAAAAGGAAAGAGGAGAGAAAGAGGAAGAACATAAAGAGGAAGAAGAATGGAAAAAAAGGGGGATATCAGTTGCGATTTTCCCGCCGACATGTGGGGGAGCAAAAAATGCCATTGCCCCATCTCCCCCCCCCCCAGCAAAAAGAGAGAGAGAGAGAGAGAGAGAGAGAGAGAGAGAGAGAGAGAGGGAGAGAAAAGGAAGGGAATGTAAATGAAAATAGCATGAAAACTCACTATTATAATTCAGTAATATCAGTAAATGAAAGAAAGTTTTGACGGGCCATCTTGACAACATCGGATTACAAAAATAATAACAACAGTTATGTATCCCGAAATAAGCATATTTTGTAAAGTCACTAAAGGTAATACAAATTTTTGGTATTGGGTCATGCATTTGGTTCAAATGATCATATTGGAAGCATATGCGATCCTACAATATTCAGTGATCGTTTTCGTGGTTGAAATCTAGTCTAAAGTTTTGACAATAAACTCTTTTTGTTTTATAGCTCCCTCTCAACGTCAAAATATTAATTAAGCTATAAAACAATGTTTCTTGAATAAAATCGACCGATTAGCTATTCCCGTTTGGAAATTATATACCAGACCTACATATTCTGATATTTTCATGGTCGCAGCTATCATTGTACGCAGTGGCGGATCCAGGGGGCCCGCCCCCCCCCCCCCTGAGAAAAAAAAATCATGTAAAAACACGTGATTTTTTACCTTTTTTGGGGGTGCAAATTTTAAAATTTTCGAGGAGCAAAAAAAATTAAATAGTCCGCATTACCCCCCCCCCCCCCCCCACCGAGCGACTTTTCGACCGGCGCGATTTTCAAATTTTCGGGAGCAAAAAAAAAAGAAGAAAGTTGGGCCCCCTCCCCTGGCCGCGCCTGATTGTACGGCCGTAGGCGCTATTTTAAATTTATCCAAATTTCACCGGTAAATTTTTATATTCAATTTTTCTCAAAAGCAGAAGTTTTTAGGGGCTAAATTTTCTAGTTCTTATAATACATCCACAGGGGCATCCAAAATAAATCAAAATTGTAAAGAATCACTATCCACCCAATCTTCAAAATTTCCAAAAACTTTGTATTACCTTTAACATCAGAAAATGTTAACTACTAGAAGCAAACCACTTGATAGCAGTGAGGCAAATTGGTCTGGTGGATAAAACTGATCGCTTCAGAGTGCAAAAACTCGGTTCGAGTCCCAGCTATGCCATTTTTACCCATGATATATTTTTTCTTTTTTTCCCCTTCAGCCTATGATATAGACTTGTCCATTTCTTTTTTTAGGGGATATCCCCCCAACTTCTCAACAAAGGAGAACATAGATATGATACTCTATCTTTAACAAGCGACTCTCTGAATTAGTAAGTCTTTTGCTACATCTACAACAATAAGCTAGCCGTCAGCTAGCTGCGCCATTATCGTCGGCTAGCTGCGCCACTATCGTCATAATTTTAGCCACAAGGCCATGTCCCATTTAAAAACTACATTTAAGAGTCCCTTATTGCCAGGTTTTAAAAGTAGTTTACATTTTCAAATTTACAATCCTTGTATTTTCCATTTTTGAAGTGACACTACATCCCCAGTATATTCTTTTTCCTGTAGAGATACTGAAGGTGCTTGTGCTCCCAGACAAGGAGAAAGAGCCTCTTCATTACCTTTTGGAGCAATACATCAAAATAATACGGTCATTGTTGCAATGTCAGGAATGCTATTTTGACTATAGCTCTTGTGTAATCCTTGTAATAACACAAATATTCGCTCGATGAAGGGAGGTTCGGGATTTTTTTCCATTCATTAATTGAAGCCATGTCAGAAAGAGCTGAGTAGCTTGTAACGTAACTATTTAAATTAAGACAAATCCGTGTATGTGAAGGGGGTATATAAAGATTTCATGCGTCTTGATAACTTTAAAAGCAATTCTGTTAAAACATAATCGTCCTCCCTATATATATATAGCTTCCCCTCAACCCTCACCCGCGGCCTCCCCCTCCCCTTCCACTCTAAGCTTCCCCTCCCCACCTAACGAAATCGTCGTTTTTTCTTCATAGGATATAATCTAATTTACATTAAACCTCAAAACAAACACACATTTAAACGGGGATGTATAGGAATATAACTGAACGAAAGTGGCGTCGCAATTAGTACGCCTATATATACACAATGATACACTGCATGTACACCACGGCACCACGGCTCCACCACTTCCACCAATACCAAAGCTTTACAAAAATAATGTGTACGCCACGGCGCCACTGTTCGTACACACAGTTATGTACCCTTGGCCATGCACGCGCGGTATACACGATCGTATACAAAATCGTTGTTTACCCTATTCCTCTGCATAACTCTATCCGTGACAAGAATAACTATTTGTTATGTGATCTCGTTTGACTTTAGACCATTACAGTCTTCAGGATGGATACCAAGCTGTTCCTGGTCATTTCTATTACATTCTGTATCACTTTCAAAGACTGTCATGCTATAAAATTGGGATCGTTTTCAGCCGAAAGCCTCTCGGCTCTCAGAGGGGATGAGGGGTCATTTCCGCAGCCATACTTCCCCGTGTCCGGAGCGGGAGCCAACGGCCAACCCGTGGCTACGCACGGCTCAAGCTCCATGTACAACGGCGCACTGGAAGAATATCAATCTCTATTTCAAACATCGCCCTTCATCCCTCATTTTGCGGGGACAGAACCTCTATTTCGTTTCTCTTCTCAAAATGGCCGTTCTGTGCCTCGCAGCCGACGCACAGCTGGTAGTACTGGCAATGAAGAGGACACGTCCGCTAGCTCTCTCCCAGAATCTGCCAAGGTTTTTGCCCAACAAGATGGTGATTTTGTTGTGGGTGGGACTTTTGCTGTGAACCTCCCAGACGGAGATATTCTTTGTGGCAGGCTTTTGGAGCCAGCGGGATTGTGGGTGGAATCCATGATTTACGCGGTAGATGTGATTAATAACAGAACTGACATTCTACCCAACCATAAACTCGGTTTTGATATCAGGAATGATTGCTCTAATCAAAATAGAGCTTTGACGGTAAATACATGTATGACATATTATACAAATAATGAATGGTTATAATTTCAATAGCGCAAATATTTTCATGAGTTGAAAGATTAACATTCTATTCAACGAGGCGTCAGCCGAGTTGAATAGAATTAATGTTAATCTTTCAACGAATGGAAATATTCGCATTATTAAACGAATGAAAACATTCATTATTTGTTTTATACAACATCAAAGAAGATCTAATAGAATGTTAATCAACAAATTATGCTTTACTCCTGATATTAAAGACGAATTAAAGTTGGAGTCAAGCCTTCTCGTTTACATTCAGATTGCCTTTGCGTCAGATACACGCAGGGATACGCGCACAGCAGAGAGGTACGCAGTCTGCATATAACCAAAAATGCACACCCGTGCAATATAACATCTATTGAATATCATGTGACCAACAATCCTCCAATCAAATGACAAGGATCCACGTAGGTGTTGTATTAAAAACAATAATACATGTAGGACTAGGTAAAATAGTGTCAAAGTCAAAGTGGGAGAATTAGCTGCTGGAAAAGATTTATAGACTGTTTTGAAAAAACTTAAAGATAATTGGGTTTAGAGTTAAAGATAATAGGGTTTAGAGTTAGAGAGTATTAAAAGGGAAAAATGGCCTTTTATTCAATGTATTTGATTGTTGTTCATGAACATTACATATCAAAAACTCTGGAGAAAAATGCCCAAATGATGCAATTTTTAAAATGCCCTTAATCATGTATGCATAGTTGAACTTCAATTGATGTAGATTTGATATGGTCCTTCTTGTTAATTGCATCATTTCCGTTTTCTTAGTAACAAAAGATTAAACAAGTATAGAATGAAGATAAGATTTTGAGTTTGTTCTTAAATCTTAATTAGCTGGAGCCTCTGATTAGTCTTTACAGGTGTAGAAGAAAAATATCTTTCAATATATATTTGAAAGTTTTAAAGTTTGAATGCCAATTTCAGATAACAATTGATGTTTTCAGTGCACCAGTAATGTGGAATCGTTCTTATTTTACTTTTTTTTCAGGAAGCATTAAACTTTGTGGAGAACTCCCAGCCAAGCAACCAATGTCCTTTATCAGAGAGTCAAACCATTGGGGTGGTAGGGACTGGATCAAGTTCTACATCTATTGCTCTGGCCACACTCTTAGGTAGGTCATGACTAGGTTGTTGTTTTGTTTTATATCTTTCTCAAAAGGTATATGCCTGCGTTTCTGGGACTCAAAAGCATGGGTCAGCATGGGGAATTTGACACTTTTCAGCTATTCATCTGATAACCTAGTGTAGTCTTCACTTTTACAACAGACAGACCCAACGTACATGTATGCATGTCAACCAAATTAATAAGAACCACCCAGTAAGGAAAAGTAATCATCATATTAAAATGCTGCATCTAAATGACTGGCATCGTTTTAATCTCTCAAACCAAGGTCCAGGTGGGACATGAGCTTTAGTGCATGCAAGAATTTTTCACATATTACTGTACCCCCGGTAAATGGTAATTCCACAAAGTAAAGTATTTATGTGAACTATGACACGATGTACATACATGTATGAAAACTGCCAAGAGTATGTCTTTGAATGAGTAATTCATTAAGTCCGGAAAAGAGAGGGTATACAGTGTACATGCTGTACATGTATGCAGGGCCATGTATAATTTCATTTCATTTCATTTATTGGTTCAACCATTTTTTTAAAACAACATTCAGAAATACAAACAATGTTCGAAAGACATATACAAAAAATGTTGGACATTCAAAGTAAAAATGGTTAGGGAACCCGAGAGAAGCTTAAGCTTTTATTAAAAAAGTGGGGTTCCCTGTACAATAAACAAGTGAAATAATGACTTTCATGTATCTTATTTTTGAAGGTCTGTTCAGTATCCCTCAAGTGAGTTACTCCGCTACCAGTCAACTCCTGAGCGACAAGCAGCTCTACCCGTACTTCCTCCGTACCGTGCCCTCGGACGAGAATCAAGCTCGTGTCATGGCTGACCTGGCGGACATCATGAACTGGAACTACGTGGCTATCCTCTACTCGGCAAACAGCTACGGTGGGCCAGGACGCAAGGCACTCTATGATAACCTGAAGGCTAAGAATGCTTGTATTGCACTGGAATACTCACTTGGTAGTGAGAGTGCTGCCGCGGTTCCTGTTAAGGATATAGTAGCGAATCTGAAAGCAGATCCTAAAATACAGGTAAAAATTGCTTTCATCCTCTTAAATACACTAACCAAATTCATAACTTTAGCCTTTGACCACAACATATACCCAAATCGAACATCAATCCTAATAACAAAAGAAAAGTGTAAATCCAGATTGCATCCCAAAACCTTATTTTAACTCTTTGTTGAAATATAGCCTTAAAGCAATTGTTCCCATAGCATATCATTTCTTTGGAGCCAGAGGGCCTTAGCTCTGTGTTAAAGTATACACCCTTCGTTGGAGCACCCTCTACATATGCAAGCAACAATGAGCAAAAGTCACCAATAATGTCCACAATATTCCATTCCAAACTTCAATCCTGGACCTAATATTATACAATGTACCTAACCTCACCCTTTAACCTAAATCCAACATAAAAATAAATTGCAGTCTTCTCCACAATTCTTTATCTTTGATGGAGTAAAGCTCAGAACAATTGCATTATATCTGGACCATCTGTCAAAGCACCCCTGGGACCCGTTCTACAAAGCCTTTTTTCAATGACAAATGACAAAAATCAGTGACAAATCTGTTGATAACCAATCAGAAGCAAAGATTTCAGTAGCTATAACAAAAACTGTCATTTGTCACTGATGACAAGTTTTGAGAAACACCCCCCAGGTATTACAGCAAGATAGGATACCGTCACCAATAATGATCTGAATTTGACCTTCTCTTCAATCATGCAGGTAATCTTCACATTTGCTGGAAAGACGCACATCACTTCCGTCTTACAGGAAGCCAAAGAACAAGGTCTCACAGGACGGACATGGATCGCCAGTGACTCCTGGGGGGACTCTCTGACTGTGGTCAATGACTATCTGGACATTGTCTCAGGAATGGTTGGGATTGTACCGAAGGCAAGGATCGATCCTGGTCTTAAAAGGTGGGATTTCAGTGTATCAGTATTTCAGTATATCTCCAGTATGGATTGAAATGTACAGTTCATAATTTTGTAGATTTTAAAGCGTATCTGCCATAGTTTACAGGAGGGATTAGACTGCCCTGCAAGGTCACTGGACAGGTGGTTATCTCATCAACTCAGCTCTCAGTTAACATAAGAAAAAGAGGATCATGGGGGACCAATGGTCACCGATTAGGCATGGTTTGTTATATAGAGGGTGCAAGTAGCTACAAGTAGTGTAGTGGGCCTTTAAACTGCATATTCATAACTTTGTAGATTTTACACTTTATGATCATAACTTTTTAGCTTTTACAGTGTATGTTCTACATTTATGTGAGAATCAAAGTCCTACAAACATGTACAGGAAGGCTCTCTGCAGATTGTTGTCTATGACTATGCAGACATTGTTCAAGGATGGTCTGGATCGTGAACAAGGCAGTTATCGGTCCTTGAGAGTGTTTCACAAAGATTAGTACTGGCCACTGGTTGCTCTCACCATTCCTGGCATTGGTCTTTCAAGGGACGTACAAATCGTGGTCTCCAATCCATATTTTTTTCTTCAACAATGAAATTTGTAGATTTGTGATGTCCCTTGAGAGACCAATGGCGAGACCAACCAGTGGCATGAATGGCCTGCCGTAGTGCAAGTCCAACTGAAGTCGATCTTAATCTTTGTGAAACGCCCCCCCCCCCCCCCTGGTGTCGAGGGACAATTTGGTAAACCTGTTGGGCTCATCAGTGGAGAAAAGCTCATTTTATAACCTTGAAGATTGCATGTACATTTATGTTCTGTGTGGGTCTCAAATCCCAAGGGAGATTCTAGTTTTTTGTCGCTTTTGTCTCAGGGATAGGTAGTTAGAATTGTTCCCAAAGGAATCAATGACAAGGATTAATCCTTGTCTGAAAATATTGGATTGATAATGCTTCAGTATCTTTAATGCAGAAATAGGAATTTCTTAACTTTTGTAGATTATCTTATTTGAGGATCAAGTGTGATAAAGTACTTGATGACCAGGGTCATAAATTGCGTAAGTTTGTTACATAGTCTGGTAAAATTAAATGTTTTTTGTTTTGCCATCCTGTTTTAGTGCTTTCCTTAAGACTTATGTTTTTTTATAAATTTATTGCAATTGTAGAAAAAAACTGCAGCATGCTTACACATGAGATAAAGACTTATTTGTCAGAATGATAAATAGTGACTTACTTTGAGTTCTAATCTACAGTAGCCTTTGATGAGTGCATTTGGTGTGTGAACATGAACAGTCAATCAGTTTTGTAGAAATTTTTATCTGTATGCTCAGAGATAATTCCTTCCACGTGTATGTTCAACTGATTATCATCATGAGCTGAGTAAATGTACATGTACTTGAATTGTCAATGAAGTGAAATTCTGGCAATATACATGTACATCAATATATTTATTCAAATCAGGAATTTGGTATTATTTGTTGCTCCTGTTTAAAGGTCAACATTTTCAAGTCTTAAATGTTATTGTTCGCTCTGCCCCTACCTGGATATCTCTACAACATGCTCTGGTGACAGTTGCTCCACGTTCAGTTTCTGTATTAAACAAATCCCCAACTGCAGTACTGGAGCTACAACGTAACATAACCCTAGCAGTCACTAATCTAAAACCCAGGGCAAGTGTTGGATCACACCCTGATTGAATCAAATTCAATTGAATCAAATTATTCCTGCAGCTTTTTTTTTCAAATTATAATTGATTATAATAACTGTCTTTTAAAGAAGGACAATTTTGGAGCAATTTAGACAAAATCTGCTAGTGCTTTTATTACAGCTACATGCATTTAAGCAAAACCAGGGGTTAACTGGCTCCCCCCCCCCCCTCCTCACTCTCTGGCTATGCCACAATATTGCATTTTCTCTCTTTTTAAAATATAAATCTTATCTTTCCAACAGTGTTCTATATTGACAAAATATATTTATTTTGTTGTTGGATGTACTTTCAAAATGTTTGTACAATTTCTTACATGTTTTTCCCACTAACTGCTGAATTAATTATTCATTTGACAATTTTTGAAAGAACAAGAGAATCTATCTACAGCTGTATATGCACATCACTATGGAATGAGGAAAATTTAATACTAATGGGAAGAGCAAGGTCCATTGTCCCGAGCATGTGCAGGATTTGGACTGTGTAAAGAAACAAATTGGATTAGCAATGCAGTGTGCAATTTAATTAGAGAGCGTTTACATGGTAGGCTATATGATAAGGAAGTACATGTTCACTGCATTGTACTGTACATGTACCTTTAGAGTGAATAACACTAGATATCATGAGAGGAATAGGGCTTTAATTTTTTTATTTAAGTATCTCTCTTTAATTCCAATGATGAATTAAATGAATTACCTGTAAATGATATGAACATGTACTGTACGTGTAGTGTACAGTGATGATTTAATTATTTTTTATTTCACTTAGCTGCAATTGCTGAATTCTGGTCTTCAATCTTATGTCTGCCACAGTGGATGAAACCTCAGATTTACCTTTAAGCAGATAATAAATGATAGTGGGTTCTTGTATAGCCCTCATACTATGTGCATGTACATGTATAATACTGCACCTTGCTGAAGTTGCTGTATCATGATGTGTTTATAGACTGTAAATGTAATCTTTATCTATATTTACTTGTAAAAGCAATATGACATGATGACCGACACATTATTTTATGTACACTGTACATACACCCTGTGACACTACACGTGACATGTGTACAAAAACATCATAAATGTACATGCATTACATACATACATGTAAGCAACGGATATTACACATGCACATATAGTATACAGGTGTGTATACATACATGTATGGGCTTTGCAGACTTTAAATATATGCTTTATTGTATTCCACATACTAAGAATCTTGCTCTACGATTGGTGAAAAGTAAATCACGTGATGAAAGATAGTTCGCCCATTATTGATGGAAGAAGCAACAAGTTCGTTACACTGTGTAGATAGTACTACTATCTACACAGTGCAACGCACTTTCACTAAAGAAAGAGGTACTCTCTACACAGGGCAACGCACTTTCACTGAAGGTTATCCAAAAGCGCACTAAAACAGGCGTAATTACATGTAAGCGTGCATTACCATTGAGCGCAATTAAAGAAAACACATGCGCGCACCGTACCCTCAAGGGGTTGGGTTAAACTTAAACTTTTTTTCTGTGAATTTGGGCCTGTAAATGCATACACATCCTTTTCTTTTTGTAGTTAAATCGTTTAAGATGTGGAATATAAAGCAAATAATCACCTTTTGGTTTCAGGCGATGGCAAACTATCACTTCCTCGTCGATCAGAATGTATACGCTGTCTTTCCTCAGCTTCGCTTCGGAAAGATACATGTAGCTACATCCAGATCGCCTCGGAAGTGATAGTTTGTCCCATCACCTTCACCAACGGTAGTTATTTGCTTAATATAAAACAATCAATGAAAGATTTTATGTTGCTGGAATTGACAGTTTTGATACTGAACATTCAAAATGTCAAATGTCAAAAATCACAATTATTACCAATGAAATACATACAATTTATGTATCTTCTGTTATTGAAACTGATTGATAGGGTGTGTAAGTTTGTTTGGTTTGTGCTACCAGTCTTTAAGATGAAATGGGTTCATATCCCACCGCTGCCACCAATCTAAGGGAAGCAGAACTAATCCACACAAGGGATGTAACATTAATCAGACCGAGCCATCTTTATATGAATACATAATAATAATGATGATAATAAAAAATAATAATAATAATAATAATAATAATAATAATAATAATAATAATAATAATAATAATAATAATAATAATAATAATAATAGTAAATACTTATAAAGCGTACTTATCCAATAACTTACTCAAGGCGCAATACAAAACAAAATACACAAAATACGCAATTTCTCTCCAGAATTTAAACAACTTAATATCATTAGTAACTCTGATGAAATAAAACCATTTAACATTTTTCTGAATGTTTCGAATGGCACTTGGCAGCTGTTCCAGAGGACTGGTGCAACACTGTAGGTGACTGCCTGGCCAATGTAAGGGAAAGGTAGCATGACAAATATAAACAGTGCCAGTGAAACATGGAGTATACAGTGAACATAAATTTACATCATACATGAGCTTTCTGTGCATGTACATACACTGTACCTGTATGCCCTTTTTTGAAGAGAAAACTATTCATGATAATTTGACTAACCAGTATAATTTATTACAATATCCTACAGGTACATAGCATCTCTGGACCCCTTCACGAATAGCCGCAACCCATGGTACCAGCTCACCCTCGGATCACGTTTTGGTTGTACCTTTGATGTCCCAAAGGATGACACACAGGAGGACACAAAGAATGACACACCCTTTTGCCATGGCAACGAGACCTTTGCATCGATGCTGGAGTCTCGTGGTGAAGGGGGCTGGACCTCTTTCATCATTGATGCGGTCCATTCTCTAGCCTTTAGCTTGCATGATATGCTATATGAGTGCAAAGGTAAATGTTCTCTACATTTTCCTTATCTATTCTAATGCCAAAAGAAAAACATATCGTCTATTGAAAGTCCAAAAGGTCAGTTAACTCTGTCATGATACACCAACTGCATGACTTACTCCCATGGCTCTGAGGCGATGATATTCGTGAAAGGGTTTAAAACTGCGCACCTGTGTCTTTTTAGATCAGGGGATTTCAACCACTATTTATTAATCCGAGTCTAACTTGAAATCTTAATGATTAACTTAACCCTTACTCTGCCACTATCAAAATTTTGCACAGACTATTTGCACAAATTGTAGAGAAGGGTTATTCTTTGCGATGTGTCCTGTACAACATTTGTATTTTACCCATATATTTCATCCAAAAATTAAATTTTTTCCTGTTCCAACCATTAATTACTGAAAAGTGATTAAAGAAAGAATCATGAATACACAAAGATTCTCAAGTGTTTGAGTGAGGTGATGAAGTGATGAATACAAGTTGTATGTACATGTACATGTAGTATGGGTCACATGTCATAGAATTGCCCAGAGGAGGGTTTTACTGAGCATACAAAAAGTTGCATTGTGATAGTATCTTAATCATTATCCTAATATCCTTAGAATATCGCCATCCAGGATAACTGTTATGGAGACAATTACTCCCTGAGTGACATCATCACCCAGGCAACCACGTACAGTACATGTGTCAAGCATAAATTCTACCACTTGTATATTAACTCCCTAGTATACTTTATAAAATTCTGCACAGTGATATGGACAATGACTCCCTATAGGAAGTTTCTCAAGCAGAAATCTTTCTCGCTGGGTCATTACTACCTGTAAAGATACTTACAAACTAAGGATTGTATTCATTTACTATATGAATATTAAGTAAACCCGTAGCTGAGTATATTGTAGGTGGTCATTGCTACCTGGGATTCTGGACAAGTTTCTGTTCAAGTATTTGGCTAAATATATTGGGTCTTTTTCATGGGATAATATACAAAAATATGATCAAATTTATTTATATATCTTAAAGTCTCTGTGGTTTATACAGATACATTTGTTATGACAATCTTTGCCAAAAAGGCAAATTCTGACAGTCAAAAGAAAAAAGAGAAAGAAAAATGCAGCTAAATTAAACTTTCCACTACACATTTGGAGAAGGTAAATGTATCTAAACCATGTACATGAATTTGCTTCTAGAATGCAATGGATGACATGTGTATGTTCAAGTCCCGCCGCGGGTCTAATGTCTTTTGGCAAGACATTGATCTGTATTTGCCACTCTCCACCCAGGTGTTGAAATGGGTGCCGGTAGGATGTGAATGTTAATGTGGTAAGATGAGCAAGTGTGCGCTTGTAAAAATGATGCCTGGCTGGAATGCTCCTCAGCGAGTGGAGAATGTGCATACACTGTGTGCGGGTAAGCCTGAATCCGATGACCAGGGTAATAATATATATCTGTAAAGTGCTTTGAGAGGGCCTGTGGTCCTGAAATCGCTATAAAAGAATGAACTATTATTATGATTATTATTATTTGTACATATAATTTGCCCTACTTTCTACAGGATCATCATGCCCTGGTGCCAATGCCAGCGTACTGAACACGGAAGACTACTTTCAGTACGTCAAGAACGTTACCTTCCCTGGTCTAACAAACCCAGCATTCAGGTTCGATGAGAATGGAGATCCACTGGCCCAGTATTACGTCAATAACCTTCAGGTAACAAGAAATTTAGCCATCCTAGGAATTTATGTGATTTTGTTTGACAGATGGACATACAAGACAACAATAGTTCATGATATTTAAATAATAAGCTAGATTTAATGTAAGTCATTAACTGGTCATTTTCCCAGTATCAGAGCATTGTGCATTTACAATGTATATAAGGACGTATGTAGCCTAAAGATCTTAAAATGTCAAACATGTCATGTGACATTGGTTAATTTATCCTTCTGCATTCAGGGTCAGTCAGATCAACTAGATGTATTAAAGTTAATCTCATGATTTAATGAAACTGTCTGAAGCATGTTCATTGTATGGTGTCTTCAAAGATACTACAGTGTACCTACATTTGACTTACACACAATTATAGGATTAATGATGGACATTTTAAAGGTCATCCAAATCACCTTTTTTACATCGTATACTTTTTGAACAGAATATAGAGGAATTATCTTTCATGAAAATAAACATTTACTGTGTGGTTAGGTATCAAACATGAGATTTTCTTGAAAAAAAATGTCAAGGCTTTCGTAACTAATGCTGTAATGTCATTGTGTCTCTTAAATGCCAGGTATCTGATGGGGTCTATGACTTCATGGAAGTCGGGAGCTGGGACCCTCTGCAGAAGTTCACGTGGAGTGATGACATCGTCTGGTCAAGTGAGGGGGTCAGTCCCGTTTCTCGTTGCTCAGCAGACTGTCCCTCAGGGTCTTATATTGTCAGGGAGTCCATTAATTGCTGTTGGGACTGTGTCAGATGTGAAGGTGAATTGTAGTCCCATTTGCTTGTTTCTGTGTCTTGTTAGTTTGATATCTTATCATTAGTTGGTACTGTATAGCCAAGAAGATTGATAATAATAATATACTGTACTTATGTAGTGCATATCACCATATGAGAGGGTTTAATGGCACTTTTTCTTCTAGTAATATATTGTGATTTAATTAATTTGGGGATATTAATATCTTTTGCTTCCCTTTAAATCTCTATTTTGCTGTGGTACTTTTTATTTGTTGTGCCTCTAAATAATCAATTTCATTAGAAGTAGTATAGGCAGTAGCATGAGTAGTAGCAGTAGTAGAAGTCATTGATGTCAAACATGTTCTCCTGCAATTGATAAGATTTACAATTGTTTAGTTTTGACAAGTATAGTTTCTACTTGCACCCTGTGTATATACATGTATGCACAAGGATCCTGGCCAGCAGGCTCACACTGGCTCCTCACATGCAGGCACACACAGTGCACAATCTTCAAGGCCTTGAAGTAGAACTTTCCTTTGAAGAAGAAGAAGAAGAAGAAGAAGAAGAAGAAGATCATGTACAGGTATATGATAATAATAATATGATTTATTTTCTTCCTCTTCAGCGGGCAGCATTAGCACTGCAGTGAACTCTGAATCCTGTCGCCGCTGCGCCAACGGAGAACGCACCGATGCCGACCAGACCTCGTGCATTGTGAAACCCATCCAGTACCTGCAGTGGACCGATCCATTCAGTATTGCCATAAGCATCTGTGCCGTACTGGGCTTCGTGGCTGTTGTCATCTGCTTTGGTACGTACGTCCGGTATCGCCACACGCCTACCATCAAAGCTACGAGTACAGAGCTGAGTTACATTCTGCTGACGGCGATCACGACCACTCTTGTCTGTATCTTCCTCTATCTCTCCAAGCCAACCGATCTCATGTGCAACCTACAGGTATTGCATTGGTTTCCATTTTTCTCCCCTTCCCTCTTCTGTATATCTCTCCCCCTCCCTCTCTCTCTTTCACACACTCCCTATCTCCCTAGCTATCTGTCCAAATATCCCAGCTTACAGATTTTTTTTATGTTTAAATTGGGACCAGGCACTCCAAACTCTCCCCCCTCCCCCCCCCCCCCCCTCCAAAAAAAATAAAAAATTACATGGTATGAATTCCGGATAAAGCATTTGGTCAGCATGGTTATATTTTAGTTTTAGCATTTCTTCAAAGACTACCGGTATATGTTTTTGTTTTTGTTTCTTCAAAATTTTAAAGCATCAAACACTTTACAAGTGGTATTTTTGCCAGTGTCTTGTAGACCCTTGTTTGTCTGATCTAGAGTTCGTTATGGTGCTTATGACACTGGCTAATTGCTACATTTTACTTAGAGTAAACTGTTGCATGGATGAAATAGATGCTTAAAAATTTAGTTTGTCAATAAAGTATTGTAAGAATAAACATCCATAACAATTTGAATACTGTTATGTACATGAATCTATTATATTGTTATGATCTCTATACTTGTAGATCAGTCTTCTTGGCTGTAGCTTTGCTCTCTATGTTGCAACCCTCCTGACAAAGACCAATCGGATCTCAAGAATCTTCAACCGCAAGCTCTCGCAAGGGAGACCATCAATGTTCCTCAACATCAAGGTACAGTATAGAGTAGCATACCTGCCAACCACCCCGATTTAGGCGGAGTTCTTCCGCATTTTTCATACCAACTCCGAATTCCGAGTGCATGCCTCAAAACTCCGATTTTTTTAATTTTTTTTTTTTTAGAGTGTAATGCACTTGGAGAGTATATAACTATTATGTTTGTATTTTGAAATGTATGTATAAGACTAAAGCATAACACAGCACTGATAACCAGATCACGCCGACATCCGCGCTCGCGCTCATAGAAGATATACACAGCGACATGGAAAAAAAAAAAAGACCCTAAAGTCCTGTGTACCCCCCCCCCCCCCCCCAATCTACGGGCTACTACCCCAATCCTTCGGTGGTTCGCGACCTCGTAGTCCGTCCAGAAAAATTTACTCCTAATTTCTCTTGTCTCAGGTTGGCAGGTATGGAGTAGACCCGTTGGTTCCGTAAACAGGCCTATGAGACAATTTAATGGGGGCTGCAAGGAATGTCAAGTAAAAAGCAAGAAATCAAGACCAGGGACCTGTTGCACAAAACTTACAATTGATGGTAACTTTGCCATCAATGGTAACTACAGTTGTACCATGGAAACCTTGATTTTGATTGGCTGTTGAGCCCCGTTACTATGGTAGTTGCCATTGATGGCAAAGTTACCATCAATGGTAAGTTTTATGCAACGGGCCCAGCTGTTCCATTTCCTTTTTCATGCCATACATGGATATCTTTAATACATACATCACCCACGATGTGTTCCAAGTTTACTACCAATGTAAATGATTATATACACCACAGATATTTCGATGGAGTTTTAATCCCCTCGTATATACACCACAGATATTTCGATGGAGTTTTAATCCCCTCGTGTCAACTTGCACAGTGCCTGTAGGTCAGAGTGCTTCACATAAAGTACCCACTTTGAATACCTCTTTTTCTGTAACATTTTGTTCTTTTGGACTGGACACTCTTCTTTTTTCAATGGGTTAGGAACATCCGATTGTGATAAGTTACATATCATTTTAAAGTTTAGAATCCTCTTGTTTAGAATAATAACTAAATAATGAGTGGTTTTGGGGTGTTTTTACTCAAATGCAATGTCCACATGTACAGTGTATCTTTTGAATATATTTTCTTGGAGAACCATGCAGTATCTGTACTTTCTCTTGACTCTCATGCAGTACCAAGTAATATTTGTGATGGTGATCGTCCTGGTCCAAGCCTGTCTTCAAGTCCTCTTGAGTCAGATTTTCCCTCCTGAAGCCGTCTATGACTACTCCCCTCCCGAGGTGACCGATCTGGTCTGCAGGAACAACATTCTCAGCTCCATCCTTGCATTCAGTAAGTCCTCTCCTAGGAGATTTGAACAGATTCCATAATATAGCTATTTGGAGCAAGATATCTGCCATTTTGGTTAAAGGGATTGCGTAACTTTTTCTCAGATTCTAAAACTAAATCCTGGATGTAGCTCATGGTCCAATGATAGTTATAAACCTTTAATTCAGTATGGTTGCCCATGACTTTTACAAGCCTGTCTTGTCTGATTATCAAGATATTTATGATTGGAAATCAAAATTTAAAAATTCGTTTTCCTAACAGTTTTTATAACACTTCAGTATATTGGAGAAAATTAGTATGGTAAAACCGGTCAGTCAAAGGTTTTTCTTTTTTGAGGCACTTCACAATTATTTTAAAGCTCAATTTTTTTTAAGGGTTTCAAAATTGCACTTTATCACAGACACTGATAACATTGTTAAAAGATGCCTTTTACCAATATTTGTGTATTTCTTTCTCTTTCAGTCTACAACCTCCTCCTAGCCCTGCTGTGTAGTTTCCAGGCATTCCGCATCCGCAAGCTACCCGGCCAGTTTAACGACTCTCGCGGGATCTGTTTCTCCATGCTCACCTTCTGTCTCTTGGCGTTCATCTTCATTGCTACAACGTTTGCCACCACCGGGAAAATGAAAGCCATGATTAGCGCCCTCTCTTGCCTGGCTTGTGCATTCTCAGGTATCGTCTGTAGTTACGCTTGTATCATGATGCTTGTGAAAAAAAAGGATGAGGTTTTATTTTTGTGTTTGATGGCAAGAAAGAGATTGCTCAGGGTTTAAATTTATTTAGTTTTAGCCACCAGTCATTAACTCTTATCCTGCCATAACGAATACAGCCCAGTGCCACAGGGCTTATCCCGATTGTGCCAAGTCACAAATCCCCACTGTGCCAAGTTTATTTTGAGATAATCTGACAATCTGATGGTGCGATCAATAGCGCATGCGAAGCACTCAGCACAGTACAATGAGCATGAACAATAACTGCTATTACGAATGCGAGCATGCATGCATAAAGGAGCTAAGCTGTGGCTCGCTCGCGTGAATTAGGCAGCCTATCGATAGCGCGTGCATGCGGCCTTATGGCAGGATATGAATTAAGATGAAATGGGTTCCTATCCCACTGCTGCCACCGATCTAAGGGAAACAGAACTAACTAAGTTAATATAGTGCATTATGTGTGATAAACTCCATATGCTTTACAACATTACTATTAATACTTCTCGTCACTAAATAGTAGTCCACAAACCTAAATACTTCAAAATCACATTACAAAGAAATAACCCATTCTATTCGAAAAATAGACTTTCTATTTTAGTCTAAAAAAATTGACTGATTTTCATTAAAATGGGTGCTTAAAATTTTGATTTTTGTACTCCAATTGTTTCAATTTTCAAAACTATATTTAAAAAAGTAATCACAAAGTGCGGCAGCTTTATTGTATTGCCCAAGTTATTGAAATGCAAGCTCGGCTTCTGCCGAACCTGCTAGAGCACGCTGCCAAGGTTTGGCTTTTGCCGAACCTGCCAGAGCACGCTGCCAAGGTTCGGCTTCTGCCGAACCTGCCAGAGTAGGCCGTCAAAATGTGGCTTCAGCCGAACCTGCCAGAGCACGTTGCCAAGGTTTGGCTTCTGCCGAACCTGCCAGAGTAGGCCGTCAAAGTTCGGCTTCTGCCGAACCTGCTAGAGCATGCTGCCAAGGTTCGGCTTTTGCCGAACCTGCCAGAGCAGGCCGTCAAAGTTCGGCTTTTGCCGAACCTGCTAGAGCATGCCGCCAAAGTTCGGCTTCTGCCGAACCTGCCAGAGCACACTGCCAAGGTTCGGCTTTTGGCGAACCTGCCAGAGCAGGCCGTCAAAGTTCGGCTTTTGCCAAACCTGCTAGAGCACGCTGCCAAGGTTTGGCTTCTGCCGAACCTGCCAAAGTAGGCCGTCAAAGTTCGGCTTCTGCCGAATCTGCTAGAGCATGCTGCCAAGGCTCGGCTTCTGCCGAACCTGCCAGAGCAGGCCGTCAAAGTTCGGCTTTAGCCGAACCTGCCAGAGCAGGCCGTTAAAGTTCGGCTTCTGCCGAACCTGCCAGAGCACGCTGCCAAGGTTCGGCTTCTGCCGAACCTGCCAGAGTAGGCCGTCAAAATGTGGCTTCAGCCGAACCTGCCAGAGCACGCTGCCAAGGTTTGGCTTCTGCCGAACCTGCCAAAGTAGGCCGTCAAAGTTCGGTTTCTGCCGAATCTGCTAGAGCATGCTGCCAAGGTTTGGCTTCTGCCGAACCTGCTAGAGCCTGCTGCCAAGGTTCGGCTTTTGCCGAATCTGCCAGAGCAGGCCGTCAAAGTTTGGCTTCTGCTGAACCTGCTAGAGCATGCTGCCAATTAAGCTTTAAACATTCAAAGGACTCAAGGATTGAAATTGAAAAAGGACCAAAAGTGTGTCAAGTTGAATTCTACACATTCCTGCATGGGCATTCATAGAGCATCATTCTTCAGAGGAAGAGAGCTGCCTTAATGGGGAGCCTCTCATCTTCCAAATTCACGAACAGAAAAATGTCTCAAACCAGTATTCTCTGTACCATCTGGCTGGAAGAATACATTTGAAGCAGATCAGAGGTGACCACATGCCACATAAAGATGAAATTTGTGTGCCCCATGCATGTCTACCACAAGAAAGATATACAATGAATACCTCCAGGATCAGCCACAAGGAAGAGTTATTTGATCCCACTGTTGTTGGGCAAGCTGAATTCTACAAGCTGTGGATGCAATTATTCTTCTGGCACGTAAAACTGAAAAAGGCGAGTACGATATAGAATCAATTTTTTATTAAGATATTGATATTTAGGTCTACATACATGAATCAAGAGAGTTAGAGATTTTTGTGAGTGTGTGCCCTTTTAAATTGTCCATGTCTACATGCACTGTACGTTGATACTTCTATTTCATGCAATTTTGAATGTTAACTGACTTTGGAAGATCTGCACTATGTTCTACTCTCAGCTCTTCTGTCAAGAAATTTAATTACTTAAGTTACTTACAATAATCACATGCAGTACCAACTTCCCCCATAAACAGCCATCTGCACTGTACTTTTATGTCCGACACATATTACAAATGACAGTGACCAATGCCCCAATGTGTATGGCAGGTTTTCATGTGAACAACATGAACCCAGGGGTCAGACAGGTCAGGAGTAATCTAAACATTGCTGGACCAGCTAGAAGTGCCCATGGAATACATACATACATGTAAACAGTGTGGTACATGTACATGGCAAATAGGCATAATGTTGCACAAGCCCTTCAGGTCATCTTAAAGGGGCAAATACAATATAAACAGAAATAATCATTAATGGACATGGATGTTATTTTGCCCCTACAGTCAATACAGACATCTACGGTATGTTCATACATTCTGTAGGCAATTCCTTTCCAAGTTAATACCAAGTAGAAGAATATAATTTCAGGACAGATACCTGATATCATTTGTTACTTCCTACCTTCACACATGGCCATACAAATTATATGTCTCTAGTATATATGCAGTGCATGCCTTTGATTTTCCCCAGGATTGAAAGGAAGTTGTAGACAAGAAACGGGATGATGCAAGGAGGAATGGGAAAAATACTATCATAGATGGCATGATTAGATCAGTCCAAAACTAATCTATCTAATAAATCGAGTGAGTTTGACATTAAAAAACCCTCTTATGAAGATGCTACATTAAAGTTTAAAGGGAAATCCTACCTTCATAGCAACTTACTCTGGGGAAAAGCGAATAATCATTGGAGCAGATTGGTGAAATTTTCTACGAAATCGGACAAACCATACGATATAGCTTTGAATTTCTGAAAGTTGTAAAATTTAATGAATGCTATCACTTTACATATGGGAGTTTCAAATTGGCTGAATCGGTAATGCCACTATGACATAGTGCCCGTACAACCCTGTCATTTGTTCTAATACCAAACATGACTAAAATCTCATTTTTCAGAATTTATGATAGAGATTTCTTGTTAATTGCAGGACCCCTAACATCATACATGCAATCCATATATATTTTGAATATTACCCAGAGTGAAAAGGTGTTTAGGAGAACACTGGAAATTAATGTTATTTTAGCGTACAACAAATGGGAGAGTTTTCAGGGAATACGTCACAGTCGAATCACTATAGTTTGCCAATTTGAGATTCCCTTATGTGTAGTGATTACAACTTTTTAAAAATCATAACTTTTTTTATTCTTTGTCTAATTTCCGTCAAATTTTCACCAATCTACTATAATTTTTTTACTTTCCCCTCAGAGCAACTTTCTGTTTTTTAACCCCAATTCAACATAAAATAACATAATTCTGGAAAAATCTGAAGGTGCATGCTCATCAGCTCACTCTGTAACAAGAGGTGCTCACTCTGCCCTACAACACAGTTACCAATGCCCCAATATATACATGACGTGTCTTCATGTGGACAATGTGAACTCAGGGGTCAGACAGGTCAGGAGTAATCTAAACATTGCTGGACCAGCTAGAAGTGCCCATCAAATACTACATACATGTATACAGTATGGTACACGTACATTGCAAATAGGCATAGTTTTGCACAAGCCCATCAGGTCATCTTAAAGGGGCAAATACAATATAAATAGAAATAATCATTAATATACATGGATGTTATTTTGCTGCTACAGATATCTATGTTCATACATTCAGTAGACAATTTCTTTCCAAGTTAAAACCAAGTAGCAGAATATAATTTCAGGACAAATATGCCTAACATCATGGCCAAAATAATTGCAAAGAGTACCATAATTACTTCAATTAACTGCATACAAATTATATGTCTTTAGTATATAAACAGTGTATGCCTTTGATTTCCCCAAGGATTGAAAGTAAGTTGCACTACAAAGAAACGCCGGGATGATCGATGTAAGGAGGAATGAGAAGTTTTTTGTAAGAAGAAAACTTTGGCAGGGTGGTCTTGCAGGTTCGGCAGGAGCCGAACTTTGGCGGCGTGCGCTGGCATGTTCGGCAGAAGCCAAACCTTGCAGCGTGCTCTGGCAGGCTCGGCAGAAGCCAAACCTTGGCAGCATGCTCTAGCAGGTTCGGCAGAACTTTGATGGCCTACTCTGGCAGGTTCGGCAGAAGCCGAACCTTGCAGCATGCTCTGGCAGGTTCGGCTAAAGCCGAACTTTGACGGCCTACTTTGGCAGGTTCGGCAGAAGCCAAACCTTGGCAGCATGCTCTAGCAGGTTCGGCAGAAGCCGAACTTTGACAGCCTACTCTAGCAGGTTCGGCAGAAGCCGAACTTTGACGGCCTTCTTTGGCAGGTTCGGCAGAAGCCGAACCTTGCAGCATGCTCTGGCAGGTTCGGCAGAAGCCGAACTTTGACGGCCTACTCCAGCAGGTTCGGCAGAAGCCAAACCTTCGCAGCATGCTCTAGTATGTTCGGCAAAAGCCGAACTTTGACGGCCTACTCTGGCAGGTTCGGCAGAAGCCAAACCTTGGCAGCGAGCAGGTTCGGCAAAAGCCGAACTTTGACGGCCTACTCTGGCAGGTTCGGCAGAAGCCAAACCTTGGCAGCGAGCAGGTTCGGCAAAAGCCGAACTTTGACGGCCTACTCTGGCAGGTTTGGCAGAAGCCAAACCTTGGCAACGTGCTCTAGCAGGTTCGGCAGAAGCCGAACTTGCATTTCAATAACTTGGGCAATACAATAAAGCTGCCGCACTTTGTGATTACTTTTTTAAATTTAGTTTTGAAAATTGAAACAATTGGAGTACAATTATCAAAATTTTAAGCACTCATTTTACTGAAAATCAGTCAATTTTTTTAGACTAAAATAGAAAGTCTATTTTTCGAATAGAATGGGTTAAATATTAACTCTGGTACTTGTTTGCCTCTAACCCAATCATGGATAAACCATATTTTATATTTTGCTTGATGTTTCGTGACAGTAGTAAAAAAAAAAACTTAAAAAAACACTCTTTTGAATTGCTTTGGTCTGGGCAACCAAGTTTGGAAAATATTTGGTTGCCCTGCATGGTCACTCAAGAAGTGAGTTGGTAATGTGTATATTATGTTTAATGATAATATTCTAAATATTCAACAATTATTATCCTGAAGATTACATGAACAAATAATAATTGTTTGAAATTACTATTTTATTCTACTTCATCCTGAATCCTATCCATCGTGTAGGCATCCTCTGCATGTTTGTACCCAAGATCTGGATCGTTTGTTTCCGACCGGAGCTCAACATCCGTCAATCAACGCTTCGCCTCCCAGCCTTATCTACTCTCAACACAATCACCGGAACTGTCAATTCTGACAGGGTAAGTTGATGATTTTGTCAAGCCGCCTACACGTAACAGATCCTTTTTTGGTCTAGAGCTACAACATTGATATGTTGAAATTGGACAATGGACATTACTATCCATGGAATGCATAGGTCAAAGATTGAAAAGCTGTAGACTTTTGTTTGATCTAAACAACAACAACATAATCATCAGGATTTAAAATCAATGATTGTTGTCATGTTCCACCTAATGTGTATTTCCTCTTGTTTAAAAAATATATATTTATAAATAATACAATTTATGCCTCCGCTACAAAGTAGCCGGAGGCATCATGTTTTCAGGTTGTCCGTCCGTCCGTATGTCCTGTTCTCGTGATCGCGTTATCTCAAGAACCAATTGATGGATTCCCGCCAAACTTGGGTCATGTATGTATCTTGCAGAGCCAATGAACTGATTAGATTTTTGGGTCACGAGATCAAAGGTCACAGGGCTCATTATGTATGCAAAAATAGCTTGTGATCGCTTTATCTCAAGAACCCATTGATGGATTCCCGTCAAACTTGGGTCATTTATTTATCTTGCAGAGCCAATGAACTGATTTTGGGGTAACGGGGTCAAATGTCAAAGGTCACAGGGCTCATTATGTATGCAAAAAAAGCTTGCTTTTGTTTTGGTTTGTAAAATTGCTCCATGGCGGAGGCATCATTTTTTGACTGCGTGCGGTCGAAGGTCCATCTAGTTTATAATGATCTCCTAATCTGTTGGACAAGCATGATGTACCTGTAAATACACAATTTTTTAAACACACCTACACCTAATATTATGAAAGGATTATTTGATATTAATAGGAAATGGAACAAAAGATTATCTTTTCCTTTGCATGTTTTTTATCTGTGTCATATTACCTACATGTATGTGAATTATTCTAACCATTCTTGATCTTCTTGGACTATTCTCCTTGCATGTGATTGTTATGCAACAATTCCAAGGCAGCACATTCTAATCTCCTCCGAATGTTTATTTTATTAACGACCCCAGTTCGTGATCTACATGCATTAAGAGAAGATTCTGAATTAATAATGTTTTCCTTGGACCGTTGATCCTCTTTACCTTGATTTTATCTAATTATATAAAGTAATTCTTTGTAAAATAATGTGACAACCCTACTCATCTTCCACTAAGTTATTTTTTTATGTATCACTTAAACCAATCGTCTAACTTGACTTTAATAATTGTCCAAAGGTCATGTTTTAAAACTTATCGTAATTTAAAAAAAAATTAATGTAAGCAATCCTAACTTCTCTTGTTAAATTTATTTAGTGTATGACCTATCCACTTTAACTATTTTTATAATTGTCCAAAACACATGTCCATGTACATATATTTAAACTTATAGTAAATATTAGTAAATTAAAGTGAATATCTCTCAATTTTCTACCTGTATTGCTGTTATTGTATCACCAATTCTCTTTAACTTGACTTAATTGTTTTACATGTAATTGTGAAGGCACATATATTTAAACTTATGACATCTATTCTTGTAAACAAATTTAGGGAAGAGCCCGGAGGAATGCTGTTTTTATATTACCGGTAAACCTTTCTTGCTTGATATCACTCATGTCATCCTTGGTATAGAAAGATATGAGGGGTGTGTGGTGTAGACAAATTCATTTACATCTAGGAATGACAGGTGTTCAAGAAGAAAGTTTGTGTGTAATTTGGCTCAAATATCTTTCCATGCTTTCCTTTTATTGTACTCCCCCCTCTCCCTCCCCCCTCTCTTTCCCCCTCTCCCCCCTCTCTCTCTCTCTCTCTCTCTCTCTTTTAATTAATGTGGCCAGTTTCAATATCTACTCTTTGATTTGGAAAAGTATGTACTTTGTCATCCATGGTATAGAAAGATATAATAGGAGTGGTGTAAAAAAGTTTCATTTACATCTAGGAAAGACAAGGTGTTCACAGAGAAAGTTTTCTTGTAATTTGGCTCAATATCCTTCCATGCTTTCCTTTTATTGTACCCCCTCTCCCTCCCCTTCTCTCCCCCCCCCCCTCTCTCTCTCTCTCTCTCTCTCTCTCTCTCTCTCTCCCTCTCTCTGTCTAATATCTTTGTGGCCAGTTTCAATATCTACTCTTTGATTTGAAAAATTATGTACCCTGATTATGTACTTCATTTTGCTCCTTCTTCTAATGTCCCTGTCCTCTTCTTGAATTCCCTTTAGATTTGGGACATTTTCTTTTATTCTTTGACTTTGTTTTTCCATGTCACCTTCCTTTTCTGTCTATTTTGGGGGACTGAGGAGCAGCTTTTGCCAATTATCAGTTCTGATTGAGCAAATATTTATCTTATAAAGTCAGTATTTATATTTAGCTGATTATGTACCTTGTAGGTAGAAAATAGCTCTCATGTTTAATTGATACAGATACAGCACAGATTAGGATGTACATGTAGTATAATTTGTGTAGTTGGATATCTTTGCACTGACATGTAAAGTTGTTGCTTTGGGGGACTACTTATAAGCTTTTTCTTGCTCCCTTTTCTAATAGATTGTATAATAAACTCATTTATATGCATCATTTTCATACTAACCTATTATTATTATTTATCAATTCTCAAATAATTGAAAGTGATGTAAAGTGATTTCAATCAAAAACATTTATCTAATATTCATCTAGAATTATTTCCCTTTCATTTCTATTAAATACACATACCTGTATATATATATTGAAATACTAATATCATAATACATTTTTATTTACCCGAAAATTGATATTGACACTACAAACTAACCACACTCTAACAAACAATTTCATATTACTAATACTGTTATGTATTCTGGATGAACACATTACAAGTTTCATCCAAACAAAATCATATTCAATTTACTGTTTGTACAATGACAACTTGAAAGGGAAGATGATTATATATTTACTTGCAAACACAGGAGGCTCATTTAGTTCGTGTGAATTGTAACCACCATCAGAAAAAAATTTACAATGGAATTACAGGCAAGAAAACAAAGCCATTAGTCATATTCAACATTGTAGAATATAGAACATTGATGCTAATTAGAATCAAGATAATGAATACCTTTTTCTCAGTGATTATGAATTATGAATTACTTAAGTTATCAATTTCTATCTGAGCTCACTTTGAGTTCGTCAGTAGCTTTTAGTTATAGCAGGCTTTGATGCTACTTGTATTCCATATACATGTACACTGGTAGTGCACATGTATATTCTCACCTTCCAAAAAAGAAAAAGAAGAGTATTTTATAAATTTTCCTTGACATTTTAACAAGTGAGATGATTAAAATATAGTTATAAATGAAACCTTGAGGAACCTCAGTTTTGTTTGATGAATTACTGGAACTTTAGGTATTTTTTATAGTTTTATTATATACTTGAAGATGATTAGTGAAATATTTCTTCCTTGTAATTTGGTCTTTTTATGCCACAAACAAAAGATACATATTTTCTTTCCAATTATTTCTGTAACACCAACAGTTCACAACTGAATTCTGTTATCCTCATAGGCTTAGTACATAACCGACCGGTTTCCGTAGTTAATTGGTTAACAGAAGTCTTTATTGTCCATCCATACTCCTCAGAGCAATGGTACACCCATGAATATGACTCGTTCCGCCACGCTCGCCAGCCGGGCCCGGGGCGCTAACACGTACAACACCGACAGTGATCATGACAGCGGGGCGTCCTCCGCGAGTGACGACGAAGACACGGAGGCGATTGATGAATTCCTGGAGGAGCTGGCGAGGCTGGAGAGAGAGCTGAGGGATGCAGAGAGGGTGAGAGACCAGGCAGTGACCAAAGCTGATGAGATGTATGCAGAGCTGCAGAATGTTGAAAGACAGTAAGTATTCAAAACTTATGTTCGAAAGAGAGGGAGTGGGAGAGGGAGAGAGATAGGGAGAGAGATAGGGACAGAGATAGGGACAGAGATAGGGACAGAGATAGGGACAGCTGATGAGATGTATGAGGAGCTGCAGAATGTTGAAAGACAGTAAGTATTCAAGCTTTACAAAAGGGAGAGAGAGAGAGAGAGAGAGATATGGAAAGCTGATGAGATGTATGAAGAGCTGCAGAATGTTGAAAGACAGTAAGTATTCAAGCTTTACAAAAGGGAGAGAATGAGAGAGGGACAGAGAGAGAGAGAGAGAGATAGAGAGACGGAAAGAGAGACAGAGATAGTGTAACACGAAGATGGATGTAAAGAAATACAGAAAAAATTGAACAACGACAAACAGAGAGAGCGGGGGAGACTGAGCAGCAGCTTGAGAAAGATTTAGAAAAAGAAAAAAGAGAGAGTGGGAGGGAGGAAGGAAGAGATTGCAATTTGTGCTGGGGTCAACAGTTATGCACCTACAGTGTACATGTACATCTTCTTCGATGGTCATTTCTTGTTCTGACTTCTCTCTAGCAAATTCCTGTCCAGTTTGCGATGTCAAACCAAATGATTATTCTTTGTTTTACCCATGTGTCATTCCTACAACTAAAACAAAATGTAGGGCATAATCATTACATTGTTGAGTATTCTTTTTTTTTAAAGTATCAATTGTAATAGTAAATTCATTATTTAAAAAAAAAAGTTTTCTAAACTGATTTGTACCAAAATACTTTGTTAGCTGTTTAAGGGGTTAGGCTTGACGTCATGTGCTATTATCTGGCCCCTTTTACCAACCATTAGTTTCTCTTCTTGTATATGTAAAATCATTGTATGAAATGTTTGTATTGCTTGTGGTAAATAAATCAAAATCAAAATCAAATCAAATCAAATTAACATATAATTGACCCATTTTGTAGTTGTTGACGTTGCTAAGTTCAATATCAAATTTTTAATTTTGTATAGACATCGCTTTGAGCTGGAGCAGGTGAACGAGGACTATGAGATGGAGAAGACCAGGATGAGAGAGACCTTGATTGAGACTGGTGTGGAGGAGGAGCAACTGCAACAGATTGAAAAAGGAGCACAGAAAGGAGCAAAGCAAGCCGTCAATGTGAGTACCCTGGTCCCAGTTTCACAAAACTTAGCATCAATAACATATCTGCAGAGATTGTTACAAGCTACTGAAATCATTGCATTTGATTGGCTGTTGACACATGTTGTGTAGACTTGTGGCAGTTATGATCCATAACAGGTTTTGTGAAACAGGGTGTGGTTTTCATATGAGTATGCACACTGGATAAGAGATAGGCACAGTTTTTTAAGAAGTTGGAAGAAAAGGAATGAAGGGAAGAGAAGAAGAGAGGTGTCAGGGAGAGTGAAAAGGATAACAAGAAGTTAGAAACAGGGAGAGGGAGAGATGAAGGGAGAGAGATAGGAAAAAGAGAGAAAGAAAGATAGAGAGAGAGAGAGGAGGGGAAGAGGAGGAAGAAATAAAAAGAGGTTTAAAAAGAGAAAGGAGAGGTTGAGAAAGTGAAAACAGTGATATTAAAAGAGATGTACACTGTACATTGAGATTGAGAAAAAAATTGGGCATTAACTTTCTTCTAGATTAGCAGCTTTGGGCTTTCTGTGTGAAGAATCCTTTGGTAACTTTTTTTCTATGGGAAAATAAAGTGCTATGCAACACATGTAAATAAAGTCAGGCACTTTTTCATTAAAAGTCAAATTGCCTTTTTTTTGCCTATGTGGTAGAAACTATTAAGCAGACTATAAAAATTGAAGCAAATGGCACATCTAGTCTAGAATATAGCATTCATACGCCATCGCCTGAGTTTTTTTTAATGCTGCATGAAAAACTAAACAAAAGCTAATCTAACCTTCATTTCTGAATGATATTGTGGATGTTTTTTTGTAAAATTAATCTAGGAGAAAATGAAGAAAACTGGAAAGCGTGCTGGTGTACAAGTAAGTCAGCAGGAAAATAGTAGATTGATCATTACATTTCATCTTGTTTCATTATGGATTTCATATCAACAGCACCACCATCATCATCATTGTCATCATCATCACCAACAGTTATCATAATCATTATCATAATAATAATAATAATAATAATGGGTTGTTGTATAGTGCTCATGTCAGTCAAATTTGACCCTCCTGCCGCTCCCGATTATTACCCTGGCTTTAGCACGGCTGCCATACAACGCTCTAGCATTTCAAGGAATTAATTCCTACCAGGTACCCAAGCTCTCCTCCCCCCCCCCCCCCCCCCCACATTAAGACGACTCAATAATTATTAGTGTCTACTACATGTACACATAGTTTCGTGTTGATAAAATCTCATGAAAGTACCCATTTATGAAGTAAGCTTTTTAGAATACTAGAATTTTGAAAAAAAATTCACTTGAGATTAAATCCAGCTACATATACATGTAAATTAACTTCTTTTTTTAAAGTGTTAGTGTTTTAAAGTGTTCAACCAAGATGATATTTCATGGCATACAGTGTGTTTAACTTTCTTAGACTTTGACCATTCTAAACTCATTCTGTGTGACACTAATTATATCCCTTGTTTTAAATAACATCTCTTTCTCTCTTAACTACTTTTCTGTACAGATGCTCATATACTAACACTTTTTTTTGTATAGAACACTATTGATCTCTATGTAGTATTTTATATCTTTTCTTGTATGTATCTCCTCATTTCCAAATTCTGTTGTATTTTTATGCTGCCATTGGTATAAAATAGATTGAACAAAAATGAAGGAAATAATTTTGTAAATGTATCATAACCCTAACCTTTTCATTTCCAACAAGCAGTATTGTCTACATGTAGTTCTTTATTTGATATTACTAACCCATGGATTCATTCATCAACCAAGTGGCCATTTTCTAACCAAACACCAGGGGGTGTTTCACAAAGACTAAGATCGACTTTAAGTTGGACTTGACTATGGAAGGCCGTTCATGCCATTTACTGGCATTGGTCTCTCAAGGGACGTACAAATCAAGGTCTCAAATTTACAGAATTTACATTTTTTGATAACTCATTATTGAAGAAAAAAATCTAATATCATAATGGTGGGAGCAAACAGTGGCATGAACGGCCTGCCATAGTTAAGTCCAACTTAAAGTCGATCTTAGTCTTTGTGAAATACCCCTCTCTTCTTCATTATATTGAGAAGACAATTGGGGATGACAGCAATAAAAGTACTACCGGTATATCGTTCATTTAGATATATACCTACATGTATATGCACATTGTACATGAATATATTGAACATCTACTAACCAATTTTGTGCCCATATCAGGAAGCAACCTTTTATTTATGTTGCAGTACTTTGTTTAAAGGACGTTTGTCCTGGAAACTGAAAAAAAAAAACTTGCATTGTGAAAATATTTGGTGTCAAATTCAACATGGAAACAAAATTATTATTATTTTTTTTTAATATTGACTCTTGAAAGTTCTGTATAATACTTAGGAGCGTTTTCTTCTTGATACTTGCAAAAGTACATTTTGATGATAGTTTATAACAGTTTATTAAATTTAAAATTTGGTTGTGGAAAGTTCATGTACATGTACTGTTATAATTCTTCATTTATATAATGGCACAGAAGGGGGGGGGGGGGGGTTAAAGATTTTATATCCAAATATTTTTTGTTTTACCCTTGTATCAATTCAAGTTTAATATCTTTTTTTTTTCTTTTTCACCTACTTTCAATTTTTGATGTCCTTTCATGTTTCCTGTAAGTGGTGTTTTATTATTACATGGCCATTGCGATCTTAAAAGCATATAGCATGATAACCATTATTCTGCATGTCGATGAGCTAAGGTCTCCAACGAGGTCTAACTTACCTTTTAAGTGACAGATACAAGATGATACTAATTAAGGCAACTGCAGCTCACTCTTTAAGGTGCTATAAAGATAATTTACTGCCAGATGAAACCAGATTAAACCAGATTAAACCAGATGAAACCAGATGAATCTGCTTTGCTTGCTGCAGTGATAATTAAATATCAAAATTCAGTCTTATTACTGACAAATTCCAAGTGGAGTCTAGAAACATGAGATGCCACTCATACATAAGAAACTAAAAAGACATGTTCACCTTTCTCATGATAAATCCATTTTCATCATGCGTTTATTCATGTATACAACCATATTCATTTTAAGTAGGCAGGCATATGGCATGCTATTTTCCTTGGAAAAATAATTGAATGCTGCAAACAGCTCAACATATTAAGCATGCTTATGCATTGGATCAGCAAGTATATGTAATTTTAGCATGTTTTTATTATCCATGTTAATGTTTGTGTTTTATCCTTTTATTTTGTTTTCTTTACCAAGTTGATTGTTTTTTTTTATAAACTTATATTACATACATGTACAGGAAATGTCCATTGCAAGTCAAAAGGCAGTTCTCGGTAGTGTGAAATAATTCAAACATGTTACATGATTACTTGTTCATGTATCTACATAGTAGATAGTGTACATCTAAAGAAATATTAAGCTTTTTTTATTTTTTTAAGTTTCATGTATTACAGAATATCAATCATATTGAATTTTTACATACAGGTACATGTAGATGATATTTATAAATATTTTCCTTGCCCTGAGAGTTTGCAAGCATGAAAATCAGTTAAAGATAAGCAACACTTTTTCTGCCAGCGCTATAAAGATGTATTCTCTCTACATATGCTACTAGTAAGTCGCATGTATGCATACAAATATAGCATGCTAAAAATTGCTTGCGAGTATGTATGATACATTACCTAATATAGTTCATTAATTTTTGCATTTATATACGGTACCATTAAAAAGTGGGATACTTAATCTCATTGTTCTGAAATTTTGTGTGAATCTTACAAACAATGTAGGGAGAAAAATTCTGCCATGGAATGGCATTCTAACTTATGATAATAATTATAAGAATAATAATAAGAAGAAGAATAAGAATAGGAATAATGATAATAATATTAATGATAACGATAATAATAATGTAGTAATATAGAAATATTAATAATAACAATAATATAGTAATAACGATATTAATTATGATAATAATGATAATAATTGTAATAATGATAATAATTATAATAAAAATCAAACATTTTTGTATAGCGCATATTGAACACAAATGCATTATAGCTTGTCTCTAAGGGCTTTGAATTTTTTACCTTAGGCTTCACAAACTTTTGCATGATGTCATAGTTTTCATTACATATTATATTTGTTTCTTATTCATTGTATATTTGATCTTGCTGACTACCATAGTTTGTGGACTTTGCTGAACACCTTGCTCAGATGAACATAGAGAGGAGCCAGCTCAGGCATCAGGTGGATGAGATCACTAAAGAATGCCAGCACTGGAAAGATCAAGTGTAAGTACAGTGAAACCTGTCTATAAAGACCACTCAGTCAAGGGAGACATTAAAAGGGGTCTTTATATGCAGGTTTACTTTCTATTGAGCGATCCATCTTCACAGGTTTTTGCAACCTTCATGGAAAGCCCTGCATATAACCTTTGTTGATATAGTTAAAATTTACCAGTACTTTATATAGTTTGATTTTTATATTGCGAAATAAATGAAATTGAATTGAGTTGAATTCTTTATCGTCCTTGTTTTCCTAGATTTTCTGCCCTTTAATCTGTCTTTCATTAATTTCTCTCTTTTACATTTTTTCTTATGAGTGAGCGTCCTTTCCCACACACACACTCATGTTCAGACACACCTGGTTAGCTGTATCTCAATCAGGTTGACTACATCTGTCTACCATCTCATTGTCTCCCTCCCCCACCCCCTCTCTTTTTCTCTCTTTCTCTCTTTCTCTCTCTCTCTTTCTCTCTCTCTCTCTCTCTCCTCCCTCCCTCCCTCCCTCCCGCCCTCCCTCCCTCCCTCCCGCCCTCCCTCCCTCCCTCCCGCCCTCCCTCCCTCCCTCCCTCCCTCCCTCCCTCCCTCTCTCACTCACTTCCAATCACTGATCTCCATCTTCCCTTTCATCCCACAGTCTTGCCAGTACGAACATCACAGCCGAGGAACTTGACGAGCTCGGGGCGAGCGGGGAGAACGGGGATTTGTCCAACTCTAGAGAGAGAAGCAATACCCAGATAGTAGAAGATGAAGAGACATCATCTAAAGCAGACTCGGGAGTGGTCTGAACGGAGATAAGGTCAAGCAAGACATGTCAAAGGTCAAAGTTTAAGTGCATACAGTTCCTTTGTTCTTGTCCCATTGAATACGTTTTACATTTCATGTAATGTAGAATACCGGTATGATCGTAAACATGTGCATGTATATGTGTGTTGTAAGACATTTATTCATAACAATGTATGAACAACTTAAGGTTGATATGTATTAATAGGTTTATTTATCATTAAATCTTTTTACATCGGTGTAGACAGGTGCTAAAAGTAGCTTGATCTCATGATATTTTGAAGCGCCTTGAGCATTTAATTAAAATGGATAATGGCGCTATATAAATCTCATGTATTATTATTATTATTATTATTAGGTAACGTAAGTACTGATATTTTGCCAATTTAATATAGCGACACTCATTCATGTTTATTATATGAACAGATGTTAAATACATGTACATGTATAATGTACCTGTAAGTTGGTGATGTTGTGGATCTTATTAAGTGTAATCCAGGGCTGTCTTTCACAAAGATCCTAAGTTGAACTTATCTCTTAGTTGGACTTAACAAATATGAAAAGCCATTAGCATCGTTGAAAATATTTTGTAAAACTTATTTCAAAAGGCATAAAATGTTGATTCAAATTATTCACATTTTCTATTATCAAGGAGATTTCATGTTCTTGATGTAGAATTTATGAAACGTCTAAAAGGTTTGTTTTTTGCTTTTGAATATATTTTATTTTAAGGCTACAGATGGCTCTCCACAATGTTTAAGTCCAACTTAGAGTTAAGTTAGAATTAGGATCTTTGTGAAACACCCCCAGTACTTGATAAATAAAATATGTATATGTTCACAAGTACACATGCGCCTTTACATGCACAATACTTCATGTTCTTTCACTTGTAGATAACATTATCTGGATATGTGTGTTATATTTTCATGTTTAGGATGGTAAGAATGTCAAAGTTATAGGAGTAAATCTCAAAATGGGGTATAAGTGGCTGCCCAGCTTCGCTATTCTTATAATACAGTATGGTAAATACACTTTCTGCTACACTGTAGTTATATAATACACACTTAATGCTCCCTCAAAGTGAATTTAGTAATGTACTTGAACTTGTGTCAAAGGGTTACATGTCAATGTAAAGATTTGTGTAAGTAACTATACATGTACTTTAGTATGCATTCCAAGAATTTTCCTAGTCAGCTGTTGAGCTGCATCATGGGATATTATAAAGAATATATGAAATGTCATGATTCTTGTGTACTATTTTGTATATAGTGAAGAACTTAAAAAGAATTGAAATCTATTGATTTATGTGTTCTTATTGTTGTTTGTGTTGTTTCGTTGTATTTCATGTTATTGTATACCATGTAGCATTGCTAGTTTATGGTGTCTTTTATTCAGTACTAGTCATGAACTCGTAGTAATTCATAGTTTCTAATGTGTATTATTGATGCAATGAAATAGATAATAATTATCGATTGATATTATGCAGCCAAACTACCATAAGCCTTGCTTTGAAAGTTAAAGAAGGATAGACAGTATATTGATATTTGATAATTCTAAATTAGCTGTGCCTCACTTACAAACACATGTGTCTTTACTACTTTATAATGAATGTTGAATTAATAAGTTTTTAACCCAATTTCCCCTTCAAATACATTTATTTATTACCCTTATTGTTACCCCCTTGTCAGAAAGTATTTGCCCAAAAATATATATATATATATATATATATATATTTACTTTCTTACATTTGATATGCACGTTAAAACTTTAGAAATATAGGAATATTTCGAAAATTATTCCACCATTTACTGTGAAGTGCCCTGAGAAGAAGGCAGAAGAGTCATAATTATGTGGTGCAATAAAATTGTCATGAAGTGTATTTTTTAACTGTTGCTTATCAAAAGCTATTGATTCTAATTCTTACTTCATCTTGTAGGTTGATTATTATATTTTTTTGTATAGTTTTGTATCACAACATTCCTTTTTATTTTGTTTGTATAGCAGTTCAAATGAAAAATTAGTAGTACACTGTACTGTCATGTATTTGTGTCATGTATTTGATAAGAGGATTATGTGCAATTCATAAAGTGTGCTTTCTATATTTAAACAAAGCTTCATTGTTTACTTTGTAATTGATTTAATGGAATGTCTAGGTAACTTACGTATTGGTGAACATGTTTCATTAATCCATTGTGTACAGGAACGAGAGTGTTCCTGCATAACGCCCATTGGAAAGAGAGAATTAAGTAGTCGACCTCTTAAAATGTACCAATCATCCGGAAAAAATATCTATGATTTCCTATTACCAGTGTGCATCAAATTCAAGTAGAATTTAGCTTGTTTTACATGTATTATGGAGTGATTATGAGGTGTTTTTACATTTTTCAAACTGCAGTTTGTCTTATGAGAACAAAAAATGTGATCATTCTTGTAAGTACACATATTTGTTTTATGATACAGGCCCATTAATCACTGTTATGTGATATAATGTCTAGGCTGGGCAAAGTCTATAATTACACCGAAAAGAGTTAATGACTCATGGTTTTAGATTATACGGTGTATCATTATGTTTGAACGAGTGCCAAAGGTTTGCACTTGTGTTGTGTATACTCGTGTATACTTGTGTAAATTTGATCAAATCATCAACTAATATTTGAAGGGATTGTTGTTGCAAAAATTTGGCATTGATGAGATTGTTACTGAATAACTGACAATCCGTAAGTAGAAAATGATTTTTTATCATTCTGTGCTTATTATATAAATGTGTAACTATTTTGAGGACAGTCTCTGTTATTCATAAAAACCTGAAGCTTACATAAAGCTTACCCCCATTCGTTTTCTTCTTCTCGATTCACTAAACAAGCCTGGTCCAGTGGACGACATAGAATCTGGCCTTCGTGTTGAAAACCTCTAGGTCTTTGGGGTACACTGAATAGCAGTTGAATAGTTTTTTAATTTGAATTACGTTTTACTTTAAAAGCCAATGTCAATGCCAAATTTATTTACCTATTTATTTTTCTCCCGGAAATGATGATGAACAGCATTTGTATGGCGCCATATATCTGTTTCAAAAAACATTTAAAGGCGCGAGCTCCTCCAATAAAATTAGCATTTAAATGTCTGAAGGAAGATGTGAGTTTTGAGTGAAGCTTTGAAGTGGTCCAGGTTGTCAATTTCACAAATAGATGATGGGAGGGAATTCAATACATACATTTCTTTTTTCACCAGGATATTTATCAACATATGGAATGTTTAGATCTCATCTGATAATAAAGGCTTTAAAAACCCACTAAAATGTGGAAACAAACCAGGCCAAATTTATCTTCTCGCCAAATAATTTCAATTTTTTTTTTCTTAATGAAATGATGAAATTATTTTGCTTCAATCTTACCCACCTTGTCTCTGAGGTCATAATTTCGTATATTGTTTTATTTGTTCTGAAAGAGAATCGTGTAGCAGCTCATAGATATAATGTGTATTCAAAATGAAAGAAATATGAAGGTAATGATTTATTGATGTAAGTATCAATGTTGTGCAATGTAATAATGTTAGTTTGGTTGATGTCTTGTTTTGTTACTTTGTATCAACTCACCATATTGAATTAAAGCACGCCTTAGTCACGTGACTAAATAGACACATTGGTATCATGTGATATTTATTCATTATTCTAATTGTCGATTAATATTTTGGTCAAAATTGTACATAAACATGTTCTATACTCTAAATTTGGATTAAAGTGCATTTAAATAAAGTTATTCTTAATTCAATCCAATCCAGCGAGTATTTGGTGAAACGCCTTTTCCTTGCAACTTCAAGCTTTTCATGTAACTTGCTCGACCAAATACATGTAGTAAAAGGGCTGCTTAAACAATAGTAATAGTTTAAAACCTCTAAATGGTTCAGGTGAACGGTTAGATACCACAAAAACGCATAACAATCCACGTTCGTTAGCAACAGTGCATTTTTTAAATTTCTTGAACTGACCCGCAAATTAAGGTCAAGACATTGCTTAAAAGCCCTTTAAACCATCTTTAAAAGAGTTATGATATCATTAACTTTTCCCCCATGTACGTGTAATTAGTTTTGTTTGCATTTAAATATACACCTCGAGCTAGTTATAAAAACGTATTTTTGTTAAAGACTAACAAAACAAGATGGGGAAAGTGCATCTTGTAATAATTTTGTTTAATTGTATTTTCAAGTCAAGATGTTTATCGCGTCCATATGTCAAAGGTATCAACAACACATTTGATTAATTTGCCGCAGATATTGTTTGGCGGCAATATTAATCTTTATTTGAATGAGAAGGTGAAAAGAGAGAAAATGACGTTTGTATTAAAATGACGCCTAGACATCGGTTGTTCTGGAAAATCTGTTAAGGGTGATGTCGGGAAATAAAATTGAATTGACAGGACATTAATTTAATGTAAACTTCGGCAGGTATACAGGCTATTCAAACTTATTTCTCTGTATACACATTTTTCTACTCTTTGCCTTCAGTTATTTTTTTTTTTTATTATTTTGTTCAATTTTTATTCAATCTAATTCGACATCTCGATGTATGCTATTCCTTGCTCTATCTCGAACGCCCTCTACATTTCTCGAATGTGCCCTTATTTCTTTTATTCCCTCCCCTATATCCACCCCTCTCCTCCTTCCAACCTTCTTCCCTCCCTTCCTCACAAGGCCAACCCTTCATGTTTTGCCCACATCCTGTTAAATAAAGCAGGAAGGAAACAAAAAAGGCTACAAAAGATTGTCGGACAAGCATGAGAAAATCCGTAGAGAAGAAAACCCTATACAAAGTGCACTTGTTCTAAATGTACTTCTGAAAAGGTGATTACTACAAACAAGTCTTTTGTCGATGTTTGCCCCCTACAAACGAAGAATAATTGACAATATGGGCAGCGTGAGAAACTGTTATTTATTACAGAATTTGCGCAAAAAGCTTAGAAGATGTGTTATGAAGTGTTCAGTATTATAAATGATGACCATATATTGCATTATTTGATTGTAACAGCCATCATTAAAGGTCATTCAAAGTCCTATTTAAACAAACACAGCCTTGATTTTAATGGGAAATATAATACGAAATCTAGATAATTATGATGATAAATGATGAAGCATTTGAGCAGAAACATAATGATTCTGTAAATGGTTATTAATGAGGTGTTTATTATATTAAATTGAAGACCCAATATTAATCATGTTCTCTGTGGAGTATTATTACCACAATCTAAAATCACTTATCAACAATAGCTGGAAATGATGTATTATGCTAAATCAATAATACCGATACGATATTTTACTTATTTTTTTTTTGAAAATAATTATTTTTGACTAAAGATGAATTATTGCTTGCAGTCATTTCAAGCATCATTTCACTTGTCCCTACTCTGTTTTCTTCAAAATAATGTCTGTTCTACCTATTTTTCTTCTCACGAAGGGTGTGAGTGAATGAAAGTCATTACCTATCATTAAGTTTCTATTTAATTTTTTTCGAATGGAGTTAATGCGAAAACAATGATGTATAAACCATACTGTATGGTAGAACATAATATAATGAATGTGACATTAATATTATCCCATTATTCAAAATGTATTATGCAAACAGTATTGTTTAAGTTCACCTATATTGTTTGATCATGAAATGATAAAGAAAACATGAAACTAGTGTACCCTTAATGAGCCCTTATATGCACACCGTATCGTGCAAACAATACCTATGTTTGATCGTGAAGTAATGAAATAATAATAATGTAACATTAATAAGATTCGTTATGCACACCGATAAGATATTCATCATACTTCAGCCATACGACATATAATCATGGACACAGTCAAACGTAAACAGAGCTGTGTTTATATTTCAAATATCAATTCCATTTTAAGGTTCTAGTGGGCGGTACCGAAAAACCATTGTTCAGGGAAAGGAGAAAAATTAACCATTGTTGGAAAGCTGCTTGCAGCACGTCTGTACCAAACTCTGTTTGGTGTGCTTTTATTACATGTTGGGTTATTTTGCTTGTCTCAGGCGGTCACGTTCGCATTGGTTCGTTTTGTAAGTATCCTGTTGTGTGCAGCCCCCAAGGGAGCACAAACTATTTTAAAGGTATTATTTATCGATACAAAATTCAAATGGAAATGTCCAAATTTATTCCGAAGCCCTCAAAATAAAATTAAAACAACAGAATAGAAAGGATCACAATTTTTCAAGCGGAAATATTAATGTTATTGTGTTTCAAGTGAACCTAACTTTGTGGTGATTTAATTTGATGTAGAAGAAGTGGTAACTATTTACAATTTTCTCCCTCTGCCTCTTCCTCCTCTTCCTCCTCCCCCCCTCTCTCTCTCTCTCTCTCTCTCTCTTTCTTTCTCTCTCTCTCTCTCGCTCTCTCTCTCTCATTCTCTCTCTCTCTCTCTCTCTCTCTCATTCTCTCTCTCTTTATCTCTATCTTTTTTCCCTCGGGATAGGGGGGGGGGGGGGGGTGAGACCTGCAGGCCTTTGAATGTCCATAATATTCAGGAAGAGAAAATGCTTGCACAATATCAGAAAGTGTGTTTAAAGCGATAAAGTGCAACATAATTAATGCGTGACGGGCAGATATATGATCAATATATTCTTTAAAGCGCAATTCAAGAAAAATTCGTCTGTGGGGAAAGCTTTTTATCAAGAGTCCCGCGGAGTGACAAAACAAATCACCAATATTTTAGGTGTTGTCATTCACGAGTTTATAATCGAAATATCACCAATTCAACGTGAATCAGCTTGCTTTGAACTCATTTCATTGTCTGGATTCTAAACTTGGTGGACCAAAACGGACCGAGGCAGTAATGTGCCTGACATCACTTGATTGTACCAGTATTTGTCATTAAAAAAAAATATTTTGGTACCAATTACTCAACAACCATTGACTAGAGTAAAACCTGGGAACTGCCAGGCGTTTCTTGACTTAGTAGTTCAGTATTGTGCAAGTCTAGTGCATCATCAATATTTTCTCAACATCTTACTGTTAAACAGAGAATAGAACCATCGCGTTTTCTTTGTGAAGTGGTCCTGTTTTGTGAGAATCTCAAATACAAGGTCCCATCCCTTGAGCACGTACGAGGTATCAGAATCTTTCTTCACTATCTTTCTCATGAAGTTTGTATTTCATCACCGTTATCTATATATGATTGTACTTGACCGTATTCCTGAGCTAATATTTTCGCTCTATATCAGCAGTTAGAGATCGGCATTTGTCCAATCAACTTTGACGTGAACAGATTTAGTTCTTCTCGCACAAACCACGCCCACTCCTACTTGGTTGTTATTTATGCATGTTGCATGCACCTCTACAGTTTTAGAAATCAGTTTAGAACTTACTGCTCGGCTTGAAGATTCTGGACTTATCTGCAGGTAGTGACGAGGCCAGATCTGCAGTCTCGTCGAATTCTCAACACAACCAGGTACATGAAGGATTTGACTCTCGGCTTGGACAAATAAGACAGAACATCCTTCATTAAACACCAAATTGAGTTCTACAAATATTACCGTCGTTTGTTTTGACGATCTTGGGAAAGGTCTTTTGTATGCGCAATCAGAAACTTCATATTGTTGTTAGACTTGCAAACAAAGTCAATTGTCCAAATGCTTTTGTCTCTGCATGGAACGTACATTATCATTCTTCAGATATCACACTTCGCGTGCATTTCCTTTAAAAGTTTGGAGTGCAAAGGGCTCTAATTCGCTCTGTGAGATTCAAACATTGTCAAAGGACTTCACTTTCGCTCTCGTCAAATCGTCAAAACAAGATTTCTTGGTGTCAAAACATTCAACTTTGCACCCAAGTCAGCTGAAGTGCTCTCGAATGACGAAATAGCAGACATTTGTGCCTCAGAAATCTCTCTGGTGTCGCGTTGCTAAGTCATGTTTTTTCTAGGCACATGAGTCACACGCTAGAACTTATAAGTGCTCTTACATTATACTGTTGTATTTCGCTCCACTTTCTGTCTGCTGTTACTACTACAGAAGTCATGATGGCCATGCAAACTAGTAAGTATGACATATTTTTAATTACCTTTGTGGATGTTAAACGATTTATAATGAACTTTGAATATGTTATTATTATTAAAGTGCGAAATGTTTTAGACTAGAAATGGGGTAAATAATGGTCCTGATGTTACCTTTGACATAATTATTGGAGATACGCATACTTCACCAGCTTTCTTTTCAGGTAAGATTAGCGTGTATCCAATTCCCTCCCTGTATATAACACTAATTTCCTTTTTCATGAACAGCAATCCATACTGACAAAAAGTGCGTGAACAATACAAAACCACAAAAACAAACCTGAGTCGACATTTTAGCACCGGTAATGAATGTGAACTTAATGTTCACGCGTTTCCTTGCAAATCAACCAAACATACCTAAGTTTTTTCACAGACTAACATTGAATAGAAGCATGCTACAAAGCTTCAGTATGCCTTCGGATCGCAATGCTATTGTTCGACTTTGAATCTTTTTAGTTATCAAATAAACTAGTAAATGATCTCTGCATGAGTTTTCTACCTTTCTTTCTGATAAAGTAAAGTCTGAATGCATGAGTCATGCGCTTTCAAGATTATTTCCCCTTTCTTTCTTTGCCTTTCATAAAAAAAGTTTTCTGAGTATCTCATCAGGAAAGTATGTCTGGCATGTAGATTGATGTACATTCAAACAAAAAAGGTTCAAATGTGGGACAAGTTTTTGTGATATCTTCGTTGCAACTGACGGTAAAAACTTGATAAAAATGTCTCTGTTACAATCTATTAAATTACAATCTAGTATTGTAACTATCAGTTAATCCCCAGCACATTATTTGTGTTACTGTTAGAGATACTTCATTGGCAAAGAAAGCATGTTGTCCCCCCCGATTTTCAAGTCATATTAAAAGTAGTTGAAATATCCAAATGAAACGCGCATAATATACGATTTCTCATCATCCTAATTATGATGGTTTTCATTACGTCTTTCCGTAATCAAAATTATAAACCATCGCACACAAGGCTCTATACCGTGTGAGTCAAAAAAAGTTTACACCTAGAAAATTGCTAATAACTTTTAAAATCATCCATAAAAAGTAAATTATTATACATCTTATGAAAGAGTGTTTTTTTCCCAAATCATTTGGTATCATTTTTGTGTGGTATTTGTTCACGCTTGGATGAACAAGAGGCATTCTTTGCGAGATTGCAAAAATCGACTTGCGCCAAAGTGATGCCTACAGTATGTATTATGTTGGGATTAGTGGAGTGAGAGAATGAATTGAATGTATCAAATGAAATGCATTGCATATGCTTTTTGCAGAAGCAAAGTCACGTACACACGCGCACAGATGTTTGTTGATATTTTGATATTCGATATTTGATACGTGTGGCATGAATAAATTTTGTTAGGGATGTTATTTGGATCTGCAAAGACCGAATAAATACCCAAATCCCAATTGTTTTATTCAAACATCACGTAAGCAACTTTTGCGCTAGTCGATTTTTGCACTCTTGCAAACAATGTCTCCTGTTCATCCAAGCGTGAACACATACCACACAAAAATGATACCAAATGATTTGATATAAAACACTCTTTCATAAGATGTATAACTATTTACTGTTCATAGATGGTTTTTTAAATAATTAGAAATTTTCTAGGTGTAAACTTTTTTTTGACTCACACTGTACATACAAAGATAGGAAAGAAGGAATCGTGATGATTTTTCTGTCTCTTATTTGCTCAAATGTATACTTATCTAACAATCCGATGGAAATGAATGAACAGTTATGTACGGCGCCAGTACTTGGTTGAACGTGAGGCTACTTTTCTCTCTCCCCCCCCCCCCTTTCAAAACGTCTTTTAAAATATTGTTCTAACTTATCTGATCAGAATAACTGAGGCGTGTTTGCACGGTTTTATTTGCTAGATACTCGAATAAATCACCTCGAAATATATTAAGAAAGACAAATTTGCATTGGTAATATTTAAATAAAACAGAAACACGCAAGGTTTGGCTTGTCCATTTATGGCCGGGTTGTGGTGGCGGGTCGTGATGGCGTTTACATGCATATATATGTTTCTAAACTTGCCTTACTTTTTTTCATTGAGTTACATTCAGTGTTCATTTGAAGTTACTCCATTATTTTGATTTCACTTGACTTATTTGATTTTCTTTGGCGCCAAGTACGGAATGATACCATTTCGTGAAAATGCATTTGAACACCGCCCCCACGTCTACTCAATCGTTTACTCAACCGTCTGCCTATTTTATGTGGCTGAAAATTATTTTTTATCTTATGCTTTGAATATGAAGACAGTTTAAAGCCCCTCTGTACGAGTTTGGCATGGAGGGATTAGACCTCCCTACAAGGTCACTGGCAGGTGGTTACCTCATCAAATCAGCTCTCAATTAACATAAGAAAAAGGGCATCATGGGGATCAACATGCACCGCTTAGGCAGTGTTGGCTGTATAGAGGGCGCAAGTAGCTATAAGTAATGCAAAGTGATTTAAAGAAAGAGGTTTGAGAAATCAAACTGCAACCAATCATGGATTATACTCCCTACAGGCTTTCCTAAATGAAATAATTAATAATGCATTTTATTTTGTATCTACATGTCGGCTTATTCTTACCGTCCTTTCTTTGAACAGATTCAAAAAATATTACAATAATATGTTTTGATATTGTTCTTGACTAATAACAAAATTGAATTATGGCGCCTCATAATTTAAAAGTTTTTCATGTTTCCATTTTGCAACAATTAACCGCATGCTATATAGTCAATAATGTATTCAAACTAAACCATTTCATTTACTTGAAAATCATGTAAGAAAACTCTTCTACTAAATGATATTGACTCAAGTTAAATAGTGAGCATTTAAAAGGGGTGAAAATACCTTTTCATTTTTTTCTTCAAGTTCATGTATAGGCATTCATGAATGAACGCTATATGGATAGGTAGAAGAATTATGATGACCCTGGATTCATTGGACCTCTGCGTTGTTTACTTTTCAAATGGCTTAATCCACGCACTCGCCATCAATTCATCTTACTCCATCTCATAGCGAATCCCATCTATCATTCACTAATCTTTCACAGGCCTCCAATTATTAGATGCTCCCGACTTCAACATTCCACTGCAAACAAAATATACATGCGCATGTGCGTTTGAGCCACAGGCGGTGGCAGCGAAATGGATGCTTGCTTTTCCGCAGGTGCACCATTTAATGCAATGCCCTTCGCAGGGAGCAACGTGATTTTGTGTGTGTATCTCATCATAGCGCTGTGTGTACTCCATATTATACACTCCCTTCCAGCATGTTATTAACTACTTGATGTACACGACCACCATGTACGGGCGATTCACGGGTGTGTAGACCCTTGCGATGAGTTATTCCAGCTTTCGCGTTGACATAATTGATAATGGCGGGATCATAGTTAAACGTGGAATTATTTAGCGTTCAAGCGATTTTGTCTTTGCTTAGAATGTGACCTATAACAATCAATGGGTTGGACTACCTCACAAACAAGAATGGAATAAGTGTTGGATACTATATTCCATACGGTGGCAGCGCCCCATGTAGATGCCTGTGTCCACATCTCACTTGGATAACACGGTAAGAGAGAATGTGATGTCATCTCATGTGTTGTTGTCTGCATGTCACCCCGGGGTGTAAGGTCAAGAATGTAGACCACTCTGTTAATGACCAGCATGTTGAGAAGGAATGTTACGAGTCTCAGCTGATTAAGGTATGACCATTTCCAATCAAATTGTGATTATACATGAATGGGCGGCAACGTTTTACTATTCACGAGGCCGTAGGGAAATCGAGAGTGAGAGAGAGAGATAGAGAGAAAGAGAGAGAGAGAGAGAGATGGAGAGACGGATAAGTTAGAGTTAGACATAACACATAGTAGGGAGAGAAAGAGAAGGGGTGAGGGAAGCAGGAGTAGATTGGGGCTATTAAGGACAAACGTGTTCAATATACTAGCAAACGCCATCCAGATATCATATTTTCTTTAAAAAATGCATACAATATTATTCACTGATAACATCTCAATTTGTTATTTAATCAACTCAATAATTATATCCCATTCTCATAAAATATCAAGAAGTGGAGATAATCGTTCTTAAGTATGGTTGTAGGCAACCTCGAACATAAAACATTATTATTGAAAACTAATATCCATCGGATATGGCTTTTAACTCTCTGACATTTGATCGTTATTAAGTTTGAACGATGGGGTGAGTGCCCTTTGCACGGCACACTGCTAAAATTGCACCCAGCTGCACGGCTATATAGACCAAGAGCGTAGCGTGGCCCCAAATATCGAGGGGGCTTCACCATCGGGGAGGGGGGGGGGGGGGGGGGGTCTTACCCGACGGACTTTTTCACGTTGAAAGATTTCATTACGGTTGAATGAAAAGAATGTCGTACACATTTACAATCAAAATGCTCATCTATATTTTAAGTTAGAAACATAAAACTTTACATTTTGTCGAATTTGATATAATATGTTTAGTTTTTTTGTGACACATGGCATTTTTTGGTTTATGTTTTTCGTTCTGTTTAAAATTCTGCAATTATACGTTTCGTCTTTTGAAATGAGAATACATTATTAGAATCTGACTTTGAATTGAATTTGAAATGTAAATTGACAATGCCATTTTGATTCCAGGAGTGTGTCGTAGCGTCTTTTTTGTCTGACTCCACTCTCCCTTTCTTCCCTCTCTCTTTCTCCTTCTCTCCCCCTCATCATTTTATAAGGGGCAATTGGCCCCGTTTCCCCCCGTAGCTGTATCACTGTAATCTACCCTATTGGCATATCACCTACTCAGGGTATCCCAATAGAGACCTTTGCCAGGGACCTTTGTCCGTACTAATTGTAACTTGATTAACATCAGTAACTAAACACTCGTTTTAAAGAAACATTTGTCATAATTATGTTTATTACCACATCAGTACATTATTATAAATCAGATGTGAGTACAATACGAAATTTGTAATCTTCAAGATTAATTTATT